CACCTTTGCCTCTAGACTCAGTTACTATGTATCTCAGTGGTAGAACTTTGCCTAGCATGTGTAAAGTCCTGGGTTTGAAACCCAACACCAAAAGAAAGTAGAAACTCAAAAAGCAGAGAAAATAAGTATATATATATATATATATATATATATATATATATATATATAATATTTAAAGTTCAGCTGGTTTCTCTCAGTGATAAGATCCCTTATCTATGGCAGACCTGATCCTTTGTTCACCTTTGCTTCAACTCAGTTACTGTTCTCAGGGATACAAGTGACAATCAGTTACTTTTTGTGCAGGAAGAAGTAGTCTTTCTCTTGAATTCAGTTCATTTAAGCTTTGCTGCAACAAAGTTCTTTCACAAATTTAAAGAAAACAAGTTTTTTGGTTTTTTTAAATTATGGGTTTGTTTGGGTTTTTTCCTCCTTCATGCTACACAGAGAGCAATGGTCTCTTGTATTTGTATCATCCTTCTCTTACTGAAAGGTTATACTTCTACACCTTCTTACCTATCATCATCAAATTCAAATTTCATGTTTTCTGAAAATCTTACTAACCCCCAGCCAGGTGGCTTCATTTTACTGCATTACTTATTTACTCATCTGTGGTCCTCCCGAGTATGAGCTCCTAGATAGCAAATTCAATGGTATCTGTGGCAGCTGTGAACAGATGGGAGAAGGCAGGCAAGCAAAAATCAATAGAGCAAAATGCAAACGTGCTTATGGTTTACGAAACTTTAAACATATAATTATGCTTTAAGGACCACACTATACCTAATCTATATATTCGTAAATTATTACTTCACTCAGAATACTGAGATGCAAATTATATGTTTGAATAAAATTTACTGGTAGAAGCAATTCCACTCCTAGGGATATACCTGAAGGAAAGTAAGTCAGATTACAATAAAGGCACCTGCACCCCATGTTTATTGCAGCACTGTTCACAAAAGCTAACTTTGGAAACAGCCAAGGTGCCCCACTACTGATGAATGGATCAAGAAAATAAGGTATTTATACACAATGGAATTTTATTCAGCCACAAAAAAGAATGAAATTTTGTCATTTGTAGGTAAATGGATGGAACTGGAGAACATCATCCAAACTGAAGTTAGCCAGGTTCAGAAGGCTAGAAGCCACATGTTCTCTTTCATATGTGGAATACAGACCTACTACAAATATAGCAATATTATGAAAAACAGGTTATGCTAAGGGGAGGTCACATAGGAAGGGAAGGGTAAAAAAGGAAGTGAAGGAGGTGAATGTGGTTGAAGAAGTGAATATGGTTCTATATAAGAATGAATACAGAATATTTAAACCTGCTGAAATCACCATAAGAAGGAGACTAAGCTCGAAAGAAGAAAAATAGAGGAGATGAACCAATTCGGATTATAATACATATAATACATGGAAATATCACAAGGAAACGCCATGCAGAGCTATCTTAAACAAATAAAAATGTCATTTTTTTTCTTTTTTCCTTTAAAATCAGAGAACAGCAGGGAAAAACAGGTCCTGCTGGTACGAGTGCAAGGGGGAGGTCAGGAAAGGGTGTGGAAGTGTGCATATAGTGCAAATATTGTATACACATGTAGGTAAATGAAAAAAATCAGAAATGTTGAACACTATTTCAGGAATGGAGGGAGGGGTAAAAAAAGGAGAATGATGGAGGGAGTCAATTCAAATATCATATATTTGATATATTACAAGAACTTTTGTAAATGCCACAATGTACCCCCACCCAGCACAACAAAAATATTAAAAATAAAGAAAGCTAATCTACAAAAAAAAAAAAAAACTTACTGTAAAATGGACTTTTCTAATTTCAGATGAAATGTGTATCCCTAAAAATAAAAGTACTATGTAATATTGGTTAAAAGGGAGAAGGCTTCTGCATACTATCATGTTTTACAAGAGAACTGCTCAGCTCTCTAACTTTAGCACATTCTTCAAACACCAGAATTAAACTGCAGTCTTGTAATATGCTCCCTGCTATATTTTTACATGACCCTATGTTATGCCACTTATAAAGTCAGCTATTTATATTCTTAAAGGTAATGGCATCTGTGTATATGACAGTGTTCTTAAACTATTTCATTAATAAAGTTCCATTCTTCAAATAAGATGAAAAGATCTTTCAAGACATGCACAATTTCCCATAAAAGGAATTTACAAAAAACATGATTCTCTAATAGCAGGGTAAGGAGAGGAAATACCCTGATTAGAATGCTTTAAATATACTACTTTTGATATTCCTGGGAGAGAAGTACTAAAAGGTATTAAAAAAATTTGTCCAGGAGGGTAAATCAATTTAGAAGCATAATATTGATTTTCTAAGGTAAAGGAAACAGAAGTGAAAAATAGAAAAAGATATGACTAAAACAAATAATTTCATTAGTATTAGTAAAAATTTATGAGCTAGAGATTTATTCTACATTTCCTGCTAGCTTAAGAAAAATTAGGCACAGTGATATTTAAAATGGAAGTGAGGAGAAAATAAGGGCAATTAAAATGACAACTGTTAAACACATAAATGATTTTAAGTGGCTGAATTTATCCATAAAACAAATACCTACACCTAGGAAAACCAGAACTGGAATTCCTAGTAAACAATTTTTTTTTAATTGTTGTACTAGGTGGGAGCACATTGTGGCATTTACAAAAGTTCTTACAATATATCAAATATATCATACTTGAATTCACCCCCTCCACTGCTCTTCTTTATCCCTCCTCCCCCCATTCCTGAAATAGTTTCAACAGGTATTATTTTGCATTTACATACATGTGTACACAGTATTTGCACTGTATTCACCCTCCTACCCCCTTTTGCCACCATCTTCCCCTCCCACTAGTTTTTTTTTTTTTTTTAAAGGAGTAACATATTTTCCTATGCCCAAAAAGATTTTGTTGTAAGTTGTTTCTGTACCTATGGTTATGCTATCTACAGATGTCATACCAGAGGATGATACGAAGAGTAACCGCTAAGCAAGGATGTTCACACCACAGCAGAAATCAATCTACAAGAACCTTAAATGCACAGGTATAAATTAGGATCGTTGAACTGTAGTTTTATCTTACACAGAAAATATTTAAATGGAAGCTAATGACAGCTGGTGAAATGTGAGTCTGTGATTCACTCATTCAAAAACTATCACCACTAAGCAATATAAACGTAAAAGGATTTTGAAAGTGTGTGTCCGTTTTTACAATATGTCCACCTAGAGCAGTCTGAAATCAAGACTTTGTTTTGTTGCTGTTGTTTCCTAACCAATTGACTGTAATTAGATGAAAAAAGTGAGTTATGAAAGACAATTACTGGTTTTGCAACTACTGACCTTTCAAGTATGTTGTTTCTTAAGTACAAGGTATAAACTCAAGAAAACAGGACTCATTTATTGGTTATAAAACTTCCTTAATATGCATACCTGGTCTCACTTACTAAAAGTAGAAGACTGAAGTCAGCAAGAAAAGAAAAATCAACTAGCCAAAGGGCAAAGATCAGATAGAGTCCATATTTAAGGATTGTTATTTCATAGTTCCCACGGAGATGAACACAGTAAAGCATGAGAAGTATGAGTAATGCAGAGCCACTGACCATCAAGATTAGACTGGTTACTACTAAGATAAAAATAAATACTTTTAAGTTTTATAAGGTGACTAGATTACTTGAAAGTACTCTACTGGATAGTCACTCAAATACCTCCTAATGGTTTCCTAATTTGAACTCCTAAGATCTGACATCAGAGTATTTCTGAAGAGGAACCATATTTTATAAATTACCTTTGCTTTGTCCTAACCATCAACACACAATAAAAGAATTATAATCTATTATTTTTAATTAATATATATAATATTTACTATTATACAACAAACTAGTGATTAGTCCTGAGCTCATTTTTATTAACTGAATAAATAAAGTAGGGGGGGGACTGCAAAAAACCACAGTATGTTTTCTTAGGAGTTCCTAATAGCCCTTTTTCCTATGGATACAAAAATGTGAATTCCTTATAGGCAAAAATAATCAGTAACTATTCTGAGTAATAGAGTTAAGACAATAAATATCAATGAAAATAGTAGTCATTAAGTACCCAATAATTTGGCATTAAAACTAAAGGGAAGAAGCCACAGAAAAAAATATAATGCTTTGATAAATTACAATGAGGAACCATAAAATTAAAAATGAACTTACAATACAGATCAGATAAGAAGGGTAACAACAACAAAAACCTACTATTCCCTTTTCACATGGAAGAATTCTTTTGAACATGACTCTAAAGAGCTACCTTTAATATTCTCTTTAATTATCCCACCACCAGAAATTAGGAATATGAAAAAGATTAAGGGATACATGTAAAACTCAAGGATAGAGATTTTGCCCCTTAGAAGTAAATAGTTTTTAGAGAAATTTGAAAGTATATCAATAAAATTACTTAAGTATATAAAACACGAAAAAAATTACAAGTAGGAATGACAGTATTTTTATTTGCCTTAATAAAAACAATGAGGAAGTAGATGAGGATATTTGAGAAAAGGACTTTGGCAGTAAGTTGGTAATTGTTAAAATTGAGCAGTGAGTACACTATTCTGTCTACTTGTGGTGATGGTTAATATTTTTCATAAATAAACCTTACTATTGTAATCATGTATCTTAATGCTGTGGTTTATTATCATTACTACAAATTAATGATGTTTTAGGTATTTCAATAAAATCTTATCACATATAAAGATGACACTGGAGAATCCAGCAATAGGAAAAAAATGCTCTTCCAGCTTTTCCAGAAGAGTGGATCCACAGTTATTTACCATCTCTCACACACTTCCTCTTAAGAACTCCATATACTTATAGGGTTTACAGCTAACATCTGAATGCTTACTTGAAAGTTAACTAGACTTTATCAGAACAAGTCCAAAACAAAACACTTAAATTCAAGGAGTAACTTTGCTTTTAACAAACAAGACAGAAAATGTGAAAATGCTATAAAATGCTACTCTCTTACCTTGACCAAGATGTGAAGGTTTTTGAGAAAGTATGTGGCCACTGCCATCTAAAATATACTGGGTGCTAAAATTATCAACAGCTGTCCTTGTTGTTATTAAAACCTAGAAATTAAAAAAATCTTGTAATAAAAATATCATTTTTAATATTGCAATGGGTTCATTATAAAGTTAGAATTGAAATAATTATCTATTTAATTAATATTGAAAAAACTTTTGGTATGTCTTATGACCACTTCTCTTATAAAATACTTCTAGTAAACAATATATTTTTTATGTTGCAAACATTGATTTTTGAGTACTTTAAACACTGAAGCACAAATGAGTATACTTCCAAAGGCTCTTTGTAGTATATTCATTATATAACTAACACCTGTAAAAGCAAATATTCCAACTGGATTAAGGGAGTGTAGTTTTAATAGACTATTATGATAAATTTGAGAACAAATGAATAATTCTTGAAGTAATCATTCCTTCCTCTTTATACACTGCGTAGATGTTCACATCTACATTTCAAGATTATAATTTAAACCTTTAAATTATACACACATATATATTTAAGGACATTTTTTCTTAAACCCAAGTTTTAATATAAAAAGCTTCAGCATAAATCAAGACGAGGATTTCATAAAGAAAATATTTCCTCAGGATATTAGTCATAGAAATATAAGTTTATAAATGCAACAATGCACCCCTACCCAGCACAACAATAAAATTAAAAAAAAAAAGTTTATACTCTTTTTGAACTACCCTCATCCTGTTTACTTACTTTGTGAGATTAGTAGGAGAATGTAACAATAGTAAAACACGACTTTGTACAAAGTAACAAAGGTGGAAAATAGGAAAGCAAGATTGACTAGGAAGAGAGTAGCCACAAAAGGGTGAGCAGCAGAGACCCAAAATTGAGAGTAATCTTTCTTGGTCACCCTTGGACTAAGCAGAGCTGAAATATATCTGAGTAGTTTAGAAACCACAAAGATCTGGCTCTACCACCAGAAATCCTCTGGGTCCAGTTGGGTCTACATTTGACAGTTCTGTGACTCTGTCCTAATCAAGCAGACTTATAGGCCATATGGCCCTATGAAACAATGTGGGAATCATGCAGAGAATATCAAAACCACACACACAAAAAAAAATATGGCTCTTCTAGCTCAAAATACTAGTAGAATCTATTAGATTCTCTCTGTGAGTGAAGTCCATAAAATTACCTTTACTAGGGATATTTTGTCAAACTGCTACTTCTGTGATAACTATTCCCCCAAAAGTTGTGTCTAAAACAAACTTGTAAGCTTCTATGCACTTTTAAGTGACTGTTCTACATGGTTTGAAAGTTGTATAATTTTTTTTAAAGTTTCCTGATAATTAATCTTAATCTTTCCTGCACATTCCAACTATAATGTATCCAACAGCAATTTACTCAGGTAAAGTTTATTTTAAATAAAGATGACAGAAATTGCTAGAACTCTGTTTTATTTAATTATTCCACAATCGTCCCTTTAAAAATACAATTCTACATTTAACCAACCACTTCTCCAAAATGCCAAGGTCAACTGAATTCTATTTCTATTCTCCAAAGGGCTTGCCACCTGACCTGAAGCTGGTGTCACTGAACAGAGGCAACCCTGGAACTCTGAGTTCCAGTGCTAACTCTGCCAGTGGCTTTTAGATGGTCTTGAATGGTGATGATAAGATGAAGATGATGCTAATACTTTATAAGGTTACATGGGATTTTGCTTTGACTACTTCAAAGCACTTTGTAAGATATAATTTGTTCATTCTTTAAACATATTAATGAATAGTAAATACACTCCAGCTTAGATGAATAGCCTTTTCACTAAAAAGTGAAATAGGACTTTAGTGCTTATAGTGTTATATTTATGTTAAAATTAAAAAATAGGATACAATATATTTTCCAACAATAAAATTTTATAACTTAAAATTTGTAGGGCACTATAAAAATTTACTTAGAGACACAGGACAATTCACAGCTAAAGACGGTGAATGAAAACACAAATAAGCATGTTTCACAAATTCATGAAATACAATGTGTTCCTCAGAGGAAGGAATTGTATTGTATTTCAAGAGTTAATTTCATCATATGACCCTGTGTCCTGGGCAGGAAACTTTCTCTTGGACTAGATGCAGGTTGAGAATGTGTTAGCTTAGCTGTGCAGCAGCTAGCACTTGAACCCACAATAACACCATCACCAGAGGCATTTCCAATATTACAAACGACTACGGGTGAGTCTTAAGAGATACTGAAGAATGGTAATGAATGAGTCCAGTGATGTCAAGAGAAGAAATAATGAAAGCCAGTATTTTAAACAGAGAAGTTTTAGAATTCTTTAGAATACCTTAGGGGTCCTGTTAGCTGTCAGTTGTTAAAAACTGACCTAATTTCAAGGAATTACATTACTATAAGATTAAAATTATATAAAACATTTACACTTTAGGTAAACACAATTGTCCCTCAAAGTTTAACTAAAAACGTAAATAAAAATATGACAAAGCCTTATTTTTTTAAGGGGGGGAGCGGTAGGGCTGACCTTTCTTTTTTGGGGGGGCCATACAGAGATTGAACTCATGGCCTTCTATATACCAGGCAAGTGCTCCACCAGTAAGCTATACCCCTAGCCCAAGACTGACTCTGAATGAACACTTCTGGACAAAAATACAAGTCTGAAAATTAAGATAGTCTTTATGATTGAGATAGTTGGAATATGGACTTTTGTTTGAATTACTTAAATGTCTTTTTCTTTCTGCATGTTGACTATGTCTACCTGCCTGAAAAGAGATAAATACTAATGTAAGTGCTCTGACTTCAAAACTTATAACCAGATACCTCACTATGAGGAAACCAGCAATACAGGGCAGGCTTTTCTCCTTCTGGCAGAGTTCTATTCCTTGTCGAGAGACTACATTTAAGAATATTCCAACTGCTTCAAAAAGGTCCATATCTACTCTGACTAAAGCTCTACCACCATGGCCATGAAGAACGTAAGAGGAACCCTACACTGAGAAAAAGGAGTTAGGATCATTTTCTTGGCCTAGAACCATCCAAATGATGCTGTGGGGTTCTTATCCCTTTATACCCACCCCGCCTTTACAACAGAATGGTTTAGGGCTACCCTCTAAGTCACGGAGACTTAATAATATATAAAACAAAAACAAGCCTGCAGATCCTCTTTATCACAACATTATATATGAAGAACTCGACAGGTCAAATAATACAAAGAACACTGAAACAACTTTAAAAATGGTGGCTGCATGAGTCAACAGGTGAGTGTTATACAGAGGAGGTCTTGGCAACTCACTCTCATGAGAGAAAAACAAGAAAAAATAAACTTATGCTACAGAATGAGGCTCTATAAATTTAGTTTCTGAAATGATTTCCTAAAAGTGTGGAGGAGTCTGCATAAACTCTGCATGTTGAAATGAAATACAGCTTGCAGAGAAGGGAATAAACAAGTCTCATAATTGCTTCATCTGTATGATACAGATACCTACTTTTTCACATTTAGGTCCAAAGCAGAAATAACTTTCACTTGTATGTTATTTGACAACCTTCAAGATACTTTATTTGATCCTCACATCATTCTCCTCACTTTACAGATAGAAAAAAATAACTATCCAAAAAGTCTGTTTTGTAAATTTGGCCATGCCTCTTATTCAAACACTTGGAACTTAGAACTTGGCTCCTGATTCCTAGGTTCAGTTTGTTTTGATCTATTTCTACTTCCTGCTAAAACAAGGTATAATTTAGCCTCCACTTAAAATCCACTTCAAAAATCTGAAGTGAATTTCTAAAACCTTTTTTTGGAAGGTAAATGTATTTATAACATACTTATAATATCAACCTAAAAAGAAAATCTTTAATTATATGCACCTTATTATGTGATAGGAACAACATATTAGAAATAGTCCTTATGATTTTTGGGGGGATTAAAACTGGGGTTTGAACTTAGGGCTTCATGCTTGGAAAGTAGGTGCTTTACTGCTTAAGTCATACCTCCAGTCCATTTTGCTCTGGTTATACTGGAGATAGGAGTCTCACGAACTAGTTGCCCGAGCTGACCTTGAACCACGACCTTCCCAATCTCAGCCTTCCAAGCAGCTAAAATTACTGGCATGAGCCACCAGCACCCAGCCCTTTCTGAAATATTTTACAAGATTTATACTGCCTGTAGTTTGTAATTAGTACCACAGGACTGAGGGTTTAACTCAGTGGTAGAATGCTTGCCTAGCATGATTGAGGTGCTGGGATTAATAAAAAAATGAGTATAATAAAAATACCAGGAATTTAACACTGAAAAATGATACGTCAATAAATTTTAAGAGAAATTATCCTTGCTGATATGCCTTTTTTGGGGGACAGAGGGGACTGGGGATTAAATCCAGGGCCTCATGTTTGCCAGGCAAGTGCTCTACCACTTGAGCTACACCACACTGCCACCACCACCCCTTCCTTTTTAAGACACTCACTAACTTTCCCAGGATAGCCTTGCATTCACCATCCTCCTGTCTTTGCCTACCAAGTAGGTAGGATTATAGGCATATGCCACCACCAAATTCTGTTTTTAAAAAGTAGGAGTACACTCAAAAGTAACGATAAACAGTAACATAGCCATTTCTTATCATTCTTAAGTATTACGTACCATACATAATTGAAAGTGCTATACTTTTATACAATTGGCAATGCAGATTTGTTCACACCAATACCACAAACACATGAGCAATGTGTTCTGCTAAAACAACTTTGATGACATGAGATGATGGGAAGTTTTCATCCCCATTATAATCTTACAGGATCATGAAATGTCAAGATGTAGTACTGCATTTTTAAATGAAACTGACTTCAATGAATGCCCTACTTTCTGTATTTTGGAAATATTTTTAGTGTTCCCCACACAACTTTTAACTTGACACTGATGACTTGTCTATTGAGCTTACTGCAGACCTGGGTGTATTTATTATTTTAATGTGGAGGTATTTTTAAATTTATAAATACCTTTCTAACCGCACTAGTAAGAACTAGCAACATACTGTGGAGAACTCAGTAACTGAGAGGTATGAAATTACTGCAACTGAATTCTTGGCTTTGCCATGGAAACATGTGTCCCTGAATAGTCCACAATTTTCATATTCTACTTACTTCAGCATGCACAGTTCCTCTGAAATAAACTACCTAGTACAGCACCCTGCATACAGTAGACAATAAAATATGAGGTGAATGATTACTACAGACTATTTTGAAGCTGGGGTAAGAAGATCTGACATTTGGCTCTTCATGACCCCAGTTTCCTCATTAACAATCTGAAGAGATTGAGCCACAAAGGCCTACATGTAGGCCAGGAAGTGGACAGAGATCAGTGAGTAGGAAATTTACTCTGGAATGATTACCTGTGGGGGCAAAACTGTCCTGAACTGGGACCTGTCGGTCACTGGATGCAGGTTGTTGTGTGTGAACCTGAGTAAGGCAGCTCTCTTTAGGTAACAGCAAAGTCCTGACAGAGACTCAGCTGTGAGTGTTCAATAACAAACGCTTTTGGCAGCATCCAGTTTACACTGGAGGATCAGGGAAGTGCACTAAGGTTCACCACCACTACAGGGCTTTCATCCAGTTCTATCTTTCCTTTAATTTTCAGGCAGAAATCTAAATCATTTAAAAATAAATTTGAGAAAATAATACATGCTGTAGGATTCCATTCACATCAAGTTCACAGAAAAGGAAGAACTAATATGTGTTGATAGAGCCCAGAAAAGTAGTTACCTTCTCAGGAGTACTGACTTGGAGGGGATATAAGAGAACCCTCTAGCCTGCAGATAATGGAGTTTACCTTGATCTGGAGTACATATGCGAAAATTTACAGGGCTGTGTGTGTGTGGTTTTCTGAAAGATTTGTAAGAAAGGGGATTCCATAAAATGATACTAATATTTTTAAGATAAACAAACGCTTAGCACTGTACTGTGTTAATTGCAAACTTTGTTTTAAAAGTTTAGTTTTCTTTTATTGTGATATTTTGACAATCTTTTGTAATTTTGATAAGCAAAATTATTTTAACTTATTCTCAAGACCACATGAATGTCTCAAAAATAAAAGGCAAAATGATAAGCATAGATATCAAGCGGGCTTAAGGAATCTAAAAACAAAACAAGATAGAGTGACCGATGGATAAACACTTGCAAAACTGCCACTAAAATCAAACTACAGTGGAGATTGAACAAGTCACAGGGCTCGTGATAAACGATTTATAAAGACTAAGTATGGTGCTGCCACCTAGCAGGCAAAGTTGATTACGACCACTTCAGCTCTGAAAGGCCACATCCATTTGCAGAAAATACAGACATGCCAATATGTGTAAGTCTGTATATCTATATACATTGGTTGTAAGCAAGAATATTTAGTGCCAATACTCTACAGAAACAAGGCTTAAATGCTCTCTGCCAGTTTGGACAACAGCTATAAAATCAAATATTTATACTCTAAAATGGCCACTGAGAGCTCAAACAACAGTACTAGTCCCGAGAACTTCAGAGGTTCTCTGGTACAGATCCCATTTGATTTTCAAAAGGCTTTTTCTATAAGACCTAGGGCTATAGGTTCCCATATAACATCCACTGGGGATAAACATGGATAATGCCCAGTTGTACCCTCCAGGTTCTCTTCTCCAAAATCTATTTGGAGGTTCAGTGAACTCTAAATAAAGCTACTGCTGAGTAAGAGAGAAGCACATGGTGTGCTAGATTTTTGAGCAGCAGTTTTAAGAGTGCATGTAAGGATTTCCTCCTTTACTATGGTCTGAACATCTACCTAGATGCCAACATGCGAGGGCTCCTGGTCCTCTATGCAGAATTTCCCACTTAAACTTCACCCCTGCAGTTCTTTTGGCCTACTTAAGACAACACCTTACAGAGCACCACAGTCAAAGACTAAGTGAACACCTAGCTAGATCCCTAGCCACAAAAAATGGTGAAAACCTATATTATGCCAGCACTTCAAGGGCAGAAGGACAAAGCAAAGACCATAATGAATCTGGAGAATATATCGCTACTGAGAAGATCAGGCTACTAGATAGATATCCAATGACCAGAAGAGGAAATAGCAACAGTATCTCACGTCCATGCCATTTTCCCAGACAGAAGGTATAAAACACTATCATTTTACTGCATTGACCATTCTCATTTAAGTAAGGTCTTCCTGCCTAAGCACACACGAAATTATATGACCACTGGGAAAACTACAATAATTAAAAGAGACCAGCACAATCACCCTGTCACCTTAATTGGCCCACAGATGCTGTCACATAAAACACAGCCCAACACCCAGAGAGTAACAGTATAGCAAAAGAAGGCAGTAAAGTCATTCAATCAAATACAACTGAAATACATAGAAATGAAGTAACTGAAGTTATAGATGGGCTTTGCTACAAACTAGTTACAAACTATGGAACAGAGGCAGTACATAGGATTATATTAGTATGATGCACTGAGTATGTCAGTCACTGAACTGAGGAATTTATAGACTTACCAAGCAGTCAGGAGAATAAAGTTCCAGGATCCAATCTGCACCTAAGAATCTACAGTTTAGGACAGTGGATACCTCTCGAAATCAACCTTATTGTCTGTATTTACCAGAGGGGTATTTCCAGAGTGTGTTCCATGGAACAAACAAAAAATAGTGATATGCTTCTCAATAAAAAGGTTTCATGATCAAGTAGGTGTAGGGAAATATACCCATTCTAAACTACCATTAGAGATTCACAATGTGCTTAAATACGGTAAAAGATGTGTGAAGTGCTATAGTTAAATGTTTAATTTTTTAGATACATCTCTTCCAAGCCAATGAGACACTAAACTATCTTCTCCTTTAATAAACATTAACATTCACAATGCTGTTCCTCAAAGAGTTAAAGACATAATTATCACATGATATACCAACTCCACTTCTGTGATGGGAAAGACTCCAACAGATATTTGTATACCCATATTCATAGCAACACTATTCACAATGGCCAAAAGGATCCTTAGAAGCAACCCAAGAATTTTGGTTAAACAAAATGTGGTATTATAGACACAAGTGCATATTATTCCACTTTTTTTCTTTTTTCTTTATTTTTTTTGGCAGTTCTGGGGCTTGAACTCAGGGCCTTCACCTCAAGCCACTCCACCAGCCCTATTTTTGTGAAGGGTTTTCCAAGATAGTCTCTCAGAACATTTGCCCAGGCTGCCTTCAAACCTCAATCCTCCTGCTCTCTGCCTCATGAGTAGCTAGGATTACCAGTGTGAGGCATGGACGCCTGGCTATTCTACTTTTTTAAAAAAGGAAATTCTTATGTTACAACATATATGAACTTTGAAGGCTTGATGCTAAGTGAAATAAGTCAGACACAAAAGGACAGTAGGATTCCCATTATATGACATACCTAGAATAGTCAATTCTTAGAGGCAGAAGGTAAAACAGTGGTTATTAGGGGAAGGGACAGGGGAAAAAGAAGTTATTGTTTAGTGGTAAGGAGTTTCGGTTTGGGATAATAAAAATGTTCAGGAGATGAATAGTGTTAATGAAAGTACACTAATGTAAATATAATTAATGCTGCTGAATTGTACACTTAAAAATGGTTAAAATGGTAAATGTTAAGTATATTTTACTCTAAATTTAAAAAATTTTAAAACATACTTTAGCAAATACTTGGTTTTCTCTTAATTCTAATATTTTATGATTATGAACTCACTAAAATAGTCAACATAAATTACCTTACCTCTGCCACACAACAAATCGACCCCAAAGCTTCCCCACGAAAACCATAGGTTGTCAGGTTTTCAAGATCTTCATGACTGTTTATCTTTGAGGTATAGTACTTCACTGCCATTACAGGTGCATCAGCAGCCTTGATCCCCTCACCATTGTCTCGAACTTCAATTTTATCAAATCCATAGTTCTCCTATAAAAAGTTAGAAACACTTTTAATACTTAACAACATTAAGCTGTAATCACATTGAGAAACAAACACAAATGAAACAATTTGGTTATTTACTTTTTATGAAAGGATAACACTATGGAAACAAGAATTTAATTCTTTGATTTAATAATTTCTAGCTATGATTGAATGAGCAAGTCTCGTTTTCTCGGGACTCAGGTTCAACTACAAAATAAAGTCTGATTTTTGAGGGTTCTCTTAACTGATTTGCTAACATGGATATTTATGATTATTTATGTTTAAACTTGACTAAAAAAAAATTCTTCTGACATACATACCCTTTGTATATACAATCACCACAAAAAAATAAGACAAAACATGATCACCAGCAAAACATCACCTGTTCTATTCACCAAGAGTCTAGCAATTATAATAATTCAACAGAACTTTTCAGAATTCCTCTCTTGTTGCTTTCATAAATAATTTAAAAATATTTACTACACTATAACTTCCTAAATTTCTTTCCACAAATACCACCAAACAGGAAATTGCTGAGGCAACACACTTAATTTGGCAATTGCAGTGAGTTTTTAATTTGAAAATTAAGAAAACTCTATTCATAGCTTAGTCCTATAGTCTAGTACTAAACTACACATGTATAATAAAAACAAAATCTAAATTTCTATAATAATGATACTTGCTATGAAAGTATCTAACTCTGGTAGTCAACATTTATGATAAGCCTGACTCCAAAAAATTTTATGAGTATGGTCACAGATAAAAGTTATAAAAGGGAAAACATTTCCTACAATTATACTAACTCCATATTACAAAATATCATATCCTTCTAATACCATAAGATTATATAATACTGCATACATTAATATTTTCTTGTTAAGTTATATATGCTTTGTATAAAGCACTGGAGGGAAATACCTAAGACTTAGTCCCTCCTATTTCTCTCAACCTAAAATTAAGTTGACATTCTAGGAATAGTATGTCTGCTTCATTTTATATAGAAAAAAATTAATTAGGCAGGTATGGGTGCTCAAACTTGTAATCCCAGCTACTTGGAAGGTGGAGATCAGAAGGATCATGGTTGGAGGCCAGTTCTGGCAAAAAGTATGCAAGACCCCATCTCAACTAATGGCTGGGTGCAGTGGTATGTGCCTGTCAGATCAGCTTTACAGGAAAGCACAAAAAGGAGAATCACAGTCCAGGCTGGCCCAGGCATAGCAAGACCCTATCTGAAAAATAACCAATGCATAAAGGACTGGTGGAGTGGCTCAAGTGGTAGAGCACCTGCCTAGCAAGGGCAAGGCCCTGAGTTCAACTCCCAATATTGCCAAAAAAAAAAAAAAGAAGAAAAAATATTAGCTAGAGAAATGCAAAAATGCAAATCTTGCAACAGAAATAAGAACTCTAGGCATCTGAGTAAATTAAGAGCATAAAGATCTCTTTAAATGTTTAAAACAGTATCAACATGCTTAATTATGTACAAAATCAGAGTAAGCAGGTCTTATGTAGAACGGAAGTTGAGTTTTTTCAAATTCTGCAAAGTAGATACAGTGTCAAGAGACTAGAATACATACCCAGGTAAAAATGCTAATTTACTTTAATAGGAATACTTCAATTGGCTTGGCAACATTATTTTTAAAAACAATTATTTTCCTTCTAGAGACATTAAGACCCAAAATACATATTTTAAGAGATTAAATAACAAAAAGGACATAACAAAATGTTTGCCTACATAAGAGTTTTAAGTAAAACCTATCAGATATGATATAAATCTATTTAATTATTATCAATTGTACTCTAATCAGACTGACAATTATATGAAATTCCTAAGAGAAATACATTGTCTTTCACTGTGTTTAACTTAGTCATCTTGTTTTTCCTATTTATAAAAATTATGATATATTACTTATATATTACATTACTTATATATTATTTACCAACACAATCTAGGTTTAATGTGGTATAGAAGAGCAGCTCTAAAAGTATGTTCCCTGATACAGCAGCATTAACATCAACTAGAAACTTGTTAGAAATGCAAACTCTGAAGTTTTAGTAATGGAGCTTGGTAACTGTCTAATAAGCCCCCTAAATTAATCCAATGCACATAAACACTGAAAGAAGCACTGGCATAGATGAGAGATCTTGAACAGGTTTTAGAATCAGGAAGACTGGATTCCAATCTCAGCTCACTACTTACTAATTATATCATGTCAGACAGGTTTTCAGAACACTAATTATCTGTAAAAAGGGCATCCTAATAGTTAATACACAGTTTTTATAAGTGGCAGCTGGGAATTTATAGCTGTATCATAGAATCTTATCTGATAGACTGATAGACAAGAACATGTTAGGGCCCTTTCTATAAAGCTATTTCTATCAGCATTACTTCTAATGCCATAATGCTAGAAATGCCACAAACACATGACAATTAGGAGATTTAAAAAAACGTACTTTTACACTCAATCAAATCTATTCACCCCCATAGTTCTTACTAGGTAGTAGGCAAGTATGGAGGACATAAAAATGAATAAAATATAGAGCTTACCTCTATGAGCTTGCAATTTAAAACACATGAAATGAACATTGAAACTAATTTTATTAAATCATGAGTCACATTATTAATATACAGTACCTAAAAATATGAAAACTATGAAGTAACAAGAGAAATGGTTTTGAAATAAGATTAGGTAGAAAAATAAAAGAGGAAAATATAATACCAGTAAACATGAGTGACAAAGGGCAAACAGCAGTAGAAAATACAGACATTAAATCAATGTTTTAGGTGATGGAGTCCTAAAGTATATGCACTCTTTTATAATTTCCTTACGTTAATATGTTGGTGATTGAAATTAATATTTATAAGAATGTGTTCTTAAAGGCAGGGCATTGTGTGTATGCATACAAGAGTTAGAGGCAGGAGATGGGAATTTAAAGACAGCTTGGGCTCCATGGCAGACTGCCTCAAAAACAAAACAAAAACAAAAAAATGCGTCCTTAAGATGAAAGGTCCAATGTCCTGAGAACAGTTTACTAGTACAAAGAAAGAAAAGAAGATAACAGTTTAAAAAGAAAACATGTGTCAAGCCCTTTGTGCTCTAAATGGGAGCAAGGATGCTCACCAGTTTAACATCTATGCTTGTGGCACCGGCATCCAAGGAGTTCTCAATGAGCTCTTTTACAACACTGACCACTGAAGTGATGATCTGAGAACTTGAAAGGAGGCGAACTGTTGCTGCAGGCAACTGTTTCATTCTACCTTGTAGCAGAGTAGCTAAAAGATAAAAACCCAAGATGTAAAAATAAGAATTGTTAAACATCCCTAATACAACTGATAGCAATAAATGACACAATAATAGCTCACATTTATTGAGCCTAACTGTATGCCAAGCTGTATTTTAAACACAGTCAGTATTATTTCTTACCAATACCCTTTGAAATAGGTCCCTTTATTATTCCTTTTATAAGGTTTCTGAGGCAGAAAAGAACTTACTCAAGATCATTCAGTTATTAAGAGGCAGAGCTGGGCTAGGAAACGTGGTTCATGTCTATAATCCCAGATATTCAGGAGGTGGAGAACAGGAGGCCTTGGTTTAAGACCAGCCCAAGCAAAAAGTTATCAAGACCCTCCCATCTCAACAAACAAGCTGAGTGTAGTGATGCAATCCTGTGATTTCAGTAACTAGGGTGACTGTATTAGGAGGATGGCCAGCTCTCAGCAAAAAACAAACAAGCAAACAAACAAAAACCATGAGACCCTACCCAAAAATAAAGCAAAACAGTTCTGGAAGTGGCTCAAGTGGTAGAGTGCCTGTCTAGCAAGAGCAAGGCTCAGAGTTCAACCCAGTAGCTTAAAAAAAAGGAGGAAGGGGCAGAGTTAAGAATTAAATACAAGCAAGCCATTCAACACTTCCTCAACTGATACGTAATCTAATTAATCTTACAAATGAAAGACCAAATTATCTCTTACAAATGAAAATGACCAAAGCAGTTTTAAAAAATCCACAAAACATAAGAGAGAGAAAGCTTCTGTTTTCCTAATTTCTCTTCCAGGATTTGTGTGTGACTATAATTGGTACCTAAAATTTTGACTTTTCTCCTACTGAATTCCAATCCAGTGTTTCCTATGAGTGCCTGCTAAAACTCACTAGCTCAAACTCAAGGAATAATCCATTCATCCAGACCCAGACCTGAAGGCAATCAATTCCTAAATCCTATCAGTTCTTATCCCTACACATTTATCTATCTATCTATCTTTTTTTTTTTTTCTGGTGGTGGTGCTGAGGATTGAATCCAGGTCTTCAAGTATGTGCTCTACTACTAAGCTATACCACACCCCTAGGCTCTCTTTTATATCCTCCCTCTATGAATAGTTTAAGCTAGAAGCATTATACAATGTAATTTCCTAACTAGCCTCCATCACTCTTAAGCATTGGTCACCAAGTCCATACTACCTATTAAATGACAATAATTTTAACAAGAATAGCAGCTACCACGTATTAAATTTCTAGTATGTTAGATACTGTGCTAATTATTCTATATATAGGATTGCATTTAATACTCTAAACATGAAAAGGAAGTATTTTGCAAATATTAATTACTATGATAGTCTAAGATGTGTAAAAGAAATGTAAAAGTTGTTAGAATCAAAATAGAGCTGTTTGGGTCATCCTACCAAAAAATGTAAATAGAGCCACATGACTGCCTAACAGTAACTATCACCAGAACCACAAGCTTGTACAAGGACATCTAAACAGCAACTAACTGTTCACCTCAGAATGACACCAGTCTTATTATTAATCAGTCACTGTCACCATGTTTCAAAATATCTGATGTAATCCTCACTTCTTCTTTAAAAACTTCCCCTTGGCCTCAACCTTTTTGAATACACCCATGGTTTACTGTGACACATTCATTTCCATTGCAACGCTCTGTTATTCCCAGTGTAATGCTATTCCCAAATAAATATTATTCTGTGGAGAATCAGTCTTTTTTTTTTTAAATTTAGGTCGACAGAATTTAAAAAAAATGAATGATTAAGTATTAAGTACTTGTAATAAGCTAGAGATTTTTATCTCAAAGTTATTCCCTCAAATGTCTATATCAAATGTGCCTTGGTCCAAACTAATTACAGTGTATCACTGAGTAAATCACGGAAGGAACACAAACCTTAGAATTATGGAAACAGATGTGTCTTCAAAAAGATTTCTTAAAAATAAACACTTCATTGGTAAATCACACTATGGTAATTAATTGAAGAATAGTGCAGTGTAATGTATGATCTGCCTGGCTGGGAATGACTACAATGGGCTGTCACCTTGGGATGTGGACAGTGACTCAATCATGTGACTTAAAACAACAGCTTCACTTACACATCATTAGTCATTCATATGTTTTGAAGAACTGCAATGACTTAAAATCATTGGGTTCTTTTGGAATTAGGTGATCTAGGCTCCAATTACTGTTAATCTGAACCAGTCAAATCTCAGACACGTAAGATAATTACCCTCCACATTACTCTGACTAAAACATCACTCTAATCGTGTGGCTTCCGAAATTTGGTAAGACGAAGCCCAAATCTCTGTGTTTACATTCGAAGTCCTCTACGTGATGATCCAACACGCACATACAAAATCTCTCTGCTAGTAACTGTTTTAGCTACAAAACCTTTAAGTTCAAAGAAACAAATTAAAAAAATATCTAATACAATATTCCATACTTCAAAGAAACAAATTAAAAAAATATCTAATACAATATTCCATACTTAAAACATGCATGATAGGAGCTCTGCATCTGCCTTAATGCATAATTTCAGAAAAGATTTTGGGAAAGCAAATTCTCACTTCAGAACATGCAACTCCTCTAGAGAGTTAAGATTTTCTTGGACTAAAAAAATGGAAAGAAAAAAACCCTAGCTACTTTTTAAAAATTAAACATGCTCATATGATGATCTGATCCCATGGAATCTAGTTCTAAACAAAAGAACAGTGCAAAAAAACAAAACAAAAAGGTCAGTTTAGAATTCTTTCTCAGACAATGTAAGGTCATGTAAAGTAAGAGTCAGGAAATGGGGTACAGGCACTATAAGGTTTTAACAAATAAATTTCTATGAGGAAGCCAACTATTTGGTTCTGAGAGTGTTGACTGGTCACAATTCATAATTATAATAATTATATGTTGCTATACACAAGGCAGAGTTGATTGGCATAAAAGAAAAACAAATTATACCGGTGCTGGGGTTCATCATTATTACTGAGGCAAATCATTTAAGTACCTCTATTAAAACAATTCATCATTTGTAAAAATGGAGACAATACTTGACTGGTTTATTGTAAAGATGAAATTAAAAAGCATATACAGTAAGCTCACCTTATTCATAAATTACACATGGTTTTGACCAAGTACTATCCAAAAATAGTAAGTAAAAACCAAAAGAAATTTTTAAAACAAAAATAAATTCCCACAAGCACTTCAAATGTGGCTACTCTAAACTGAAATGGCTAATATGACCGGCTTTCAAACTCAGCATAAAAAAGCCAGAAAGTATGATTAATTTTTTTATACTGATTACAGCACAAATGATATTCTAGTCATATTAGGCTACATAATTACATGTAATTAAAATTAAATCCACTTTATTCTCTACCTGGTTTTTTTTTTTTTTAACTTTTGCAACTTTTTTTTTTAAACTCATGACACACTGGGCCTCTGTCTTCCAACTGCTGGAATTACAGGATGCACCATGGCCAACCTCTTTTTAACCTTTTTTTAATGGACTTCTAGAAATTTTAAAATCATAGCTTATCTTATAGCCCTAGTGGAGTGCTGGACACAGTAGTACTTAAAAAGGCAAGCTCTGAAATCACACTACTTAGGTTTTATCCATCCTCTTACACTATTAGTTATGTAACACTGAGAAAATTAAACTCAATCATCGAATCTATAAAATGGGGATAATGATGGTATCATATGGTTGTAGTAAAAACAAAAAAAAAAGGTAGTGCATATAGAGAATGTATTACAGTACCTGTCATGTAATGCGAAGATCCCAGGATACATGGACTAACCCAAATTCCTCCAACTCCTAAATGAACAACCCCCTCTCTTCAACCCTTACCCTTACAGGAGACAGCCCACTCGGCTTGTGTTCAAAAAGTTCTCTACCTTAGTTTCAGAATTCCAAGGATCTAAGGAAAGCACAGATTAAGTTTGGGGCATAATCTTATATTAACCTTTATTTGTTCTGGAAAGTCTTCCTAGTTTCATCACTTTTGACTTCTTCTCTAAATGCCTCTTTCAATATTTTTTTTTTCCAAATCCAATTTCATACCAATCTTCCTCACTTCTCTAGTTTACTGATATCACAGCGATTTGTAGCATCAATGCTATTATAGCTTACACAGTCACAGTGTCCTCCGATTTCATACAATGCCTGCATTTCAATGCATACTCCTCTTTCTTTGGTGTTAGATCAATGTCTATTCTCTCCTAACCAACTGAATGTTTGTGTCTTCCCACAATTCATGTAGAAATCCTAACCCTACAAGATAAAGGATTAGGAGGTAAGGACCTCGGCCCTTTAGGAAGTGATTAAGTCACAAAGGTAAAGCCTTCACGATTCAGATCAGTGACCTTATAAAAGAAGCTCCATAAGCTATCTTGTGCCTTTCTTCCATGTGAGGACATAGTAAGCAGGTGCCCAGGCTGGGCATGGTGGCTGATACCTGTAATTCTACCAATTTGGGAGGCAGAGAACAGGAGGAGCTGGTATAAGGCCAGGCTAGGCAAAATGTAGTGCAATCCCACCTCAGCCAATAAAAACCTGGGTGTATTGGTTTGTGCCTGTCAGCCTAGCTACATGGAAAATGTAAATAGGAGGATCATGGTCCAGGCTGGCCCACAAATAAATGCAAGATCCTGCCAGAAAACTATCTAAGGCACAAAGGGCTTGCAAGGGGGGGTGACAGAGGGGATGACGACAAGTGGGGAGCTCCTGCCTAGCAAGTACAGGACCTTGAACTCGAACCCAATTACTGCCTCCCCCCAACAAAAAAGTGTCATCCATGTGCCAGAGAACACTCACCAGATATTAAACCTGCCTTAACCTCACTCGCCAGACTCTAGAACTGTGAAATGTTTGATATTCATAAGATTCCCAGTATACAGTATTTTGTTACAGCAGCTTGAACCAATGAAGGCATTTTAACACTTTTACCTAATTACTAACACTTTCACCTATTTTCATTCATCTAGTTTTCCTACAAGCATCTTGACCTTGACTGTAAAAGCAAACAAAAAATTCTTCCCTCAACTCTTAGCAATTCAACTTTGTATGGAGTGAAACTTGAATAAGCATACTGTATTCATTTTCACTAACTCCCTACCATTAACTTTATAAAATGGCTTATAACCTCAACCATTGCTGGGATTCTATTCTCTCCAAGTTCAATACTATTCTCCTCAGTCACTAAATCCTTTTCTCAGGACCCATGCTCCTTGACCACCCTAAAGTATGTGGCAGCAATGATGTTACCTAATTCTCAAGGAAATTTCCATCTATACCTCTTGGACCTCTTTGTGTTTTCTTTGCTCTCTTTCTAGAAATGTGAGCATTTCCCAACCCCTTTCCCTTCTTCCTAGGTAAAAAATGTAAACTTCCAACAATATCACCAAAAGTCATTTCTCTCTTCCCAAGTGAAGACAGGCATTTCTAAAAATTATTCTTTGCCACCTCAAATAAATATCTGTAAAACACAACATATCATCCTATCTTCCCCCTTGCCTTCCACTTAACTTTGGTATGTCTCTTAGTAATACAATTATTAATCACCAAGGTCAAAAAACCCCATCTTCCTTTGTCAGCAAACCCTATTTGTACTCCCATTTCCTCCTAACGCAATATGACTGATCATTCTGGACCCAGTTCTAATATCACCTGCAATAAGATCCTTTCTGATCAACCAACTGAATGATCCTTCTCTCTCCCTATACTCCTACATTACTTGGCTTACATCACTCTTGGAATGCTTATCACATCCTTGTCTGGAACTGTAAAACTTTTTGAGTGCAACATATTATACATTATGTATCTCCGGACGCTACAATTACAGTACTTCACCCACAGGGAGAACTTAATGAATATTAATAGTCACTAAAAATCTAAAAATAATTTTATCAGCATCTTTCTTGTGCCAATGTAAAAGTTAAAGACTGTGCTTGGGTACCTCGTGCTTACCACAGGCTATGCTCTTACGCTGACTGTATAGAAAGAGGAGACAAAGTAAACCTACCCCAGGTACACCTCAGCCCAGGCCCTGTGCCTGGTCTGTATTATGAATGAGGAGACATGGTTTAAAAAAAAAAAGTGTTCTCATGCTCAGCCTGTTACCACTGCCTCAAGGCTTTCCTTTTGTATACTTAATTTTAAACTAGCTTCCACATCACTCCCTAGCCCAACTGTACCTCCTAACAACTGTTTTCTGAATTTCATGGCCTTATTCACCTACCTTCTAAATATCATCATTTAAATCACCTGATGGCAACCTACACTTTAATATGTCCCAAACTAATCTCACGTGTTTCCTTCTTCCTGGGATGACTTCTAACCACTCTTCTGGATTTAGTTCAAGTGTCACCTTCCAACCCCCGCCCCCCAGCTTTAATCCCCAGTAGACTAGGCTCTGTAATCCTATACACAGCACCTTTCTTATTTTTAATCTAAACTCATTACAGACTATTCTATTTGACTTCCCTTTCTCAGGATAGAAATTTTATACTCATCACATATTCCCATAACATGACGTTCTAATGTACGTGTACCAAATGACCTTAAAAAGTAGAAGGTTGATGTCAGGCTTACAAGTCACAGCACAGAACGTCTGAAAATGTCAGTATAGTCAGTCTTCCATATTTGCTGAGAGGACCACTCCGGGAAGGGCGCTGATGTCCAGTAAAGTCAGGTTAACAGGTGTTCCTAAAAAAATAGAGATCAGAGAATTCAGAGATTTTAGGGAGAATACAAAGGAATACTTTATAGAAAGAATACATCTAGTCGTATTGTTTTCATAGACTGCTCCCTCCCCAAATACAAGATATTTAGACATTTATTGCCAGATTTCTCTAAATCAACTTTGAAATGTTTAGGGAAGTTATTTCAGCAATAAAACAAACTCTATGCGACGCCACGGTAAAGGAAGTTGATTTCAAAGATGATTCCAACAATCTAATCAAGTCTTTTCCCTCTCTGTCCTCAATCAATTTTTGGTGTCCACATTTCTAATGAATACAATACAGATGGCTGTATCTCTAATAAACGGAGAATGTCACCAGCAAAAGTCGTGATTAAATGTTGAATGACTTGCGTCCCTTTTATGTCACAGCATACAATATTATTAAACGCCACCCTCCCACAAAACACTTTTTACGGCTTTTGTGGATTAATTTATCTGCCAGGAAAACAACTTTTTAAGTCCGGCACTCAAAAGGGCCTGCGGAATAGAGTATCACACAAGCCAAGCCCAGATCCGGCCGAAGAGCGCTCCCCACGTGTGCGCGCCCGCGAGCGGGCTTCGCCGCCTCCAGACCCAGGGGGAGGCGCCCACCGCCCACTGCGCCCGCGCTCGAGCGAAGGACCTTTATGCCTCCCTGAATACAACAGTGAATGCCCGTTAGTCTACCTCCTAGCTCATGCGAGGAAGGCAATTACCATCCACCGGCGGCAGCAGCCCATACCCCGAGCCCAGCCTCGCAGGAAGTCCACCGTCCCAGCGCGCGCGCGCGGCGGGGCGGGGCGGGCACTTAATGCGCCGCTTAATCCTGCCTTGCCCGGGGAAGTGGGATTGGCGCTGACGGCAGCCAATCGCCTGGCAGCCAGTTGGGCTCGGAAGACTTCCGTAAGCAGCGCGGTGCTGGCGCTGACCGCTGGTGATTCGAGCGTCGGGATTCGCTGCGGTTCTCGCCCCGCTGATTCTGCGCCGTGCGGGCTGCGGGCTGCGGGCTGCGGGCTGCGGGCTGCGGGCTGCGGGCTGCGGGAGCCGGCCGGCGTTGTGGTAAGTAAGCACAAACGCGGCAGGGACTTCATGGGCCTGGTGGGCCTAAGAGACAAAGCAGGCTCCGGTTAGCCGTGTAGCCGTGCGGGCCGAGTGGCCAGATGCTCAGCTCTCAGCCCTAGTCTTTGCGCCACGGCCCTCTCGGGCGTGCAGCTGCAGCCACCGAGGGCGAGAGGGGGCCGCCAACGGCCGGGATGAGAGGTGGTGGCGTCCGTACCACAGCGGGATCCTGCAGGTCGCTGTCTTCCAGTGCCGGGCAAGGCCCGAGCCCAGAGCCGACGCTGCCTGTAAAGTCATTGTTTGCGGATCTTCAAGAGGCGGGGCGCACCTGCGGGGAAAGGGTTTCTGAACTGGGTGGCCTTGCCTTGCAACTGAGATTTCACTTGTGATCCTCTTTCCATCCCGTGAAAAGTGGAAAAACCATCTTGAGGCATGTTCTAAGAATAATATACCACTTAAAATACTGTATGATAAACGATGGATGTTTATAGTAGAAAAAATATCTGCACACCTAAGTTTAAAAGACTTTGCCTTGTTTTCGTGTAACTTCATTACTGTAAGCCTCGATGCCTATTCCATACATCCTGAGAGGGTGAAAGGGACATTATACCCCAAAACACTTTCTGGATGGGCTTATGGGAAACGCCTGCTTGTGCTAACTCTACAGTAGAGAGAGTTGACTTAACTTTTCAGTGGGAGCTGTTACGTATTTAATCTGGAACTGTTGTTCCTCTTCCCTGGGATGATCGGTATTCATCAGGATAATCTGATTTTGTTTAAGAACTCTTAGACTCAGATGAACATAATCACACAATGAGAACTATTTTCAGTTTTTCCTCTAGTACCGTTTCATCGTGAACGTAAAAAGAGTAAGGAGAAAACTACGAAGAAAAAGAAAAGGTAAAAGTTAAGGGAAATTTGACTAGAGAAGTATTCAGTAGATTGATTCATGGCTTTTAACATAGTCGTGCTACAAAATTGAGAAACAACACCTCTTGACCATGTAAATTTTACACACTATCAACAGCTCATTCCTCCCAGGTTCAGTATTGAAGTGCTTTGAACTCTGACCATTAGATGTAACAATCTGGCTACTCAAAAACAGGCTGGGTCAGTTCTCATTTTGTTATTGTTTGGGTTTTTTTAAATATTATTTTGTTGATTGTCATATTAGGTACAATTAGCCAGATGCAATAAGTACCCTATATTTTCTCACAAATATGGAAACTAATAATTTTTTAAAAAGTAGACAACTGAAAATAGAAGACAGTAGGAGAGGAGATGTAGAAAGAAGGGATACAATCAAAGCATGTTATAGGTATGTATGGAAATATCACAATGAAACCCATTAATTTGTACAATTAAAAGATAAAATGTTGGTAACTTTAGTTCCTGGTTTTTCTTTTAAAATGTAGATTTTCTCTTTCAGGTTGAGTTTTCTTGTCCATTACTTCATGTAGTAAAACCAACATGCTAGAAGACAAGTGTTAGAAAAGGAACCATAAAAACTAGTCATGGGGGAGGGTGCAGAATAACGTGTTTATTTTACCATAGTTAAGGATTTTTTACTGCCTACTGTAGTATCTACAAGTAGCATATTTTGGAGGATGTGTGTGTTCTATTTCAGAATAACAAGGAAAAAAAAATCCTGGTAACATTTTGTTATATCAGAGTTAGGGCTATTTACGTTCCCAGCTGTATCAGTGCTCATTCATTTCATTATCTTTCCTCCAGAGGAAACATGAATGTTGGAGTTGCCCACAGTGAAGTGAATCCAAATACCCGTGTAATGAACAGCAGGGGTATGTGGCTGACATATGCACTGGGAGTTGGCTTGCTTCATATTGTCTTACTAAGCATTCCCTTCTTCAGTGTTCCTGTTGCTTGGACCTTAACAAATATTATACATAATCTGGTAAGACTTTCACTATGTTCTAGATACTTAAAACCTCAAGGTCTAATGGTTGCCAAAAGTTTAGGGGAAGAAGGAATGGGGAGTTAATGAGTACAGAGTTTCAGGATTTTTTTTTTTTTTTAAGCTATACAGAGAGATTCCTAGCGTTGCTTCCATGCACATATGTATTACAACCCACATTGGTTTCATCTCTACCAGACCTCTTCACTACTTCCTAGTCCCCTTTCCATAGTGGCCTCAGCCAGTTTAAGTTTCAGTTTTGCAAGATGAAAAAAGTTCTGGAAAATAAATGGCAGTCGTGATGGTTCACTAACAATACAAATATACTTAATACATTGTAAAGAAAAACATGACTTAGTGGTGTTTTGTGGTCATTTGTATTGCTGTGCTAGGGGTTAAAATAGCTATGAGCTACAACTTCTTCAGCCTAACAATGTAGTGTTTTCTGACAACTTTATTTAAAGTATAATTCTATACCATAAAATTCATCTATTTAAAATGCATAGTTTCATTGTCAGCACTGCAAAAAATATAAATGTATATTTCAGTGGTTTGGATAGGATTTTGATTTTTTTTCCTTTTTTCTAAGGAACACTTTTCTCCCATTGTTTGTATAGAAGCAAGAAAATAGGTTGTTTTACTAAAAATTACAAGATACCATAATGTATCGATTAACCAGAATACTTCAGAAGTAATTCTGGTTTTTGGTTAACTGAAGTCTAATGAAAATCTTTGGTTTCAATCCTTGTTAAGTCTTTCTAAATAATATACTTTCTTGAGTGAATATAGAAATTTTGAGTGTATGATGCCTTAGCTATCCTGTAGTAACTATTGGATTAGCTCTACAATGTAGTAGAGATTTGATTGACTCTACTGACCATCTTGTGCAGCCCTGGATTTAACTGTCTTTAAAAAAAGAAACACATAAAACAGTTCTTATAATGGGTTTTCTTATCTTTAACAGCCTAGTAAAGTAGAACAAAAAGGGAGAGATCTAGTTACTAGAGAATTTTAATTGAATCCAAATTAACTATATTTATTTAAAAATCAAAAATTTAAGAATGCAGACCAGTGAAACAAAATGTACAAAAAATCAGTTTTTCAAATGACTGTTTTATATCTTATGGCATGTACTTCAAGTTGATTGGTGGAGCACTAAGATAATATGCTGAGGAAATTAGTAATCCATTTTATGTGATAGACTGTTATGTTTAAGAGAGGGTTGTACTATGAACCTGGCCGGGTCCAAATTCCTGGGTTCAAGCAATCCTCCCACCTCAAGTTCCTGAGTTGCTGAGACTAGAGGAGCAGACCAATATACTTAGTGAACATTGTTTTTGAATAGGGACTTCAGGACTGGGGTATTGCTCAAGTTGACTAGTAACAAGGCCCTGAATTCCAACCTCAGTACCACAAAAAATCGCAGCTTCTGCGAAATTTTGACACTAATCATCAAAACTCTTCCTTTGGCTTCCATAGGATACTTTCTTCTATATGTATTTCTAATTTCCTTCTCTATTTTCTCTTGCAAGGTCTTCCTTTTGTCTTTAATCTCTCTTAAATATTGCTGGTTCCAAGGTCCTTTTCTTCTCTTGTTTTGCTCTTTTCTACCTAGGTTCTTTTCATCTATCTGTATTTTCAGTTCCTACCTGAAGAATGGTCATATTTATAATAACAGATCATCTTACCCCTTAAACCAAAAATATAAACTGAATTTACCAGATTCCTGATTTTTGCCTTACAAACCCACAATTCTCCTCTGAATTTACTCTAAAGGCACTGCTGTTTACCCAGACTGCCAGCTGAATGTCAATGATAAAGTGATCATCCAAACTGAGAGCTCTAGTAATGACTTCTCCAAGAGAAGAGGTGTAAGCCAGATAAGTACTATGCAAACGAGGACATATGGTCAGTCTAGTCTTAGAATAACTCCTTTTCCTTTATACTCCCTAACCATTTAATCAAAGACCTCTTGTTCTACTGCTTCACTGTCAGCTTGCCCACACCCTCATTTTCCTCAGGTAAATTACTCCTAACAAGTCAAATGCTCTTGATTTTTCTCTACTGTACCTTCCTCCATTCCAACTTTGCAGGGAAATATTTTTAAAATGAATGTCTGCTCAAGTCATGCTATAAATCCTTCAAAGGTTCTCTACTGCATTTATGGTAAAATGCCAAGTTCTTTGTGTGGCATATAACATAGGTTAGTAACAGTATAGAGGCAGAAAGGGACTCCCATCATATCTCAACTCTCTCCAAACATAGGCTGTGCTCTAGCAACAAAGAAAGTCATCTTGCTGTTACCTTTTTACTTTGGCTTAAGCTCTTCTTTTTTAAATAATCTTTCTCTCTTCCTTGAGCTCTGCCTGCCTGGCTGATTTCCTACCTGCTCAGCAAAACTACTCAAGTATCACCTCCTCCAGGAATCTCTACAACTCTCTGCATTCTGTTGTTGCATTTATCATAGTTTTAAAATTAGCACTTTATCTCTTTTTAATATTTTAATTTCTGTATCTCTAATAAAATATGTATATGTTTGCTTCCCTTTTTCAGTGGCACGTCTTAAATGTACTTTGAAAACCATCCCCACCCCCACCTTCCATGTTTTCAAGTTGATTAACTGAGATTGAGACACAGTACATGACCATGAAGAAATAGTAGGTAATTGACACATTGTAGGAAAGCAAATTTCTATTTATTCATTATTAGTTCACCACACTAAAAGCCTAAACTCAACCAGCCATAGATGTAGCAATTACATGACTCCAATTTTAGATTTCCTTTGAAGATAGCGTACATTGAACTAATTAAAAATGTGAAATACATCCTAAGTGTTTTCAAACATGGGAAAATAGAGCTGATTGTTGTACCTGGTTAGAAAAATACATTGTATTTGCCTTTTAAAGCCACAGTAAAAATCTGCAGCGATTGTTTTTATTCAGTGCTGTAGTTTACTCTTAGGAGATGATGTTAGTGATTCCCAAAATTACTAACCCAGCTTTTAAAATGAATGGGAATTCTCTTTATATTTATTCAGTAAATATTTTGAAGGTACAACCATGAGATATGTATTTTCTTTTTCTAATTCAGTGTATGAATAATCACGTTTTTATATAAAAACTACTAAAAGGAAACATACTAGGGTAGAATATACACAGTCAGAAAATATTTTTATTCTCCCCCCCCCCCACCGCCCCCCGTGGCTGGTGGCTGAACTCAAAACTTGGCATATGCTAGGCAAGCACTAAACTGTTTGAACATTATAGTGTAAATACTAGTAAATGCATGTGGCTTGAAGGAAATAGAGGATTTTTCTTCTCCTAGACAGATTCTAACACATTATGTGATCTACAGGAGAGGTTCTTAACTTTTTAAGGTCATATACTCCTGAGATTTTAAAGGCTTATACTTTCTTTCTCATTGTTCCCTTAAAAGATCTTGTGAAAATGTTTCCTAGTGCTTACGGCATAAACACTCCTTGGCTTGATGTCACCTTCTAATATATCTAATATTTGTATAGTAGCCCTGTTTCCTGAGGAATTAATGTTAATGGGAACCAAACATTAAATAAATAAATAGCTCTTAACACAATTTATTGCCCTGCAATAAAAGGATTATCAATGAAATTCTATACAAGCACATAAACAGGTGGCTAACCTCATATTACTAATGAGGTTTAGTAAGGCATTTTCATTTGAGCTAAACCTTCAAAGATGAGGTACTTGACCTGATAGCATCAAGCTACCTTTTGCCCCAGCAACAAGGAAAATTTCCCACTTGTAACTTTGGTAGTGGTAGCAGTTTCTTTCTGCTTTGCCATCTAGTTGTTTATACATATCTTTTTATCTTACCATCCCTTAGAAGACTGAGTTTTTTCAAGGCTGGGTTCATATCTTGGTCAATTACATATGTGCATACATGTCGTGTCATATACACAAAAACCACTTGTTAAATGTTTATTGCATTAATTCTAATGGAACCTGAGTCCTTTCCTTCATAGCTTAAGTGTTATTGCAGCTAAACAACTTTTGAATTACCTACTGGATTAGCTAAGAAACAAACTAAGCTCCGAAAGAACAGGCTTTCTTAACTAATACAACGTAAAGTTGAAAAACATTAATGTTCCTATTTTTTTCTACATATTTATTAAAAGCTGAAGTAGAAAAAAATGGCACCACATCATGGCCTCCAGAAGCAAAGTTATTTCATGATAGTATTTAGGATTTATGCTGTTTCCAGTATTCCAAACAGTGATCCTTAAATGGAGTACTATTTATCAGTCTAAATTGGCATCATAATCTCAAAGAAACCAAATCTAATATACATTGGTTTTTTTTTCCAAATTAACCACAAAACTAGGTAATAATATCATAGACAAAATGGCTTTTTTTTTTGCTTTGATTTTTTTAAAAACTGGTTTCAGAAGAAACACCATTGAGGCTAACGTGATTTTAAAAGTAAATTGAAGCTGGGCATGGTGGCTCATGCATGTTAATTCCAGCTACTTGGTAGCATTGAAAGGCCAGTCAAACGTTAGCAAGAACCCATTTCAACCAACCTCTGGCCATGATGACACATACTTGTCATCCCAGCTAGGTGGGAAATGTAAATAGGAGGATCATTGTGCAGGCCTGCCCAGGCATAAAAGACCCTATCCTAAAACTAAAGCATAAAGTGGGAGGAGTTCTGGAGGAGTGATTCAAATAGCAGAGTGCCTGCCTGACTAGCACAAGGTCCTGAGCTCAACTCCCAGTACCACCAAAAAAAAAAAAAAAAAGTAAATTGATTTGAATATTACACCCATTACCTCAGACCATCTTTATTGCTTTGAAAGAGAACTATTGATACTAACTCTAATATTTCTAATACTAAATACCTCAAGACTCTTGCCCAATAGAGAGATTTTATTTATTATTTTATTTTGTATGTCTATTTTACAAGTATCATCAGACATTTGGAAAAAGGCAATCCTATTTGCTTATTTGAAAGATGTTTGGAAATCTAAATGTACCCTGTATTTTCAATTTAATGAAAACAAGTTACTTTTGGTTTCCCTTTTACTATCAGAAAATAATATTTGCAAACCCCAGAAAACTTTATATAGAAACTGCCCATCTCTTTTCACTACTGCATGAAAGCTAAAAACTGAAGCTGTTAAGTTAAATCACATACTCTTTCACAAATAGTGGGAAACCATCTTAATGCCAACTGGCGAGGACTAATTTTGTATTTGATATTGATAATCTCCTTTGCTTGTTTTTCAGGGGATGTATGTATTTTTGCATGCAGTGAAAGGAACACCTTTTGAAACTCCTGATCAGGGTAAAGCAAGGCTCCTAACTCATTGGGAACAACTGGACTACGGAGTACAATTTACATCTTCACGGAAGTTTTTCACAATTTCTCCAATAATTCTGTAAGTGGTGGAAATATTTAGGTATAAAGGCCACATACAGAATAGAAAGATGTCCAGTTACAGATTAAATTAAATTAGAAACAACGTATTTTGTTGAAAACGTCTGTCAGTTAAGTAGCTACCTCAGATAACAGTATAAGGTACGGGTGAAAAATGTTTCCCTTTCTCCCCCATTTGCTTATTTTTTCACTTGTTTACTTTTTCATTCATTTATATCACAATATACTTACAGATTTTGTTTTGTTCCATGGATTAAAATCTGTTACTATCTTATTTGAATGCTCAGATTGTCCAATATTGGACCAATAGGAGGCCATCCTGTGTACAATTGGCATGCCCATAATCAACAAGATGACTCATTCTCAGATTTACTAAGTTGTCTACTTTAGCCATGGAATCAGCCATTTCTCCAAGGAGCCCTGATTCCTTTAATGAAAATACTATTTAGAAATCAAGAAAAGGCAAAAATTTTAACAAGTTGATAACAAGTTTCACTACCAAAGGTACAGTTGGAGACAGCATTTCATGCTTGTCAATACCTAGACATTCTGGGTTACACAGGCCAAATACATTCCAGTTCCTGTTCATAAGTTTCTTATAAGAAAATCAAACATGTAATTATATTCTGTATTGCGTATCAGATAAGTGGCCATACACAATGATTTAGGTGCTCATAAGAATTTCATTGACCACTCATCCCTATTTGGATAACCCTATTCATGTACCCTGGGAGAAGAGAGTATGATTTAGAAAAAAAGAGTTCAGACTTTACATTTAAGGTAGACCTGAATTGAGATTTGTATCTATCATTCAATAAACTTGTTTTGCTCATATATAAGAGTAGCTAATGATAGGGTTACATACTATATCATTCAGTCAGCTTGGTTTGTTCATGTATGAGTCTAGCTAATGATACCTTAACTTAATCTTGATACTGTAAAAAATAAATTGAGTTACCTATTTGTAAAGCATCTAATTTGGTATCTGGTATCTAATTTCATCCTAGTACCTGGTACTTCGAGTTCTCCACAAAATAATTCCCACCTCATTATTCCTTTATGTGAATATTTTTTCCCCACCCAACTGCTACCTGGTCATGCTCTTCTAAGCAGCATTTCTTTTCATGGACAGTCCTACTTCTGTGCATTTGTTCAAGTTCATTCTAACTGAAATGTCATCTCCCTTAACTTTATTCAGATATAATCAAAAGACACATACTTTTTTTTCCTTGCAAGAGTTTATAATGAGTACATAGATTACTTTGAATGCCACACTCAGTTTTCACATATTAAAGATGCAAGGTCTAACAAAATAAATGCAGTAACAAGAATAATGGTTCCTTAGACCTAAATTAGGATTTTAGCTATATTGTTTTTAAGCTATGTGACATTTGGCTTTTCTTAAAAGCTTCCGGTACTTCAACTATAAAATATGTAGAGGATTATGGCATTGTAACGTGTGAAAAAAGCTTGACATAAACCAAATTTTCAAGTACAGCACATTTTTTAAAACATAATTTTGATCCATGGTTGTGATTTCAAATATTCTAATTAAATTCTTTATATAACTGAAGAAATAACACTGAAGTCATCTATATACCATTGATAACTTCTTTTGTGTTGCTGGGAATTGAACCCATTACCTTGTACATGCTAGGCAAGCACTCTACTAACTGGTCTGCATCCCTAGTCCCGGTACATTTCAAAATACCTTCACATTTTCATATTTGGTCATAATTTGTCAGATAGGTATGACATGCAGTGCTACCCAGATTTTTAGAAAAAGAAACATACTCAAATTCATGACCTTGGTAAAGGTTTTTGCAGCTAATTTGGAGCCCAAGATTAAACCTTAAACTTGTATCTTCTAATACAGGTCTCTCTCTAATATATCCCTTATCAGATAAATGCTTTCACACTGATTCCCACATGAATTGCATTCCCTCAGATAGTTATTTAGGTTTTTTAAAGAGCAGAATAATTTTCATATAATCTACACAATTAGCTTTCATTAAAAGACAAGAAGAGAACATAGGCTATAGTATGGTAAGGAGAAGCCATACCAAGATTTATTATTTCTAACCTATCAGATTATACATTGGATCCACAAGGACAATGGCAAATCACATGGCTTACTAAATGAAAGTGGTAATACTATTTTGTTCATGAAGGAAGTATAAAAAGTCTTCAACTATGAAAGCAGGAAGAATTTAAAGCAAAAATTGAGGAATATGGTTTATTCTTAAGATTTTCTGGCTAACTGTAAAAATAGGTGGAAGATGATAGAATTTTTCAATCTAGATGGTTTTGTAAATGATGTATACAATTCTCTGTGGTGCTTTTAGTTGTACTTGGAAGTAGCTGTTCTTTTCTAATCATGTTACATGAAATATTTATCTCCGCTTATGAGAAACCAATGATAGTAGCTAGAGGAAAGGCTATTAAAATATTCCCTTGTGTGTGCTTAAATTAGACAAACACATGCAAACTAAATTCTTAGTTATGATTAAGTAAACCATATTTTATTCTTTATATCTGTGTTAAAGCACTCTTTTAGTAGTCATAAGATATATCTACACTAGACAATCTGAACTGGATAATTTATGGTGTTAAAGTTTATACTTGTTAAAACATTCTTACAAGCTGGGTATAGCAAAACAATTGAAATTTTTACAACTGTGTCTTTTAGGTTCTCAGTTAGTTACAGACCTAGTCACCTCTTACGAAATGACAACATTAAAAGGGCACCCAAGTATTTTGGTTCTTTCAGAGGTACTGAATTGCACCAGTGTACTAAAACAAACTTTTCAAAGCTTTACAGTAGTGATCTCAGTCTTTTGGGAGAGTCAGAAAACCCTTATGAACATGATGGATGCTTGGATCCAGATTTTCTCTTCAGAAACACAAATAAATACAAAAATACACTTGAAATCTCAAAGGGCATATGAAACCTACTTTAAAAAACCTTCTGCTTTAAAGGATGCTAAGTGGCAGTACACTATTAAGTACATTTAATATAACTGCAGAAATGCAAAATTTTTAAATCCCAAATCAAATAAACCCTGGCCCAAACTAAAATGTTTCTTTTTATTTTAGTGCTCAAAATATACTTTTAGTCATTTACATCTTGTGGTCTTTATTCTTTTTATTATTTTATTCTAAATCATTTCCTTTTGAATATTATATGTATTCTTAACTTTTATCTCTACAGATATTTTCTGGCAAGTTTCTATACGAAGTATGATCCAACTCACTTCATCCTGAACACAGCTTCTCTTCTGAGCGTGCTTATTCCCAAAATGCCACAACTACATGGTGTTCGGATCTTTGGAATTAATAAGTATTGAAATGTTTTGCAACTGAACAAAATTGTTAACAGCTACTGAGTTTCCTGTAAGGAAGGAGTAGTTAGTAAACTGCACTGTTTGTGTGATAATGTGAAATGAGAGGTATTTACATTGAAGGACCAACTGCTGGTTCTTCATATGGTGTCTTGAAGTGCAGAATTCTAAAAGATGCCTCTGTTTATGCATCTGGTATATTTCTGAAGAGAGGCTTTATAGGTAGGCTGGGCAGGCCCAGTTTATAAGTTAATGGCAGTACAGTGAGGGTACAGTAGATAAACCCAAGGAAATAAGAGATTTATAAGAGACTAGGACCAGCTTACAGTAGGCATTATGTTAAGAAAAGAAAATTTCCAATCATTCAGTCACAGTCAGTTTAAGCAGGCTTACATGTAAACCAGAATCATCTCTGTACATGTTTATTATAGATTATTTTTATTACCATACACATTCCCCTCTCTTTTATATGAGCCAGTTCCTACCTTACAAGTATACTTTTTTGGTTTTGTCAGCTTAGTATTGTGTGTTGATAGATGAGTCATTTTTGCATTTGTTACATTACAGAGTTCATGAAGGTCCACCTTCATGATTGATTGGGGATAGAAGATAGCCAGGTACCTTACAGGCAGCTGCTGAGTTAGCATTCTAGTTTTAGAACAAAGTGGGTTTTACTGCTTTTCCAGACACAGGACTGAACCAATTAAGAGAATAATTTATTTCAAATAGTTCAAAATATATGGTAATTTAAAAGTATCTGTTTATTTGGTAAAGTCTGTCATTCTTTTGAAAAGGAAATATAAAACAGACAACTATATAGCCACCTGTAGTCTGGCAGAAACTGGTTCTCTACCAAGAGTATTAAGTAAGCAATGGAGTCTTTATTTAGCAGGCCTGACATAAAAGATAACATTGTCTTTTTTGAATCTTCCTATTTGTCAATCCCCATAGTTTGCCCATAAGTATGTTGCCTCTTAAATAATGTGGGTAGGACTTAGTGTAGATAACCCCAAATGGTAACTATTTCCATAGCAGCAACTATATTGAATTCTTGTGACTTAGGAAAGTGTCGTATAGTTGCTAACATTAATTACAAGAAATAACTATATGCTACCTTGAGAAGTAAATACATCAAAAAAAGTTCTGATATATGGTAATTGAAAATTCAGTAACATAAAATTGAGTGAAAAATGTTGTTGACCAACTTAAATTTGTGTCAATAAAGTGACTTGTAGGGGTAGTAAGCATTGTTTTGTATTTCAAAAATATTGAGTTAGAAAATCAGTTATATGAGACTGCCTTTGTATGTTTGCTTTTTCCCATGTATTTTGAAATAACTGGTAGTCTATACTTTAATAAAAATTTTCCTTGGTGTAAGATTATTTTAGAAGCTTTCCAATTCAGTTATCAAAACTATACTACCATTTATTTTTAAGCAACTGAATTTGTAAGATTAAGACAACTAGAAATATTCCTTTCTTTCACTTCATTTTAAAGCTTACCTCAAAAGGTTTATAGTTTTTACAAATATTTCAAAGACAGAAGTCTTCTTCTCCTATTTTCCCTGCTTTGTCCCTTCAATGTTTTAAAAAATAGTTACTCAATAGCTATATGAAGGCCCATTCTCTTATAGGTATTATTTCCAATATTACAGGCAGTTGGTAGACAAGATGAATCAGTTCCCTCTCTGAAGGTGCTTGGTCTTGTTGGTAGATGATACTCAATGAATAAACAAATAACATGTTATTCCATGAAGTGATAAATGCAATGGAAAAAAATTAAACAGGTGACAGGCCTGCTTAGAAAGATCTTCGCTGAGGATCTTATCTGAAGTGACATTTCAATACATACTTTCCATATGTGAAAAAGTAAAGATAAGGAGAAAGATGATTCTCGAAATGAGTAATGACATATATTATGGGTCTTAGACAGAAATGAGATGTTTGAAGAAGAACAAGACCACCACTGGGACTAAAAAGAAATGAGGAAGAGAATGTTAGCAAAATGAGGGCCAAGAAGTAAGTGGAGACCGATTACAAAAGGCTTTATGTATCAAGGTAATAGCAGATTTTACTCTAAGCATAACAAAGCCATTTGAAGAGTTGTACAGAAGATTAAAGTGATCTAATTTTATTTTAAAGGTAACTGACTAATGTTGAGAATAAACTAAGAATAGAAAGCAGGAAGAATAGTTGAGAAGCTACTGCAGGTAAGAAATAGCTCAAACTAAGGAAGCAGCAGATAAAGTGGTCAGACTTGGGATATACTTTTTAAGTGTAGCCAAAAAGACTTTGATATGTTGAATGTGGGCGGGCAGGAGAGAAAGTGACTCCTAGATTTTTAGCCTTACGAAAACTGCCAATTTCACAAATTTATGCTGTTATTTTTGGCCATACTGGGGTTTGAACTTAGGACCTTGTGCTTACTAGGTAGATACTCTACCACTTCACCCACGCCCCAGCCTTTTTTTTTCTCTTAGTGATTTTTCAGGTAGGGTTTCATGCTCTTTGCCCAGGACCACCTAGGACTGTAATTCTCTGACCTACACCTCCCATATATCTGGGATTGCAGACACATACCACCACACCCAGCTTGTTTGTTGAGATGGGATCTTGCTAACTTTTTTTCCCAGGCTGGGATGGTGGTTGTTAGAGGTTGGAGAGGGAGTAGGAAGTTATTATTTAATGGGTACTGAATCGGGAAGATAAAAAGTTCTGGAGATAGATGGTAGTGATGATTGCAGAACAATGTGAATATATTTAATACCACTCAGTGTACATTTAAGCAGTTAATTTATGTAATTATATTTTACCACCAAAAATAACCTGAAACAAGCATAATAGTTCAGCAAACAAAATAAATGGCAAAATATCTTCTGGAGATGATTGGCAGTATAAATGGATGCTCCACATCAAAAGATAATGGTCAGCAAAGAAAACTAGAAGCACTGCAAATAGCAGTATATTTTTAGCACAATCAAGTCCATGAAAAATGAATTTAAGGCAGATATGTGATTCATGTGGAAATGGATGCACTGGGCTTGAAATATTAGCCATTAGAAGTACTAAACTCATTTTTACTGCTTCAATTTCATATTTCCCTGGCAATCCTCTGTTTATAATCTGGATTTGGCTTTCACTGTAATTTTGTCAACTCACACAAGATGATGACCACCAAACTCAACTATCCTAGCATTCCCATCATTGCATTTCTCATAAACCAATACATTAGTATTAATGGTTTTTTTAACAGTAGTTTCTTAGTAATTTGTGATATGTGACCTGTTAACCCAGAGTCCACTCACTTCCACACCCGATAAACCAATTTCAGTCCTACAAAAAAAAAAAAATCAGATGTTGAAACCAAGTAATTACATCATTGTTCTTGCTAGGCTATGGATACAGCTATGGCAAGCCACTCAGCTTTCTCCATGTAACTCCCCCCTCGCAATGTACTCTTTCAATTTCTATTTCCTTAATATTATTTGTCTTCTACCATTGTTACAGGAATCTTGAAAAGAGACATGGGAAATTTATGGGGACTAAGTATGGAGCTAGGAAACCTAATGGCCAAGAATCATATCCCAGATTGTTGACATTAACAGATGGCTCATGACATACAGCAGGATCCCACCAACCTGTAGTCAGTGGAGCCCCCCTAAAATAACAGGCCCAATTTGGCCATCCCAGGACAAAAATTCCCTTTGCCTGACATGTGGAATGAGTAGGACTAATTTTATCCTGTCTGGAGAGTGCACTTTGGCTTTGTTTTTTTTGTTGTTGTTTTTTACTTTACATAAGTAAATCTGTGTCAACCCTCATATCAGTGCAGCAGCACTCTCTGTGCTCAGCTGCCTCTCTGTGTTTTAATATGAAACTCTTACTGTCTTGATAAATTTGTGGATTAACCTGTAGCACCAAAAATTCCTGACAGTTATCTTGACAAAACAAAAACCATTTTTTATGACAGTTTTTTTGTAAATGTTATCAAGAATATAGTACTTTTAAGATAGCCTTGTTATGAGCTCAGAGAATTAAGTTTTAGCTTAACATCAATGCATTAAGTTTTGATCTTATTAATCACTTACCTAAGCATTTATAAGCTCCACCTTTTTATGACAACTTACTCTACCTTTATGACAACATAACTCTGTATCCTCTGGGGAAGCTTGTCTTTTTTTTTTTTTTTTTCATTTAAAAGTATTCTTTAACTTTTTATTTTTAAAAATCACATCCTTTTTTTTTTTCTGAATCTTTTATTTTTATTTATTTTTTTTTTCATTTTTCTTTTATTATTCATATGTGCATACAAGGCTTGGTTCATTTCTCCCCCCTGCCCCCACCCCCTCCCTTACCACCCACTCCACTCCCTCCCGCTCCCCCCCCATCAATACCCAGCAGAAACTATTTTGCCCTTATCTCTAATTTTGTTGTAGAGAGAGTATAAGCAATAACAGGAAGGAACAAGGGGTTTTGCTGGTTGAGATAAGGATAGCTATACAGGGCATTGACTCACATTGATTTCCTGTGCGTGGGTGTTACCTTCTAGGTTAATTCTTTTTGATCTAACCTTTTCTCTAGTTCCTGGTCCCCTTTTCCTATTGGCCTCAGTTGCTTTAAGGTATCTGCTTTAGTTTCTCTGCATTAAGGGCAACAAATGCTAGCTAGTTTTTTAGGTGTCTTACCTATCCTCACCCCTCCCTTGTGTGCTCTCGCTTTTATCATGTGCTCATAGTCCAATCCCCTTGTTGTGTTTGCCCTTGATCTAATGTCCACATATGAGGGAGAACATACGAAAAAATCACATCCTTAATACCATATATATGTATATATATATATAGTTGAAAATAATTCATAAACCCATTTAACTTAGAGTCCTATATTTGCATGAAAAAAAACAGAAAGCAAACAACCTTAAAATTTTTTGTATAAAAACCATTTATAGAAAGCCCATTTGTTAATAGACCCATGTATTATAAGAGAGAATTAAATCTCATATTTTATTTACGACAGAATGAAACAGGCTAAGGTCATTTTTCAACTACCCAAATTTTAAGATTCCTGCTGCAGGCGGTGGCCCCCCTTTTCTTTTTTTTTTTTTCCTTCTCCTCTGGTCTGAGCCAGTGTTAACCCCGAATGCCTGCATTCAGATCTCTAATTAGATCTGATTGAAATAAGTTTGAAAACTGGTTTTCTTCAAAGTAGCAGAACACAGTAATAATTTTTCACATTGACTCTATAATAAGAGCCATCCTCAAGTTGTTTACATATTCATATGTTAAAAGCTTAAGCAGTTTATAACAGATCTTTAAAATAAACACCCTGGTTTTTTGTTACCTTGAATATCACATTAACCTTATAACAGCAATTTAAGAACCATTTTGAAGATGCTTACACTTACACACACACGTTTTATAAATTAAGCATGCCAGAAAAAAACATCAATTTAAGCACACATAAGATGAGCTGGAATTCTAGGAGCAAGTTAAATTTTGCCCAGTGCTGTACACAAATTGACATACATACACAAAATTAGAGTGCACTCTCAGAAAAACCTTTTTAAACCATAACCAGAGGGCTATCCAGTGGAATGGTGGATGATGCATCTGTTCTCTTGTGAGTCTCCCTCTTTGGAACTGAATTTTTGTTACCCATCCCTTAATCTCAGTTGTGGCTATTTCTCAGGAAAAGCTCAAACACCCCTCTCACCCACCCAGTACTGGAGGTTTCTTGCATTTTACCCAAAGTGCTTTCTTTTTACTTATGTTGTTCCTCATCCTGGTCTATCTTGCTGGTGAGAAAACCAGGTAGGTGCTTGACCTCCCTAATTTCCGAGGTGTCTCACACACTTTAACCCCACTGCTCCCTAAACCTGAGAGACATGTTTTTACCCCAGACAGGATTACTAGGGTGTCTTCTGGGAGGTGATCAGTTTCCCCTTCTGCCTAAGGCAGGCCTGTTATTCAAACCTGGGTTCTAAACAGTCTGACAGTTGGGACTCCCAGTTGGTTCCTGAGCCTTCTCTGGGTTTCTTTGTGCAACTGAGACTCACTCGGCAGTGTGCCAGGAGAGGCAAGACCCCTTTGTACAACTGAGTCTCACTCTCCGGTGCACCAGGAGAGACAAGTCCCTCTGATGGATCAACAGGTCTGCTGGCACTCTCCCGATAAGTGGGGGATGCTGAGTCCCAGTGACAAGGAGGTGAAAACACCATCTCCTCTGAGTCCCAGACATAGCCCCCATAAATACTTACCTGTGTTCTCTGGTGATTTTTGCCAGCGTTTTGACTACTAAGGTGACTTGAGTCATACTAAATAAAACATGTAAGAGTTGGTTTATTAAGATTTTCTAGATGACCTCATGGCTAAACAACTGTTTCTTGGGTGATTCTAATGCAGTTGATACCCTGTATGTTCTGTGACTGGACTATTTGGGGTCAATGACACTGTTCCCCTGCCAACTTAAGAGAAAATCTAAGGTTTTACTTCAAGAGCAACAACTAAACTAATATGTATATATAACCTCTAAAAGGGCTATGATGCTGTTGCTGGTTTCTGTATACTACATATGTTTATGTTCTTCAAGTATATCAAACCTTTTAAAATACAAAATTTAGATAAACACGGTAACAAAAAGTTAGTGGTACTGATACACTGTTCTGTATGTTGCTAAATTGTCCATCAAAATTTTACCCAGGGCTCTTTTAAGTCTTTGTCATTACAGTTCATAATCAAGTCCTTAAAAAAATGATTCTAATAAGTACTTATGTGTCAACCAGGTTAGCATTTTAGACGTCCGCTTTTGTTGGATTTTGTTTTGTATTGTCCTTGTCTAGAAGCCCACTGCGTAAGGGCTACTCCTTCTAAGCCTCTTGGTTGCTTAAACTTGGCCAAAAGGGTCTAGCTGGCACTGACTCCCATCTGATCTGCTCGTTACTTCCCCACCAATGTGGGACCAACACCAAACAAACACACAAAATCCAGGAAAGAACAAATCCTCATGATGAGGGAAGAAAATGACCAATTGAGAAGGATCTTCAGTCTATGGCCATACCACCCTGAATGCGCCCATTCTGTTTGGTCTCAGTAGCTAAGCAGGGTCAGGCCTGGTTAGTACTTGGATGGGAGACAGATCTTCAGAGGAGACTCTCAGAGACAAGCAGTTGGTGACAAGTGGGGAATGCTGTCAAAGTTCAAATGGAGTCACTCATGCCAGACCTCTCAAAAATAACCAAAGCTGAGAGGATCGAGGAAATGGTTCTTATGCATGTGTGGCTATCTGGCATTAAAGCCAGACACAACTCACTTTTTAGACAGGGTCTTCTACTTAAATAGAGACAAAATGACTATTTTTACTGCCTTTAAACATGTCCTTTGATACTTAAAGATGGTGGTTTTAACTTTTTTAAAACAACACATTTTCTTGGATATATATACTGATAGTATATTGTTGCCATGGTAATTCTAGTCAGTTAAAAAAAAATAGAGATACTGTCTGGGTAAAAGAATAAAATGTCCAACCATTAAAACCCCATTGGAGGGGCCCTTTTGTTGTTATCTTGTCTATCCCCACTGCAGTTAAAGTAGCAAAAACTGCTCCCTGGATCCACCACAACCAAGTAATGCCAGCCTATCCTGAGTGAGGGTGCATCCCTGACCTGACCCAGCCTCACCATGCAAGATCACCCTCTAGAATGCCTGCACCCTTCCTCAGCAGGACCCCGCTTCCCAGGAGACAATGGGACCACAAACAATGGGACAACAGCCCTGCTCTGGGGGGAGAAGATGGCATAGCAGGGAGATAAAAATCTAAATATGAAGAAGGCCATGTAGCAATGGGGTTGTGGGAATCTCAAACTGAAATATGGGACACTGAGGCAATTTAGCAGGAAGCAATGCTTTATTGAACTGGCACAGGCTCAGCAGACTCAAGTCCAAAGGTTGAGCCCCCAAAACAAGAGTCTCACCTTATATACCTTGCAAGCAGGTTACAGAAGCAAAAAGCAAGGCTTAACCCATATATTGGCTATTTCATCCCCTCAGTGCTATGTGACCTTTTTCATGTTTCAATTCTTTTAAGTTTTTATCTCTGTTATGCCATCCCTTCCACCTGTTACATTATCAGAATACAGACTTGACTGTTTCTTTTGTGGTTCTCCTAACACTGAGGGTGAAGTAGCCAATAGAGTTACATGCAACCATAAATGGGTTAAACCTTGCTTTTTGCTTCTGTAACCTGCTTGCAAAGGTATATAATATGAGACCCCTTTGTTCTCGGGGCTCAGCCTTTGGATGTGAATCAGTTGAGCCGCTGCCGGCAGGCTAATAAATATTGCTTACTGAATAGCATTGGTGTTCCATGTTTCTGTTTAGGATTCCAGTAACAACTAGACTTTGAGATCATTTAGGAAAATTACTGAATCTTAACTAGAAAGTAATAAAAGTCCTAGAAAAACCCCTATCAATATATGATTAATGAAAGTAAAATTCAACCAGGCCCAGTGGCTTAAACTTGTAATTCTAGCTACTCTAGAGGTCTACACAAGATTGCTTAACTCCAGGAGGTCAGAACCAGCCTGAGCAACAGCAAGACCCTAAATCTTAAAAAACAAAAACATCCTGCTTAGTAGGATCTAATTATGGAGTAAGTGTTAGACTGGCAACAGCTGATACAAAGTTGGCGTGATTCAGCTGCAACTCTCCAAGTTGAAGTTATAAAGATTAGTCTGTATTTTGTCAAGACTGCTCATGAGTAGCCATTGTAACCATATGACATGATATGCCTGAAAGTACAGACAGGTCCAGGGAGCATAATTGTCTTTCCTTCAATCACCTTTTCTACAATACAGCTTTTTAAAAAATGAAACATGTATTTCTTCACTTGCTAAATTTGTGGGACTGGTTTAAGTGCCCTTCATTCAATCAAGAGATATAAAATTCCTTCCTAATATGCCCTAGAGTTCTGCTTCACATAAAGCAGCAGACTCAACAGTGGACAAGATTGCCTAGATGGAAATTGACCCAAAGATAGTAGCATATACAAGAAGAATAACTCTGGACAGCACAGACATACATCTGTTGAACATACTCTGAATTATAAAAAACAAATAACAGATATAAAAGGTTTTATGTCTAGACTGAATTCCAGTGTATAACAACTTCTATTGTGTAATAAAACAGTATCACTAGTTTTTCTTTAGGTCTTAATTTTTCCTTTTTTTTCTTTTGAGGGGGTGGGGGGGATGTTTCACACTTATGAAAATGTGAGTTATTCTGTCTCCTGGCAGTTAAGAAAACAGGCTCCAGAGCCAGGACTGACTCTAATCCTTGCTCTGCACATACTGTATTTACTTGTAAATCACCCAAACCTGTGGCCCAGTTGTCTGAAAAATGAGGACAAACTATCTCACGGGTGGTGTCGTCAGAATTAAATAATCTATCACAGTACCTGGCACATAGTTAAGTGCCACTTTATTATTATTACACATAAGTGAAAAACTTTGAAAAGCATAGGTTCCAACTTAAAAAAAAAAAAACTTCTCAAAAGTACTGTGGTAGTTATGCATCTACTTGTTTGTATCTACCCCTAGCCTGTATTATGTGGTAAGATTTCCTCATCTTTTATAACCAGAGCTTTCTTCAAGGCACTGTATATGCTAGCCATAGCCAACCTTGCTTTGTATAGCCCTTGCTTACCAGAACCTTAATGATTAGTAAGGGGAGAAGAAAGACTACTCCATCAAGTAGTAACAAGTTCATAAACCAAACAAAGAAAAAATACAAAGAAAAACTGAAGGAGGTGCAAAAATGTGAGTACATACTGTGTAGAAGGTTGTGTACATGGTAAGCTGGGGACTATATAATGTAAGAAGAAAAATGTATTACTTACTTATTTTTAGATCGCAAAACTAGGCCAGCCACCGACCTTTTTAGTTTAAATGCAGTGGGAGTAACGGTTTAGACTGTTCGACCAGAGCACTTCCGTCGTCTGGGAACCCTTTGCAGGTTCTTGGAGGCTAGTTTGCACTTTTTCTGATCAAAGTACAATATCATGTATCTCAGCCCACCACCTTTAGATTTGGTGATAGTTCCCCTAAAATGGCAATCTATCTCATGATTTCCCCAAAGACAACAAACTTTTTAAATGTGGCGTGTACTGTAAAACTGTTGTGTAGTGACACAAACCTCAATTCGGCCTCCTCTTGATCAATCACTATCAGTGTGACCTTGTACGAGTCAAGTTACCTGCAAGTTTGGAAGAAACGCACAGAGAGCGTCGCCGACGAAAACTGCCTATAAGTTTTCCTTTACTACAGGTGCGCCCTCAGGCTCACCAACCAAGGCTGGCGGAAGAAACTCAGGCACGGCTCTGATGACATCACTTCCGGGCGCCAGGTTCGGCGTCGCTGTGCCCGAGAAGGGGAAGCAAGCTAGGTAGAGGAGAGGCGAGCTACGGTTCTCCAGGAAGGTGGGTGGGATTGCTCACCTCTTGCGCATCTGGAAAAGCGGCTCCACTCTGAGGCCCTCGCTTTCCTAAAGCTCCGGGAGACGCTGTCCAGGTCACCTGGTTCACTAGAGCGTTCTTGACCGGAAAGGGAAGCGCTTCTCGCCGTAGGCCTTAAAAGGCAGGAGTTACTGTGAATCTAATTCCTTAGTCTTTGTGAGCTTCACTCCTCGAGACGGCCCTCTGCGAATAGGTCGCTCATCCCTAATCCCTGGATGTCCTCTTTCCCATTCCCAGTCCTGGTATTATTCGCAGTTGTTTGTTTTTTCAGTGCTGGGAAATCGAACCCAGGGCTCAATGCAAACGCTTTGTCACAGAGCTACATCGCCGGCCCGCGCCGGTGTTGTCCATTCGAATGGTGAGGGAAGGTGAAAACAGGTTGCTTTACTGAGATAGAATAGTATTATTTTGGGAAAAAGTTTAGAGAGAAAAAAAAAAAACCAAACTTGCGATGTTAAGCCTGAGACAAAAAGTGGAGATTTAATTCCAAAGATTTATTAAGGCTAAAGTTGATGTTAGGTTGCAGTGGTGAGTTGAGATGTGTTCCTTCTAGGATGAACTTGTGAGCCTATTGTTTCTAAGCTAGAAGACTGTATCTTTGTTTTTGTGCATTTTAAATAAACTCTTGTTTGGGGACCAAATGGTTACATTTTATTATGAAAAATGTTTTCAGGAAATAAGTTGCAATTATTTTTCCATTTGTCTTTGTTTGATTTAAAAAAAAAACTTGTGTAAATGTTAGCTATCAAAAAAGCACTTTGAGAGCACTATCCATGCAACTATTGTACTGTAATATTGGCTGTTATATAAAGAATAAGGAATAGTTTGTTCACAGCAGCATGAAAATAACAGTGAAGGTTGAGCATCGCTTATCCAAAATGTTTGGACCAGAATGTTTCAGATTTCAGTTATTTTTTATTTTGGAATATTGGCATATTTATGAGATATCTTGGGGATTAAATCCACGTCTAAGAACAAATTCATATACATTCCATATACACCTTATAGTCATAACCAGAAGGTAATTTTATATAAACATTTTAGTGTGTTTGTGTTTCCACTGACAAGTCATGGTAGGTTAGATGTGGAATTACCCACTTGTGGCGTCATGTCAGTGCTGAGAAAGTTTTAAGGTCTTTAGAATTTCAGATTTTTGGATTAGGGATGCTTGTGCAGTTCTAAAAAATGTATCTAACTTCTCCTTTCCCTCTTGAGAAGCCTTATATTCCATACTGATGTTTACATTGACTGCCTTCTCGGGCCTTTATAAAATATTGGTAACCTTTACAAACTTTCCTATAATTTGATAAAACTATATATAAAAAAATAAGCATTCATTTTTTTGTTTTAAGTGAATGAGTTAATTGCTAATGTCAATTCCAAGTAATAGGTTTGTTTCTATAATTCTTTTCCAGAAATCATCTATAGAGTAGTAAGTATGCCAATACTGAATAAGACAGCAGGGGTCTTTTCTATACCATCAAAAGGGAACCTTTATGGAGTTTTAAGAAGTTTTACTTTTCATCCTGGAACACGATTTCTTCATAAACTAGTATTGGGAATTGAAACCAGCTGTGATGATACAGCAGCTGCTGTGGTGGATGAAGCTGGAAATGTGTTGGGAGAAGCAATACATTCCCAAACTGAAGTTCATTTAAAGTAAGTAGGTATTACTTAGTCATTCTCATCTCTTTTTGAAAAAGTAAAATGAAACCATTCTTTTGTATTTATCATGTATAGACATAAAATTTTAGAGCTATAATATTATTTCTTTGTATAAAAGCCTCTTAACAACTGCTATAGAAAACCTCAAACACCTCATTCTGGCTTTTAGAGCTTTCCACAGTAAGATCCCAACCTTTGCTAATCTTGTTACCAAAAAAGACTAAGCTCAATCCCAGCTCTAATATTTATCAGTGATTTTCCCTCAATAATGCCTTGTCTTCTTTTTTCCACCTGTATGTTTTATGAATTTCAATTGAAATCCTAGAATAGTATGACCTGACCTTCAGCCTGTGTTTAAAACCACTGGGAAAAAAATACTAATCACATTTATGCCTATAATTTTGTAGATACTTAGGTAAATAGTACCGCACTGTTATATTAAAGCTTAGAATGGTGTAGAGTTTTAAACTCAGGTGTTTAAGAAAATCACCAGATTACATAAATAAATGGACTACATATAAAAGTGCAGAATATCTGGCGGTCACTGCTCAGCTCTAGCCAATTATTGTGACTCAGGAATTCAGAACCTGTGTCATTCAATCATCAGAATTTTCAAGAGAAGCTGGGCATGGTGACTTACTTAGGAGGTAGAGATTGGGAGAATCACAGATGGAGGCCAGTCTGGGCAAAAAGCTAGACCCCATCTCAATAAATCAGGCATGGGTGATATGTGCCTGTGAACCCAAGCTACATGGGAAGCTTTCAGTAGGAGGATGGTGATCTGAGGCTGGCCCCAGGCAAAAATGCAAGACCCTGCCTAAAAAATAGCTAAAGCAAAAAGGGCTGGCGGTGGCTCAAATGGTAATGTGCCTGGTCCTGAGTTCAAACTCCAGTACCACCAAAAAAAAAAAAGAAAAGAAAAAAGGAAATTTAAAATTGCCAAGTAATGCCTAAGACACTGGGTACAAATGTGAATGCATTATATGGTCTTTGCCTCTAAGCAATCCACTATATAAAGTGGGTTAATGTGTAGTTTCATATTCTGGTTCAGCCACTTAGTAGCATTGGGACCATGCACGATTTTCCATGCCCCAATTTCCTTATCAATAAAATGACTAATAGTGGAAACTAACTTATATTTTGAAAATTGAATATAAATTCTTTTTTTAATTTGAATTCTTAAAGTATTTGGCACAGTTCTTGACAAATAGTAAGGGGTCTATAAAATGTAGCTATTAGTAGCATTGTACTTCCAGTACAGCTATCAAGAAGCAGACAGCAAACAAATCATTGCAAAACAATGTACAAGTATGATAACAAGAGTGTTGCTTGATAGGACAAACCCTTCTTCCAAACCAGGGACCTGAATGACATCCTTCACTTCTCCCTCACCACTCCACATCCAAGCCAGTCATCCATTCATAGGAAATTCAGCTCCCAAATATTTCTTGAAACTTTTCTCTCCCTTCTTACCAACTTAGTTCCATCCCTTATTTCTCTTGCCTGGATCTTGGCGATAGCCTTGAACCTAATTGTTTTCACGCTGTCTATTAGCTTCCCTCCCTAATTTTCCATACTCCATACTTTATGCAAATTATAATATGACAAGAGACCATTTTCTCATTATTAGTTCTTGTTCAAAGTACTTAGAATTACCTGTGGAAGATAAAATACACAGAAGAGGCACAAAAAGGAGAAGAGAAACACAAGAGAGAAGTGACAAATGAGTGTGAGGAAGAGGATTTGAATTTTAAACTCTTCCAGATTTCCAGAAAGTAAAGATTTGAGTAGGAAAGTTACAGGGTCCCTTAATAATGTGTACTTTATAATATTCTCTGGCATCACAATATGAGATAGTCTCCAAGGATCAGAGGGCATAGCTAGGAAAGCGCAATTCAAAGACTGTTGAATGGATTGGAGGGCTTTTTAAACTTGGTGGTGCAGTAGTATTAGACTTAATGTGGAGAGTGAGGGAAAGGTGAAGGTGAACCTTGAAACTCAAATGATTCTGGGGTGATCACCACTGACAGAGATGAATAATAGAGAAAAAGTATCCCTGAAAATAATAAAAAAATTAAGTTACAATTGGACATGATGTAAGAGATTATTTCCCCTCATTGCCTGAAATTGTATTTTTTTAACTATTAAGTAAATATTTATTGAATGTTCCATTGTTCTATGTAGGTCCCAATAGGGAAGAAAGAAAATAGCAAATCTTGCAACATCACATATTCAAAGATGGTTTTTTTTGAGACTAGAGGTGTATTCTGCAGATTGTGTATTTTACTGCATTGCCTCTCAGATTATAAATCAGTCACATGCTACCATATTTGTTGCTAGCAAATTTCCCTTTTAATTCTTTACTTTTGACATTTGGAGTGACCATCCACTGTATTACATGGACCAAAAATCTCAGTTACCAACTCTGAGCTGTGATTTCCAAACTTTATTTTGGGATTCCAACCTATTTACTGTCCTGGTATGACCAGGTATGTATTTAAAAATAAACTTACCTTCTTCACAAAACTGTCTTCATATTTCTCACTGTTATTATTTCTTTTACCTCAGTCACCCCAGCTGAATATCTGAGTCATCTTTGATGCCTCAGTCCTCCATGCTCTCATATTCCAATTAGCTATTACAGTTTTCAAGGCTCTTTGTCCCTTTCCTTTCATTCCCACAATCACCCAGTTTAAGACACAGTCACTTTACACAATGTTTTTCATAATAATCTGTTTAAAAATCTCTATGTTAAAGGAGATCAGTTTCCTTAAAATGTAATTTTATCCTGTGCTTTCCTTGTTCATAACTCCTTTAGAATGCTTTACAAGACTGGTGGATTCATTCATTAACAAACAAGTTCTTGTAGTTTTGTTCACAAGTTTGAAGAATCAGGAAAGTTATCCCCTTAATCACTCTATACTGAGTTCTTATCACAGTGTGTAGCATTATAAAGCACACAGTGTAAACATACTTGACTTACTAATATTTTCAGCTATGTAATGATTCATATGGCCCTCCCACCAGCTACAACATATTATCATTTGTCCTCATTTTTAAAAATACTAAAATTACCTAAAAAAAAACCAAACTAAAAACCTGTCTTGTTGTTCCTTCCAGAACAGGTGGGATTATTCCTCCAGTAGCTCAGCAGCTTCACAGAGAAAATATTCAGCGAATTGTACAAGAATCTCTTTCTGCCGGTAGAATTTCTCCAAGGGAACTCTCAGCAGTTGCAACTACCGTAAAGCCAGGACTTGCATTAAGCCTGGGAGTAGGCTTATCATTTAGCTTGCAGCTGGTAAACCAGTTAAAAAAGCCTTTCATTCCCATTCATCACATGGAGGCCCATGCACTTACTATTAGGTTGACCAATAAAGTAGAATTTCCCTTTTTAGTTCTTTTGATTTCTGGAGGTCACTGCCTACTGGCATTAGCCCGAGGAGTTTCAGATTTTCTGCTTCTTGGAAAGTCTTTGGACATAGCACCAGGTGACATGCTTGACAAGGTAATTACTTAATTTCTCCATTCTTTTTGTTATGTCATCTGTTTCAATTAAATAGAAACAGATGTGCTACTGCCATTCCTCTAAGTAGTTCTCAGTGATAATTTTATTAGGCTGAAAAAAGTTATGAATAGTAAGAAAAAGTAGTACATAAAGGCCGTATGTGATAGCAGATGCCAATAGTCCCAGCACTTAGGAGGCTGAGGTAGGAGGACCACAAGTTCAAGGCCATCCTGACCTTGTCTCAAAAAACAAACCAAAAAAAGACTAGTACATAACTTTGTAATTCTTTCTTACCCATTGTAATAAGATGATAAGAGTTTTACAGCTACACTTAAAGCTTTGTTCAAATAATTTGCAACTGCAGTTATATATTTAGTCAAAATGCTTTGTAAATTGTTGTGTACTACAAAATATGAAAGGATACATAAAAATTAGAATGACAAGATGTACATAAAGATTAACATGACAGTAAGATATACAAATTCTATGACTAAATTGCACTATTGCTGATACCACACTCATAGATTTTCTTGTTTAGAGTACTACAGAGCCACCTGAACTGACACTTATTTAAAGAAACACACTGCCAACTACTGAAATGATGGGAACAAAGAGTAGGGCAGGTTCTTATTTTTGAAGTTCATCATTGTCAACATCAATCTTATTTTCTAACCCCAGTTTAAAACTATGGGGACAGTGATTGGCCACTATTGATCAGGTTGTTATAAAGAATAGGATTATCTGCTTTCTTGAAATCAGCTATAGTTCGTATTTATCAAAGTATGGCATATATATATATATTTTTTTTGGTGGTACTTGTGGTTTTGGTGGTTTTTTGGTACATGGTAGTGCTTGCTAGGCAAGTGCTTTACCACTTGAGCCATACCTCCAACCATTTTTGCTTTTATCACATTTTTTAGGTAGGATCTTACATTTTTGCCTGGACTGGCCTCAGATAGTGATCCTCCTTCCTATGCCTCTCACATAGCTGCAGTTACAGGTGTGCACCATTGTGCACTGCTTTTTTGTTGAGATGGTGTCTTGATCTTTCGCCTGAGCTGGACTTGAACCGATTGTCCCAGTCTCCACCTTCCAAGTAGCAGAGATTAAAGGCATGCACCACCACTCCCAGCCCTAGTACATTTTATTCATTCAGGGTTTTTAAAGTAATGTTTCAGTTCATTTCCTCTGCTTGCATCTTTTGCTTTCAAAATGTATACTTTCTGTCCCATTAAGTATTTTTAATATTTAATATGTTTTTTGTTTTAATAGGTGGCAAGAAGGCTTTCTTTAATCAGACATCCTGAGTGCTCCGCCATGAGTGGTGGGAAGGCTATAGAACATTTGGCCAAACAAGGAAATAGATTTCATTTTGATATTAGTCCACCCATGCAACATGCTAAGAATTGTGATTTTTCTTTTTCTGGACTTCAACATGTTATTGATAAAATAATAACACAAAAGGAAAAAGAGGAAGGTATATTTTTTAAAAACCTTAATAAGTTTTTTATTTCAAGAGAAAGGAATGTTCCTACTTAGTAAAGTTGGACAAATATTCTTGGACTGTACCTAAAAGTACCTGCTCATTTCTATAGGTATTGAGAAGGGACAAATCCTGTCTTCAGCTGCAGACATTGCTGCTGCAGTACAGCACACAACAGCATGCCATGTTGCAAAAAGAACACATCGTGCTATTCTGTTTTGCAAGCAGAGAGACTTGTTATGTCAAAGTAATGCAGTACTAGTAAGTTTTGTCATCTGCCCTTCTAGTAATAGTATACTTTACAGTATATTACTTTTTTCCCAAGAATTTAATTGACCTTGTGTTTAGGGTGAATATTCTGGCCCTAACAGTGTGAAATTATGCAGCATAGAAAAAGCTTACTAACAACCATTTCTAGTACAGATTTGGTAACTTTATGAGACATCTGTATAGCCTTTGTGATAAAAAAAATCCAGGGCCACATCTTCTCTTTGAACTTGAAAGAAGGTTTACATAAACTAAATGCAAAAATTGCTGTCGTTTTTAGAGAAGTAAGCTGGTATTCCCTATCCTTTCATTGAAATCCCTTTAAATGTGCTTATAAGTCTTGATAATCTATTTAATATATATTAAAACTTACTCTTCTGAAAATAATAAAGTAGAAAATGTTTAAATGATAGTAATTTGCAAAATGGAATACTAAATGAATTTTAAAGATAATACTTGTTTTGTCGGGGGGTTGTTTTGGGAGTTTCTTTTGGCAGTACTGGGGCTTGAACTTGGGGCCTCACACTAGGCAGGTGCTCTAACGTTTAAGCCACTCCACCAGCCAAAAGATTATTTTTTTTTAAGTTATGTAGTACAATGAGAAAAAATATGCTTAAATGTAAAAAAGTGCAGGGTCTAAAATATTTGTGTACTGTGATTGCAACTATATTACATAAATAGTTAGGAAAATGGTTGAAATATACAAAAATGCTGGTAGTGATTATATACTGATATTAAAATTGCTAGTGATTTTTTCCATCTCCATACTTTTATTATACCAATTACTGTACTTGCACATTACCTAACCTAGAGAGAGAAAGAGTTTCTCATTGTAAACAACTGGTACTTTCCTCAGGTTTAGTTGGCTCATATCCATTTCTAATAGTTGTTAATTTTGGTCCTTTCAATTCAGGTTGTATCTGGAGGTGTTGCAAGTAACTTGTATATCCGAAGAGCTCTGGAAATTGTAGCAGATGCAACACAATGCACTTTGTTATGTCCTCCTCCCAAACTGTGCACTGATAATGGCATTATGATTGCATGGTAAGCCACGGGACATAGGTGCCTCACTCATAACCATGTAAATAGTAATGACATTTTACCATACTAAATCTTCTTTCTTTAAATCTTGGGGCTACTGATTTTATTTTATTAATTTTTATTTAGGAATGGTATTGAAAGATTACGTGCTGGCTTGGGCATTTTACATGATGTAGAAGGCATCCGCTATGAACCAAAGTATGTGGTACCCTTTATAATGTTTATATACAAGTTACATTATAAAAGCCAAAGCCTGGATTTTACTTTGATATATGAAGTTTTCATTGACTTTCTGTTGGTACATTATTACGTTATTTTTTGCCATGAAACTAGCCAAGTAATACTTTGGAGAAATAATTAAGAAATATTTTTGCTATAGGAACAAATTATAAAAATTTTGACAGATTATGTTAGTTAGAAGTAGGCCGTGGGGAGGGAGAGGTGATGCATTCCTTTATTTGGAACTAGAAGTGACATTTGCAATGTCAAGTGGGTCTCGGGACAAGCTGATATGCTAGAGAACATAAGGAAAAATTCAGAAAGCATTCAGATGTGAGTTTGGGTTATGATTGTGCGCTTGCAGGGGAAGCTGGGAAGTGGCCAAAAGGTAATTCATTACCGTTCTTAAATCGTAAGTTGCAGTAGTAGCACTGCTTATAAATTTGCTTTCGAGTTCTGCTCTATGTTAATTCTGAAATAGTAAAGAACAATTAATGTTTCATAATCTGATATTCAATTTTGAGCATTGGTTCATCTAATATTTTTAAACTTGTCAGAAATATGTATGCTGTATGAACCACAAACTATTAATGCTGATTGTGAATGAACAGAGTTGGAAAAAATCCCTTAGGTTGACAGCCTGGCCTCAATTAGATGGTATCCACTGGTCCAATTGTACCCTCTGTGGCAGTCTTGAGGCTGAAGATGATGACTTATTCCAGGTTAGGCTCAGGACAAAGTCTCATTTTGAACATCTAGAAAAGCAGAAATCTATAGCCAACATTTTTTGCTGAAGATGAAGAGATAAAGAGGGTAGGAGCTAAAAGTGGCAAAGGAATGTTGAAACAAGACAAGCTTTTGAAACCTCAGAGAAGAATTCATAGAAACCTAAACTATGCGATAAATTTTTTTTCACATTTTAGCTGTATTAAAAATTATAAAACATCTTTCATTATTTTTGTTTCATTTTAAGGGTGTACGTGTGTATGTATTGCTATTGTAGTTGTTAGGGATCAAAGCCAGGGTCTTATTCATGCTTAGACAAGTGCTCTCCTGCTGAGCGACATTACATCCTAGCTCTCATTTTAAGTTTTTAACCTGGGAATTTACATTACTTGAGAGCAATAGAACCCTCTTTCAGAAACATCTCAAAATTTAAATTTCTTATTGAGATGGTTTTTATTATCCTAATTTGATATTTGATATTGCACTGTATTTGTATTTATGTAGGAACCATTAACACATATAATGAATTACATATTACTTAATTATACATTATTTACACTGTCAGAACTCTAAAACAGATAGTGTATTTAGAGCTAGTGATGGACTATGAAGCAAGTATCTGAGATAATATGACTTGTCTGATTATGATGCAGATGTCCTCTTGGAGTAGATATATCGAAAGAAGTTGGAGAAGCAGCCATAAAAGTACCACGATTAAAAATGAAGATATGATGTTTGCTTTCCAAAAAGTCTCTAAAGGTAGTATTTCAGCATTAAAATTTTTAATGTTTTGTGTATCAAATTGAAAAATATGTTAATTAGTCATCAGACCTTTCTTTTGGGGGAACTGTTGATGGGGGAGCTTGTGGGGGTAGGAGTGGAAGAAGAGGGAGAGGGAAAGAGTATTATTGAATACATTGTATGTGCATATGAAAATATGCGCATAGTGTGTACATACTATATATGAATACATTGTATGTGCATATGAAAATATGCGCATAGTGTGCACATACTATATATGAATACATTGTATGTGCATATGAAAATATGCGCATAGTGTGCACATACTATATATGAATACATTGTATGTGCATATGAAAATATGCGCATAGTGTGCACATACTATATATGAATACATTGTATGTGCATATGAAAATATGCGCATAGTGTGCACATACTATATATGAATACATTGTATGTGCATATGAAAATATGCGCATAGTGTGCACATACTATATATGAATACATAGTATGTGCATATGAAAATATGCGCATAGCGTGCACATACTATATATGAATACATAGTATGTGCATATGAAAAGGTTGTAACGACAACTATTTAAAAATTGTGCAGGAAGTCTTAAAGGGGGTTAAGAAAAAGGGGGAAAAAAAGAGTATTAGAGGGGATGAATATGATCAAAGTGCATGCATGGAAATACAATAAACCCCTCACTTTGTTCAATTAATATACACTTATAAAAGTAATTTTTAAAAATTCTTTTGTTATTCCTTTTCTTATGTCTGCTCTTTTGAGAAACAATAATAATACATTATAGTCTTCCAAGGGAGCATAGCTTTTTTCTTTATCAAAAATCCAAGTAAAATATCTTGTGGGGAAAGAATGTACTGATGTTGGCAGGTAGAAAGAGAAACTTCGGAAGAAACAGTGATTATTTTGAATCCTTGCCCCATGTGCAGCCTAGATCTTTTCCCTTCTTTCTCAAATCAGGGTAGTAGAAAGGTTTTTTGATTTCTAGTGAAACATGAGCCTAACTACTTTAATGAGAGAGCAGTTTTAAAAGGTAGCCAGGTCAGTTATGTCTAATCAGAGAATTCCAAGTTAAGACAAAAGTTGACCAGCAATACGTATTACTAGTTATACAAATAAGTTATTAGATATGGTCTTTGGACTATGACTATATGTTTTGAAAAATCCATCTAATTTGAGATTTTAAAAAATTTGACATTCAAGTTATCTCACAATATGCATGGTACTCTAGCTGACCAAATACATTCAAATTCATTATTTTAGAAATTGTATTTACTCTCAAAATAAATGAGATGAAAACGATTTATTTATTTTTGGATAATTTTCTTTGAATCTAAAACTTTGTACTGTAGATATCATGAGTATGATTTTTTTCTGCCTAAAAGAACTAATCATACTGTCTCTTGACCTTAAAGACAGTGCTACTCACTGTTTAATGTCCTTTGGAAGATTTTACCAATAAAGGTTTTTATTTTTTTATATTATTTATTTATACAGTTCTGGGACTTGAACTCAGGGCCTACACCTTGACCACTACCCCTTTTGTGTTAGGTATTTTCAAGATAGGGTCGTCTCATGAACTGTTTGCCCATGCTGGCTTCGAACTCTGATCCTCCTGATCTCTGCCTCCTGAGTAGCTAGGATTATAGACATGAGCCACTGGCACCCAGCCAAGTAAAGGTTTTTATGACATCATCTATACTAGACCCAGATTGTTAGTATTCTAATCAATGTGCTATTGAGAAACTAGATAAAAATTTTAAATGGAAAGTCTTCTTATTTTAACCCTGCTTTAAGGTGACTTTCTTCTCAGGAAGTTCCATAAGTAATTCTTTTTTTAGAATTATGGTCATCTATTTTATCCTAGAAATAGAAAACTACAGATAAGGAAACTTGTGGAAATAGTTAATTCTTAGAATAGCTTTGCACGCTTTGATATTAAATTCCTGTATAAGTTTGGGGACTAGCAGAGTGACCAAGTGGTAGGTCACCTGTCTAGCAAGTGTGAGGCCCTGAGTTCAAACCTCCAGTACTGCCAAAAAAAAAAAGTTTTAAATTACTATATATGTGTGATAGAATTGGTTAAGAAATATTTAGAAGAAACAGTTTGTGATTCACATTTTACATTTTCATTTGCATTCTGTATCTGTCATTCAAAACTCAGAGACAAGTATAATTGTTTCCTGTGGCTGTTATAATCAGAGTAAGTAAATTACAGGGGAAAATTTACCATAATCTGTGTTTTGAAAATTTCTAAGTAAAAATTGCTCAGTAAAAAATCAAAGATGACAGAATTAAGCTCATAATATTCAAGAAATTGCAGATAAATAAGCAAATTCTGGAAGCCTTCTATATCTTTAGGCCTTTTAGCACTTAGCCATAAGGGAGGGAGGGAGAAAGGGGGCTATAAGGAAGGCAGGAAAAGGAAGGGAAAAGAAAAAGTAAGGGGAAAATATTGAACACTATTTTGGCAAGCCTATGTGCCAAAAATTATATACTACAGTATACTACAGCTAAGAGGCAGGCAAATTATTGAAACCATGTATTTCTTGAGATTTTTTAATGCATATTTTTAAATGAAAAAATGGGGTAATAAAAATCTTTGAGGGGCGAGCTGTCCTTCAGAAGAAGTATTTTGTATTACTGGTAGAATTGTCTGGTTTGGCCAAAATACTGTGGAAATACCTGTGACTGAATACAAAGAATCCCTGATTCTCAATCTGAAAATAATCTTAAAATATGATCTTCAGCCCACATGAAGCCAGTTTCAAAGTTCAAAAGGTATTCTCTAAAGGCTTTTGTTTTACATTTACATATGCTTAATATTTCCATTAATATAAGTTTTTATCCTTATTGGTGCTGAGTAAATGACAGTTTCTTGTTATTTGATTTTTTTTCTTTCTATATAAAACATTTTGTTTTTCCTCTTGCATTTCCTGTATTTTAGTCTATCTATTAGAAAGTTGTGACTCAGAAGAAAAGACAAAAAAGAGGAGGTAATGTGACATCGGAGGTGAAGATTGGAGTGATGTGAATACAAGCCAAGGAATATCTTGATTCTCCTCTAGAGCCTCCTGTGTAGCCTGATTTCAGATTGCTAGTCTCCAGAACTGTAAGAGAATAAATTTTGGTTGCTTTAAGCTACCAAAAAAAAAAAAGAAAGAAAGAAAGAAAAGAAACAAGTTACCACTCAGAGCAATTAACGTATTTTAAAATTGAAATGAAAGATTCCAGTTCTCTTAATTTGCAGTTTTGCAATGGTTAAGAGCACAGGCTTTGCAATGCTAGGAATATTTCTGGATAGCTATCCTTAACTCAACTAGCAAAACCACTTTGTCTTCCTTATTATGCTTGTCTCTTTTCTTCAACAAAACTAGTGATAAAGGCAGAATAGGACCTGCCTGGAACTGAGGGGGAAAGATGGGAGAGGGTGGGAGAGGGGGCAGGGGGAGAAATGACCCAAACAATGTATGCACATGTGAATAAATGAATAAAAAAACAAAAAAGAACACAGGCTTTGGACTCTATGAAAGCACTATGTACATGTAGCTACCATTAATCATCACCACCATTATTGTAGTGTTAAGGCATGTTGGGTAAATAACCACTAATTAATATATCTGTTTGATGTTCACTGCACCCCAGGTAGTGAATGGATTATAACAAGACCCTAGGACTGTATAGAGGTAGTTGAACAAAGCAGATAGAGAAAAGGCCTGAGGAAGAGGGATTTGAAGAATCCATGGAAACCTAGTTTGCAGTTGTATCACATCTGTCTGTACTATAAAATAGGAGAAACAGATATACACCAAAACTTGGACCTATTCAAATGTCTTTGAGCAAAGACATCATGTGGTTCTAAGCTACAAAGACTATCATCCTTTCCAGTTACAAGCCAAAGACACTGTGTGCAGAATGGTTAACCTGGTAGCTATAGTTTTTACCATACTGTGTATGTGATAGGCAGTGATTTCAGATTTTATTTTTAAGTAAAATATTTTAAATATATATTTCACACATTTTAATATTTATCATTAAATATCTTAAGGCATTGTAATGAATGTTAACATGTGGGCTACTTTGACTCGAGCCTCTTTAATTAAGCATACCAATTCGAAAATTTTTCTAATTCTTGGGGTGTGTGTGTGCCATTCATAAGTTTAAGTGCAGGCATTCTGTCACAAATTCTTATTTTTTGAAACAATAACTGACCTGATTGTAAATTCCAATAAAAGTGCTAAGGAAATCTGTCCAGTATCAACATCAAGAACTTCCATTCAAAAAGTTTACTCAGTTATGTGTATTTCATCATAATTAAAATATCTGAAAGTTTTAAAAAATATTGCTCATGAATCCTTTCATTCCAAAATGCCTTTTTATTAGCTTTCAGCTGGCTCTGGATTGGCTTTAAGTTCATGTTTCCCAAGATTGCTCAAACACACTATTCTTGGTCTTGACACATTTATGATATCTGGTGAAACGCCAGATGAAAAAGAAAAAATATTATGGGAAACATTGGTCTTTTTTGTTGTTTTAAAGAGTCCCATAAAGTTTGTTACAGGAGATAGTAAAGTCAAAGAATCTCTTGGTTGAATTTTAGGTTTTGCTTTTCTTCGGTGCTCTTTCCCTAAAAAATTAAGAGAATGACAGTTAAATGTGTCTTAGGCCTAAGGTCCATAGGTATAGTCTCATTATTTACTATTTTCTGTACATAACTAAAACACACTAAAAGAAAATATTAGTGGCTTCTAGATTTTAGATGTGAAAGAAAAAAATTTGTGGGGACCAATATATTGTTTACCAGCTTTTTATTATGCCAACTTTTTATTACCAACTGATGGAAGAACAAATGCCGGGCTGGAAGCCTGGCTCAAGCTTTCGAGTTCCTTCCTTGCAAGTGCAAAGCCCTGAGTTCAAACCCCAGGACCTCCAAGGAAAAAACAAAACAGTAAGCCAAGTGTCATGGCTCATGCTTTTAATCTCAGCTACTTGGGAAACTTAAATAGGATTGCTGTCCAGGAAGCCCAGGCAAAAAGTTACCGAGACTCCATCTCAACCAAGAAGTTGGGCATAATGGTGAGCACCTGCAATCCCAACCACGTGTGAGGCCATATAAGTAGGAGGATGGCAGTGTGAGGCTTGGACCTAGGCAAAAACGCAAGACCCTACATGAGGAATAACTAAAGCAACAAAGGGCTGGAATTGTGGCTCAAGTGATAGGATGAATACCTGGAAGGCACAGGCCCTGAGTTCAAACTCCAGTACTGCAAAAAAGTAAAAATAAAAAGCTAACTACTTTAAACATTATTAAAGGATACTTTAACACCCAAAGAAAGTATTAAAGCATTATCTTTATCAAAATGGTCATTAACAGAATGATAGACTTGACATTGAATAAAACTAATTTTATCAGAAATTGACTATGTTGTCCTTTCTTACATAACCACAAGCCTGTATAAATTATTGTTTAGAAACCAGTATTAAAGCAAAGAAAGACTAGGACTGACTTTATTCTTTAATGTAAATTACTCTTGCATGAAAGAGCTATAGAAAAAGACAGTTTTCTCCTGTGATATTCAGAAATATAGCCTCCCAAATACTTAGCTTCCTATTTCTTATCTATAAAAGAAATGATTAACACGGACTTTTGAATGGAAAAAAAAAAATACTCCCTGACTAAATAAAGTTCCTCCTTTCTTTTTACTGCCTCTTCCTATTCTCTGTTTCCAACTCCAGCAAACTGATCTTGACTTCTGAATGGTTCTTTGCTAGATTTTGACTCTAGGACAATATACTAAGTAAAACTGATTTGGGCCTACACTATGCTTAGTAGATGAATAAACATATACTTGAAATAAATAAGTAATTTACATTCTTTACTGAATGTCTAGAAAGGAATGAGTGATAATAAGGTCTAGACTCTGATTTCCTCAGACCTTGGCCACTCAGCTGTCATCTACTAAACTATGTACAAAACTGTATAAAGTATTAATGGAAAAAATGGGGTCTCTGCTATAAGAAATTATGGACAGGTAAGTTGCTCATGAAAAAACAATAGCAAGATCACTACTTAAGTCATATTTACATGTTATTTTAAATAACATTTCTGTACTTAGAGAATAATCAAAGAGGGATCTCTGGCAAGTGATATTACTGTGATTAGTAAATTATTAACATGGACTTAAATGGGAATGTATTTTAGGTATGAGGAATTACAAAAGAAATGTACAGCTAAACTTTTTTTGAGTCACCTCATTTCATATTTTTTAGAGATGAAACAATTATAAAATGCCAGGAATAGAAGGTACTACAGAAATAAAAGACAAATTAGTTACCTTTTTTAAAGATTGGATGTATGGATGGTCCTCCATTCTTCTCTAGACTAAAAGAAAAACATTTTAGTCAAATAATAAAATAGGACATAGTGCATCCAGAAAAACATCAGGAAATAACATGCAGGCTTATTCTGGATACCATATTCAGTGCCTAATGGTCTAGCATGCATACATGTACAGTTCATGTATATGCCTATAGGTATTTTACATTCGGTCACTTATTTACTCCAAACAGCTGAAAGATTAAATCTATTTGAAGTGATCAGAAGAAGAAACACCTAAGCTGTGTCTTGAACAAAGCAGATTTAAGAAAAGAGCACATTTTCTAATTCCTACAAAGTTTCCCTTTATGCTAACTGTAGAAGTGACTAAAATACTACATTTATATTATTTATCCTAAATTCATTTTTGAACCAAGAAAAATTATTTAACATTGTCAATTATGGCAATTTGAAATTTAGGTTCCATGACTTATATAATGTTAGGCAATCAATTTTGGATTTTCAGTTTTTCTAAGAATTAAAGTGACTCTAAAGATGTACTATCTTTCTCTGTACTTAAAATTGATTTATAAGTCATAATTACTATTGGATCCCATTCTCTTCTAGTGTCATAGAGTTAATATATTTTGAGTAGTTCTCTTTTCTGTATATGAATACCACTTCTTGGAGAGAAGATTTACAACTCAGCTACATCTACAAAAGAAGGGATATGCTCATTGTAAAGAGATTTCTTCCTCTGCCCTTTTTCAGAGATGAGTTTATGATGAAATTATAATATTGAGGCAAAATCTGAGCAAATGCCTGGCAAACTTCACCATAACTCCAGCCAGTAAGTCTGATTTAGCTGTTTCCATCCTAGAAGTTTCTCCTAGCTTTGGGTTAGATGTCCAGAAGACCCATTTGAAGTTAATGTCATAGTGTTGAATCTGCTTGGCTTAGAAGTCTCAGATGTACCTCTAATCAAAAATGGCTTCCATGTCAGTAATCCTAGCTACTTGGAGACTGAGATCAAAAGGATCATGGGTTGAAGCCAGCCTGGGAAAATAGTTCATGAATCCCCATCTCCAACAATAATCTGATTAAAATGGACTGGATGGACTGGGGGTACAGCTCAAGCAGTGGAGTACCTGCTTTGCAAGGACAAAGCTCAAAGCCCTTCCAACCGCAGTTCCACTGAAAGGGGTGGGGGGAAGGCTTCCTGGATCAGACATGGAGTTAAACAGTGTCCAAAAAACTTCTGAAATGTAAATAATCTTGGCCACACAGGATCACCCAATTTTGATTATAGTCTTATCTGCACCTGCAGTTCTGGTGCTGAGATGAAATTAAAACAGGATTTGAACTGGGCATGGTGGCATGTATCTCTACTGTCATCTACTTGGGAGGCAGAGGCAGGGGATTGTAAATTCAAGGCCAGCTTGGGCAACATAATAAGACCCTACATCAAAAATAAATTGGGACCTAAAGAGAGCTACTGTGATTGGTACATCAGAGGAATGCCTGGGATTGGAGGGGACACATCTTCAGCAGGTCAAACTATGGCAGTGTCCCCACCTTGAGGTTGGAGGGGAGTCTGGTGGGCAATCTATGGGTTTACATGTAGACCATCTCAGGGAGAGCTCTGTCCTGAGCCTGGAAGACTGAGGTACTAGCCAGATGTCTTCCCTCAAAGCATCTCTGGTGGCACAAGGCAATGGGACTTTTGCCATTCACAGGGAACTGGCATGATGGAACTGGATGAACTGGAACTCCTGCTGGAAAATGAATGGCAAGTGGGTGAATGGCCAACCCATGCAAAGCTGAAGAGCAGACATGCCCAGTGTCCCAGAAAGAAGAGGGGGAGATACAGGTACTGATGATTCTCCTTCAGACCCACCATGCCATGGAGAGATGCAGAAGTTTATGCATAAGGTTTGGGGAAGGTGTTGGAGGGAAATCCCAAATGATATACTTTCTGGCTGGCTGAAAGACAATGACTACCTGCTACATAGGTAGTCACCTATGCCTTCTTTTCAGGTTTGCTTAAAGAGCATCTTCATCCACACAGAAACTGGCAACATCTGGACCCATCTACTTGGTTTTGTGCCCTTTATCTTTTTTGAAGGTTTTGACTATGCTCAGACCAAATATGTAATTTCATGGACCGTCTACAAGAGAGGGTGGTTTGGGGGATGTTCTTTTTGGGTGCAGTGCTTAGCCTCAATTTCTGGCTCTTCCACACAACCTGTTGTCATTCTGAGAAAGTCTCTCAGACTTCCCAATCTGGACCACTTAGGGATTACTCTACTGATGATGGGGAGCTTTGTCTCCTGGCTATATTTTTCCTTCTACTGCTCCCCACAGGCTCTGCTTATCTACTCCTACATTGTCTGCGTCCTGGGCATTTCTGCCATTGTTGTGGCACAGTGGGTCTGATTTGCCATTCCTAAGCACCAGTAGGCAAGAGCAGGAGTGTTTCTGGGACTTGGCTTGAATGATGTTCTGTGCACTGTAGATTCTACTATCACTGAGGGCTCCATCAGGGCCACCACAGTGGGTCAGATAGGCTGGTTGTTCCTCATGGCTGTAAAGTATATCGCCAGAGCTGGCCACTCAGGCCATAAAGCCTAAGCTGCTTGGATTCCTGAGTGCTGCTTTTCCAGAAAATTTAACATACGGTTCCAGTCTGGTGGCAGCAGTTTTGTCCACCCCTATTGGGTTTCCAACCTTCAGGAATTCAGTTATGATCTAGAAAGTGAATGTAGTGATGACTTTCTTCTCTGAGCCTTCACAGCAGGAGGGTAGAGGAAATTCTCAAGTGTTTTTCAAAATAACTTTGCTAAAGTAAGAAAAAGAGTCCGAGTTGCCTGTTTCTAGAAAAAAACCTGTTAGGGAATTCAATACCAGTTAAGCTTCCACTCAGTTTCACAGCCACAATGGCAATAAACTTTGCATTTCCCAGCTGGGAAGCATGGGGATGCCTCCTCAGATAAAACCACCAGCTTTTATAGCTGGCTTATCATAGATATGTGTCCAGGCTTCAAATAATGACTTTTCTTTCTTGGCAGAGTAATGTAAAAGCTAAAATGGGGGAAAACACATTTAATACTAGGTTTTGAAAGAAACCAGTATCATTGCTATGTAACTTGAGGTAAAGGCTATGATGATAATAAGAGAAAGTGCAGAAGACAGCTGGCATGGACATTTAAAGTGACGTTTATCCTATGGTACAGAGAATATAGTTACATTAAGGGTTATCCTCCATGGCTGATCATCCTTAAACTTTTGGAAAAGGTTTATTAATAATTTCACTACTGCAATGTCAAATATAGGTACAATACCTTAAAGAAGGAAGCCCCACGAGTTGTTGCATTTGAAATGCCTTTAAAAACGCTGGGTTAATCTTTGCATCTCTGTTGATATTATTTATTATACGAAGGAACTGATTAGGTTTATTCCTACATTCATTTAACAGCATGCGGAAAGCATTTGCATTGTAAGTTAAGTAGCCAAGAGCACATGAACAAGCTGTTCGAACCTAAAGAAGAAACAATTTTTAATCAATGGGCAATGGGCTTTGTTCTTAATTATTTATCTCTGGGCTCTAATTAGCTACTTCATAGGAAAATCTCTGTAGATATGTCAACAAATACGTAAACAGATGGCAATCTATACATGGAAGCTTAAAAATCATATTTTTAGAGGACTATCAACGGCCACTGATTTCTAGTTGTCCAAAATTATTTATTTAGTTAAATATTTTGAGACCAAGGTCTCTGCTATATAGCACAGGATGGTCTGGGTCTTGCAATCCTCTTGCTTCAGCATTCCTAATTCTGGTACCATTCTGTACCACAATGACTAGCATGTGTTCACAATCTTGACTGCATTTTAGAATCACCTCAAGTATTTTTTTTTTAAAGAAAAGCCCACCAACTAAAGCAGACTCAATGAACACAGGTGATTTTAATGTGCAACCAGAATAAGAGTCTTTGTATTCAAACTAAGGCAGTGAATCTCAACCTTGGCTGTGCATTATAATCACCTGGATGGCTTTGACAATTATTATGACTGGGTTCTAACTCTAGAAGCTCATTTAGTTATTCTGGGGTGCAGCTTGTACTTCAGAATTTTTCAAAACTGCTCAAGTGATTGTCATAGGAAACCAGGAAGGAGACTATAGGGGGAAAAGTAAACTAAAAATAGCCACAGTAAGAAAGCATTGTTTTCCACTGACAATAACAAAGAAATGAAGCATAAGGATTAGGCTATAGGACTCTTGAAAAAGTAGTTTCTTTGATGGAACTACCCGTTGCCTGTGACTCAGAAATAATTAGGTTGTTCATATGTACTTCTGGGCACTTGGTAGGGAATTGGATAGTTGGCAGATGAACAAATTTCACAAAATGAACATAAACCAGGCCCATGCAGGCTACCCTTGGGTACCCTGGCATCAGCTGTTCTGTATGCTCAGATGTCTTCCACACCTTGAACTTATGGTTCAGTCCTCAATGTGTGGTTTCTACACCAGCAGCTTTTGCTGATAGGAGCTTATTAGAAATGCAGAATCTGGGACCTAGCTCAGATACATTGGATCATGAAGTCAGGAAATGGGGCCCAGTAATCTATGGTATAACAGGCCCTTCAGATGATTCTTATACACCATTAATGTTGGAGCAAAACTGCTTTAGACCTTAAAGGGAAAGAATAGAGGAATACTCAGAAGCTAACTGCTGCTGTGGCATTGCTCTGGCCTCAACTTCACCCTCTAATTCTGCTTAGCAGATAAGGAGAACTGCCCTATGGATTCCACTTTCACTCATTGCAAATGTACAAATGTCTTTGTGAGAGCACAGAGTAACCAGAGTTTTTGTTGGCTGGATATGTTGCTTTTTGTTTGTTGTTTGTGGTACTGTGATTGAACCCAGTGATTAGGGCTTGGGCCTAGATTAGAGCTTGAGTTAGAAAAACTGATAGCTGAGAATGATGGCTTGGATCTCGATAAAATATTACATCTTTGCCTGCTGACATAAATGGAACATCTTGTGACATACAGCACAGTCTTGTTGACCTATAGCCCCTGCAGCCTGAAGGAAAGGAAAAGCCCCAGTCTAACCATACAGGCCCCAAACGCCCAGCTAAATGTGAAAGGAATTAATGACACATAACCCAGTCTACAGAAATTAGTGACACATAAACTAGTTTACAGGAATGACCATCTCCATGCCCATTGACACCAATAAAAGCATAGGGTTTAGGGACCCTTAGGGCAGCTGCTCCTGCTTGAACCTGCCCACTTTCTCAAGAGAATGCACTTTCACTTTTCTTTCAATTTGCTTTGCATTACTAAGCTCATTCTGATAAGTCTCCTCTGTATCCATCCTTGAATTCTTTTTCTGATGAGACCAAAAACCTGGGCCCTTAGTTGGTGGCCCAGATCTGGTAACACCAGGGCACTGCACATGCTAGGTAGGTGCTCTATCGCTGAGTTATATCCTCACCCTTTTTTTTTTTTTAATATTTTTAGCTTGAGACAGGATCTCAAAGTTGCCAAGGCTGTCCTCAGACTTTCAATCCTCCTGCCTCAGTCTCCTGAATACCTGAGATTATAGGTGTGTAGCACCATGCCTAGCTAAGTAACCAGTTTTTGTTTTAATTACAAATTTCTGTATCATCAATGTACTTGTATATTGAATCTTCCTTTGAGCATTAAGATAACTATTAATTCATAGAGTTTTTGGTTTGTAATTCAGAGTAATATGAATAGGTATTTTTAAATCTTTAATTATAATTGTTTTATACTTTTACAATTGGAATCTATTTAAGTCTTAGAGTTAAAACAAATGTGCACTTTTGTGGGAATCAGAATTGTAGATGGCATATATGACTGATACTAGACAGTTCATCTAATTTTGAGTTAGTATCATGATCTATATTATAGAATACAACCTTAGGAGAAGTTGTTTTGTACTATGAGAGAGAGGCAAATTATATTATTTTTAGCATATTGAATTTTATAATTAGTTTAGTTTTTACCTCTTCTCTTCCTGAGTACAAGTGGTAGCAGAGTCGCTGGATTGTTCCTAATGTGATAAATGCTTCTGGAATACCAGCTCTAGAATGAGACAGGCTAGCTATTAAATTACCTATAAATTAAACAAGAAAAAGTGCTTGTGTCATTAAAATGATAAACTGATATACTGTGCTTTTATTCATTTGTATAACATTAAAAAATCTTTGAATTACAAGATGTCTCTGTTAAATGAAGAAATGGTGAGAAAAAAGTATGTATGTGTAAATGTACAGTAAATGCCTCCTAAAATTACGGTTTGATTTTCTGTTGCAAGTAGTAAACATTAAACAGGTTTATGTAAGGGTGGGAAAATTTAAATCAGAGGATTTCCTCCTTCCATGGCTTCAAAATATACTCTGTTTAAATTGACATTTAAAATTGAATTATCACTCAGCAATTTGTTCTTTTGCAGTTCAAAGGTCTTTGAGTTAAGAACTTAATGATATTTTTAAAATAATAAAGTATTATATCAATTACTGGAGAGTTTTAAATCATTGAAGTTTTTAGCACAAAAAGAAATATTTTGGGACTAAAAATAATAAAGTGACCCAATAATTAAAATAAATAAATATGTAGCTACCAACTTAATGCTATTTCATTCACTTTGGTGTTTTAACATATTTATGTGTTTCTACATGTATGGGTAGATACTTTATTGAGATATGAACTGAATTTTTGTTCTCCTTGTATTTTTTTCTGGCATTCATTTTAAGCCTTGGAACTCTTTGTGTTTCTAGCCCCAGAATGGATGCTAGTCTAAATTAAAAGTTGTCTAAAGGTAACCTCTCTGTAAAGTTAAAAAGATGTCTTTAAGATGAGAAACCATTAGAGGGGTTAAAGAATCTAAAACTAAGGCGAACTTAGGTTTATAATTATCAAAGGAGAATTTATTCTCCACTTTAAGTGGAGAATAAGTGGTACACATAGGAAAACTGGACCTTTGGCAACTTGGCAGTGAGCAATTATTTTACACAATTGCTGAGGCTGGATTGTCCTCCTTTGCGTGATATACTCCAGATGTGCATCTCTCTGCATGCATATGACTCTGGTGTTAAGAGTACAGAGAGTTCTTCCAAGATTGGAGGAATTAATTTAATATTTTGAAAGCAGATATAATATGACATTTCTTTTTCGTTGTTTTTGTTTTTTGAAACATGGTCTTACTATATAACCTAGGCTGCCCTTGAGCTCTGGATTCCCCTGCCTCAGCCTCACCAGTGTTGGGATTATATGCATGAACCACTATTCTTAGCTTTAAAATGTCATTTCTTATACAACAGAGCTTGTGGACTGAAATTATAACATACTACAATTGTTGTTTTCAGAGTCAGAGAATTACTCTGACATTGAAATACTGTTATTTTGATGGAAATATTTAATAATTTATTTAAAACATGTTTTTTCCTAATAAGTTGCCATCAGAAAGTTTTCATTTGTTTGTTTTTCTTCTTTGCCATGCAAATATATTCCATGAAAATATAATTCTATACTGTATCAAATGGAGTTTTCTTTGCTGCTTGTAAGCAATCCATTTCAGTTAAAACACAAATACTATTTATTTTGGCAGTAGTCACCAACTGTCATTCTGACACTGATTTATGGATGTTGCTTTGACTGATATATCAAATCAGCTAACTATTATTGATCACATATTGTGTGTAAACAGTAAGGTTAGATCTGGAGTAGACATAATTACACAATTAACATTGTGTCAAGAGCTCTATTGAACTATTTTTCTTTGCTGTGTTGCATAGTAATACAGAGAACTCTTAAATGGCTCTTTAAAAGTACACAAATGGTCAAAAGGAAACTGGACAGAGGTACATCACTGCAAATCTACCACCACTGTTATAAATAATCATGTAAGGTTTGTTCATGGTAGTTCATAGTGAATTCTCACTTTATATACTAGAAAATAATTCATGGTTTGAAAAAGTAATTAGGAAATCAAAAGAGGATGTGTTCAGGGTTACTGTGCTCCTATTCAGAGTGTGGAGTAGAGGCCCACTGTTCTATGTAGACTTACTCTAGAGTTACATAAAAATTAACTTTATCTCAGTTTTCAAACTGTGTAACAGAGTATCAGATTTACTATTTTAATATTGCTCAGATTACAGACTAAAATTTTGATAACAGTTTTATGTGGGTACAATTACCTTCTACTTGTTTCTTACCTGTCAAGGCAAGAGTAGAGGTCTGAACTGAATACAGACTATCAACTAAAATAGTAACACCTCTTGCAGACAGAGTAATATGGTCCACATCTATAATGACTTTAGCTAATACAATAACCTAAAAATAAAAAGAAGCATAGAATCATTCAACATTTCTTCTCAGCTTTTCTAAGTTTTTATGATGGGGAGTACTTGTCAGGAAGACAAAGGGGGTATTTGGTGGGAGGCAATAGAAGAAAAGTGAGTGGTTGCAGGGAGGAGTTAGAGCACTTGTCCCTAATTGGTCAGAGCAGTGACCACAATAGGCTGTATTATTCTTCCTGCAATGTTTGCAACTTTTGCATTCTTGAAGTGCAAGATCACAGAAAATACTTCTCCTAAATGTGATATCACAATGAAGAGCGATAAGACTGCTAAGAACCCAAATACATACAGTTGTTACAGCCTTGAAGAATCACTGATCAGCTAAAAATCTTCTGGCTTAGTTATGAACACGTTTCTCCACGTATTTATTCAAAATATGGGGTGATCAAAATAATACTACCTGTCTATCAACCTCCATCAGATGAGGTATAAAGATAAAAGTACCTTGTAATTCCATGTAAATGAAGAAATCCTCATATAATGGACTTTTCATGAGGTAGGAGGAGCTGTGCACAGTACTAAATTTTATAAATCAATAAGCATTTATCTGGATTCCCCCAATTCTAAGAGTCTCACTAAAAGGATATACTTATTAACTTGAGATGTTAATCTCTGATTTCATACCTGAAATGCTGCCATTGCCTTCTCAGTTTCAATTATTGATTTAAGAAAAGGTTCAAAAATAGATATGGTCATCATTCCACTTTCTAGTATTAAGTATTGTTGAAAGCGATTATTGAAGGCAAAAAGAGTTAATGCATATCCTGCTCTTAAGCAAATTTCCTAGAAACAGGAAAAATATGCATTACCTTCAAATTACTTCATTTACCTTGTTACTGAACATCATAGGTTTTGAATTCTTGCCCATTAAAATGCATTGCATCCTTATCACTGGGAATAAAATATATTACTGGGGAAAACAGCTAACATAGAATATCCAAGAATATTACTGAACAAATAAAACTAGTGTGGTGGCAGGAAGAAGAAAAGAGAAAACATTTTAAATTTTCAAATAAAATGTTAGATTGAATACCTAAATCACAAGAGGAAGAAATAATTTTATTAACCTTCAACTTTTTATTTCAGCACGTTTATTTTTATTTCAAGATTAGAAAGATTTCATAAATCAAAACTTTCCTGGTAGCCCGGTATACCACGTCGTGCATGACTCATGAGGCTGAGTTTGAGGGCAGTCTGAGCTACATAGAAAGAACCCATCTCAAAAACAAAAACAAACAAATAAGAAAGCCCTTTTCTTGTAGCATGCTATGTATTTCTTTCAGACATTATAGGAGTATCTACATTTTAACATTCTTAAACTTAGCAAACAATAAAAGCCAGCTAATTTGTACCAGTATGGTAGAACTTTCAGAAATATCCAAAAGATAGACTCTTACTACCAAATATTATTTTTTAAATATGGAACGCTTCACAAATTTGCATGTCATCCTTGCACAGGGACCATGCTAATCTCTGTATCATTCTAATTTTTTTTTTAGTGTATGTGCTGCTGAAGTGAGCACCCAAATATTATTTTTAATATTAATTTAACTATAATGCATTTTGTTTCAAGAGTGTAGTACATATCACAGAGATAACTAATTAATCAACTCATAAATCTTGGTGAGTTTTCTTCCACCACTATTAATCATATAAAAATGCTATATATACATATTGAAATATTTACAGATAAAATGATATGATGCCTGAAATTTGCTTTAACAATAGTGTAGAGAAATTAGTGGGTATATGGATGAAATGAGAGTGATCATGAGTTGATTATTGTTGAAGTTGGGTCATGAAATATTTAATTTCCTTATGCTTCTCTGTATGTCTATTTTTTGAAATTTTTCATAATAAAAATTATACACACACACGCAAAGTAGTCACCTAGCCTTAGGTAAGAAAAAAAGTATTAGGTATAGTCAAAGGAATAAGGAACAAGGTCTCAGTCATGAACAAAAGATAGATTAACTGCTAGCAGAAACTTGAGCCAAATAGGATAGAGTGATAATGAGAAATGAACCAAAGGATCGTGCCTGTGAATCCAAGTTGGATAGAGGAAGAGTGAAATAAGTATGCTTGAAATCAAACTATTTTCACTACTTTTCCATTTAGTTTTGATCCTGCATTATTACTGGAAACCTACAATAGACAAGATGGTTTATAAAGCATTTGGTTAGTTTTGTTTCAAAATGAATCCCACAGCTTGGTTACTCTCACCATGCCAGCTACTATCAGTCACAAGAATCATACTGGCTACTCCCAGTCTAACAGGTTAAAAAAAATAATCCTTGAGGAAGGACATATTTTTCCATACTTTTTTTACTCTGAATGTCAACTCTCTTAATACCCTCTGCTTCATATAGCCTTTCATGTACCTAACTACCAAGGGTGGTTATACCCACATTTTCTCTTTATAATCACCGTGATTTATAAATGGGAGAAGAGTGCCTGTTTTTTATGTTGACTAAAATCTCTTCAAAAGTATATTTCCAATGTACTAGACTATATATTTTAAATAATAAAGTGAGTAGGATGACAAATAGTAAAATTAATTTTATGTACCTTATAAAAATCATTCTCAGAAGTCTATTTCACCTAATGTACTCTAGTTTTACAGCACAAGAAAGATTCAAAAATAATTTTAAAATTATATTACTTATTGCATTTCCAAGTAGACATCAATGTGGCTAAGAGTTTCTAGAATCTGGGTTAACTGACTTAAATTTTATTGTCATCTTATCATTATCGTAGGATAGCTAGTTGTTCAGTGACATTTTGTTGCTAAATATTCCTTCCTCTCTTCTTAATTCCTACAACAGACCTTTGTAAGTATCCAACTGTAGATTTAATTGAGGACAACAATGCTTAGTACTTTCTCTATAGCCGTAAGAATACCAATGTGTCCCTGTGCTAGCTTTCCATCATCATGACAAAATACCTGAGGTAAACAACTAAAAGGGTGAATATTTTATTTTGTCTCACAGTTTCAGAGGTTTTAGTCCATGGTTGCTTGGTCTAGTTGTTTAGGGGCTTAAGATGAGGGGGCAGAACAAAGCAGTTCCTTTCATGGTGGGCAGGAAGCAGAGAAAGAAAGGAACTGGATTCCCAATATTCCCTCAAGAGCATATACCAAATGAGCTATTTCCTCCAACTGGGCTTCACCTCTTAAAGTTTCAGCCACCTTCCAATAATGCCACCAGCAGGAGCCAAGATTTAACACATAAGCCTCTGAGAGACATCCAGATCTCAATCGTAACAGTGTTTTGGGGGCAAGTAGTTTGAAACATACTTAGTAAAGTGTATAGGAAACCCTAAAAGACTTTTAACTCACCATTGTGATATTTCTTAGCATTAAAAATTTTGGCCAAGATCAGAAAATGCTTTGCTTTATCCTTAAATCTTCTGGTTTCCTAAGATTCCCTGTATCTATAGAACTGGTGCACAAAGATGTGTCTATTATGAGTTAAATACAGGTCCAGAGAGTCAATGAGGTGATAACAGACTGAGAAGGAACTTGAGAGAGATGTGTAGAAGAAGAACAAAGAGAAGAACAAATAAGGAATGAAAATAAAATACTAAGAAGGAACAGTACAGGACAACAACAACAAAAAAGGTGGTATAGTCAGTCTCCTCACCGTATTCCCATATTTCTAGCACTTCTTTATATATTTTAGTGTACTACGGTACAGTAACATTTTACATTTTAGAAAAAACAACATGACTTCATTCCCAACCCTCCTATGTACCTCTAAAATTTCACAGAACTGGGAGACATAATTGTTGATTTTCTCCCCTGATTGCAGATACATTGTAGACAATAGCTCCCATTTCTCTAGGATAATACTATTCAAAAAGTGCATGAACCAGTGACAGTACACAAATTGTTGACAATAACATCACAGAAACTGAGAAAAATTTCATTATACATACCATTTGCCTCCTCTGTTAAATTTATTCCTAGGTATTTTAATTTTTTGAAGCTATTGTGAATGGTATTGTTTTCCTAATTTCTCAGACTACTCATTGTTTGTGTATAGAAATGCAACTGTTTTTTGTGTATTGATTTTGTATCTCAACACATTGTTGAATGTGTTTATGAGATCTAGGAGTTTTTTGGTAGAGTTTTTCAGGTCTTTTAGGTATAAGATCATGTCATCTGCAAACAGGGATGATTTGACTTCTTCCTTTTCTATTTGAGTACATTTTATTTCTTTCTCCTGTCTTATTGCTCTGGCTAGAAATTCCAGTACTATATTTAATAATAGTGGGGAGAGTGAACACCATTGCCTTGTTCTTGATTTTAGAGGAAATTGTTTCATTTTTCCCCATTTATTATGATGGCTATAGGTTTGTCATATATAGCCTTTATAATGTTGAGGAATGTTCCTTCAGAGTTTCTTTAGTGCATTTTTCATGAAAGGATATTGAATTTTCCAAAGGCTTTTCTGCATTTATTGAGATGATGCTGTAGTTTTTATCTTTGATTCTGTTTATGTGTTGTATTATGTTTATAGATTTGCATATGTTATACCATTCTTGCATCCCTGGATTGAAACCTACTTAATCACGGTATATAATCTGTTTAATGTGTTGTTCAATTCTGTTACCAAGTATTTTATTGAGGATTTTTGCATTTAAGTTCATCAGAGATATTGGCCTGTAACTTCTATTTTTTGATGTATGTTTACCTGGTTTTGGTATTAGGGTAATACTGGCTTTGTAGAATGAGTTTGATACTATTCCTTCCTTTTGTATTTTATGGAATAGTTTGAGGAGCACTGGTGTTAATTCTTCTTTAAAGGTCTGGTAGAATTCACCAGTGAATCCTTTTGGGCCCAGGCTTTTCTTTATTGGTAGATTCTTTATAACAGTCTCTATCTCATTACTTGTTGTAGATCTGTTCAGTTGGTAATGATCTCTTGGTTCAATTTTGGTGGGTCACAGGTGTCATCTAGTTTTCTGGAGTATAAGTTTTCAAAATATTCCCGTATGAGCTTCTGAATTGCATTGGTATCTGTTATAATATCCACTTTTTCATTTCTGATTTTATTAATTCAGGTCTTCTCCTTTTAATTAATTTAGTTAAAGGTTTGTCTATCTTGTTTATTTGTTTTTCAAAGAACCAACTTTTGTTTCATTGATTCACTGTATCTTTCTTTTGGTCTCTAATTAATTGATTTCTGTCCTGATTTTTATAATCTCTTTCTGCCCATTACTTTTTTGAATTGGTTTGCTCTTGTTTTTCTAACAGTTTAAGGTACAAAATAATATTATTTATTTGCTATCACTCTAATTTTCTGAGTGTAAGACCTGAAACTTTGAAACTAGTAGGAGAAAACACTTCAAGATAAAGGCATACGTGATGACTTTCTGGATAAGCTTTTAATAGCCCATGAAATAATAGCAAGAATTGACAAATAAGATTTCATTGAATCACAAAGCTTCTGCACAGCAAGGAAAGAGTTATCGGCATAAGGAGAAAATCTTTGCCAGCTATTCAGCTGACAGGGATTAATATCCAAAATATGTAAAGAACTCAAAAAATTAAATACCAAAATAATAAATGATCCAATCAAATTGACAATTGAATTGAACAGACAGTTCTCAAGAAATACAAATGGCCAATAAATACATGAAAAAAATGTTCAACATATTTAACCATCAGGAAAATGCAAATCAAAACTGCCTTGAGATTCTATCTCACCACAGTCAGAATGACTATTACTAAGAAAACAAACAAAAAATGCTGGCAAGGATATAGGGAGTGGAGGAAAGAAACCCTTATACACTGTTTGTAGGAATCTAAAGTAGTGCAGCCACTATGGAAATCAGTATGGCGGCTCATCAAAAAACTAAAAATAGATATGATCCAGCTATACCATTTCTGGGTGTATACCTGAATGAATCTAAGTCAATATATAATAGAGGTACCTGAACACTCATATTGATTGCCACACTATTCACAATAGTGAAGTTATAGAATCAGCATAGGTGCCCATCAACTGATGAGTGAATAAAACAAATGTGATATATGTACAAAATGGAGTATTATTCAGCCACAAGGAAGAACAAAATCATGTCATTTTCAGGAAAACGGGTGGAGCCAGAGACAATCAGTTAAAATGAAAACAGCCAGACTCAGAGAGGCAAATATCATGTTTTCTTTCATGTGCAGAATCTCGATTTGAAAAAGAAAGGCATGAAATTAGAAGAGGGAACCAGTGGAAAGGGGACAAGAGAGGTCAATGAGGGGATGAATAGATCAAAGAACATGTATGAAAATGTCATAATGAAACCCATTATCTTATATAATTAATGTATGTTGATAATAAGAAATAATAAAGTAAGAGGCACCAACAGTGATTTAACCTGAAAGTAAATTTCTGTTTGTGAAAACTTTTTATTCTGTCAATTATGGCAGCATTCTCCCTTTTAGTGATAATCCAGTGAAATGTATTAAATACTTTTCGGGGAGGTAGTATACTGGGGCTAGAACCCGGAGGTCATGCATGCTAGGCAAATACCCAGCCACTGAGCTACATCCCTAGCTTAAATACTTTTTTAAAAATGGATGACTGAGGGTTCGAATGGCACAAAATTAGGTTGAAGGTTTGATTCATGACAGAAGAGATTTCTTTTTGGCACATCACCAAGCATTAAAATTGCTGCATGTCAAAGATGTGAAGTCTGACAACTATGAAAAATATGGAGCTATATTATTACGTAATTACAAACTAATAACTACAAAGAGATCTTTTACATTTCTTTTTTTTTCAGTTTGACATTACATTTCTTAAACAATACATTTGACTACTGCCATGAAGAAGATTTGATGATAATTTGACAGTTTCTAAAAACCATTTTTTTCTGAATGGATACTAATGTTTGTAAAGGAATTACCTTATCTGTTGAGTGAAGGAGATAAAGGACATCAGAATATTTAAATCCTTCAGTCTCTTGTAATTCATTCTGCAAGGTTTCATTCCCTAGGACAATGCATGCCAAGGAAAATGCCACTTCAACCTAAATATGTGATTTTCAGAAATTATTTTTCACTCATGCATTTTCAAGTGACTTATTTCATTATACAAATATTTCTATATGATATATTGTAGAAAGACACTATAAAATTTGCTAAAGTATAACTGGTTGATTCAATTCTCTGATTAGTCTTTAAAGAGTGACATGACTTCTGGAAGACTATCCATCATTTTTAACAGCAGGAAAGATCCTTCCTCTCTGTGGCAGGGACAACCACTGAGCTTCCTTGAGGGCAGCAGGGAGGGCACTAGGGCTAGTAGGGCATGTAAGATAGAATCCTAGTCCTAAGTGCATCGTTGTATCCCCTGCACATCTAAATTTTTTAAAAAATATTTTCTGGCATTGTTTTCAAGTTTCTTGTTAGATACTACCATTCAGTTGGAATGCCTATTAATTTAAGCAAAGCTTTGTGAAATAGAGCTGAGGAAGTGTTTTCCTCCTTTAGTTTTGGAGTCATTTAATGTACATTCTTAAGTCCATTAGGAAGGTGAAACTTGTGCATTATTGGAGCTCAACAGATTAAAGTTTTTAAAGTATACATTATGCATTTCTATAAAAAGGCTATGAATTTGAAAAGCATGACTATTGCATTATTGTGAAATAGTTTGTCCAATATAGAATCTTATTTTGAGAGACAGTATTGAAAGGTATTTGTGTAGGGTTGGGGATGTTAGCCCAGTGGTAGAGTGCTTTCTTAGAATGCACAAGGCTCTGGATCTAATTCCTAGTACCAAAATAAAGACAGAAAGAGAGAGAGAGAGAGAGAGAGAGAGAGAGAGGAAATATAGGAAATTTATGTTCTATTTTAACAAGTTTCAAAACCCATAGAAGATATATACTGAAATATAGACGAATGGAATTGAAATAGACTTCTTTATCAAAATGTGCACATTTTAAAATAAAATATATTTGACATAGCATCTTCCAGTCTTAATGAAATTTACTTCTACTTTGAATGTCAGTGTAGCTCTTATTTATAATTCAAGCCAAATGATTGTAGACTGTTTCTTCCTTTTGTTTCCCTAATGAACTCTTATGATAAAATAATCTCATTTCCAGAAAGGCCACATAACTTGTGGCATCTTTTATGATAACAAACTTATCTGTTAAAAGAAACACTGCAGTTTATATTATTAACATGTTTTCCTCCTATATTATCTTCATTTCCTCATCTCTAATAGACCACCTACAAGATTTTGAGAAGCAAATGTATTTTTGTTATTATAATTTCCTGCCTGACAAACTATATAGATTTCTTGAATTTCTAAAGCCTTTCTAAAAGGATTTGAATTCATGTGAATGTCATTTTATTAAGGGCATTTTACTAAAAGTAAATGAAGAGTGAATACTTACAGTATTTTTCTGTAATGTCCAGCCTTGAGAAAACTATACCTGCCAGGCAACCCAGGCTGCTTTGATGTCTAGCACACACAGTATTTGAGAAATACTGCCATGTGAGTTGTACATGCCCACTGTCCCCACCCAGTTTTAATAATTGATATCTGAGGAAATAGGGATGATGAAAGGAAGAAAATGTCTTTAAAAAGTTAAGAGTAAGCCTTTCTTTCCATATTTAAAGAAATCATATTTTAATAACATTTACTGCTAACATAGTTTGTAGCAATCGTTATTATTTCCAACTTCTAGGATTGTACTTTACAGGTTAAATTTTCTACACTTCTGAACTTTCAGAAAGCTACAAATTATTCTTAAAAGTGATATTTGTTAATTTTACTGTATCAAGGAAATTTTAAATCTTCATATGTACCTTAATGTTAGGTGAAGGGTGATTTCTTAGTAGATGGATAAGTACTGGAAAGGCATTTTCTTCTACAACAAATTGTTGACTAATGGGATTGCAGGTATGGGCTACACCTGTAAGAGTTCACATGTCAATGAGGTGATATTTTTTCCATCTAGTAAATGGTAAAGACAAATGTATCCTGATGTTATTGGCTGATAAAGTGTCTTAAGGTAATATGGTTAGTAAATAATGAATGGAAATGTTATATTGACATTTTAATAGTCCAGCATTAATTTTTTAAGAGTGCATTTGTGTGACTAAACATGTAGAATTTAGTATTAGAATTGTGGATGGCTTTCTAATAGACACAGAAAATAAATTATAAAAGTGATATATTGTCAAGGAATAATAATAATAGCTATCATTTATTGAAGAACTATTATATGCTATGTACTTAATTATATAGTTATTTTTTTCCATAAAAAGTTCTATTTCTACAAAAATTGCCAAAGTAATCACTGAGTGAAAATTCTAGATTCTTTAAGTTAAATGTATTAAAAAGACAATCTTACTGTTGCCCTTTATAACACATTACTTTACATTATAAGCCTGATCTCAATGGAGAATTAAAGTGATCTCTTTTTAGTGAGCATGTATAAAATATTTTAATTCCGTTTTGCTAATAAACATCACAATACATATATAGTGGGTTTACATACCTAAATATAAATACAAGATTCAGCTTTACTCATATTTCTCTCTGGAGAAGTTTGAAGGAACTGGTGCAAGTAGATGGAGCAAAGAACACTCTCATTTCTTTCCCTCCCCCATTGATATAGACAACTTTGAAGTGAACTAATGGGAAGAAGTGTGTGGTCTGTGTGTGTGTGTGTGTGTGTGTGTGTGTGTGTGTGTATCAGGCAACTTTGTATATATGTTATCATTTACTAGAATTTTAGAAATATCTGTAACTTATAGCATTTTTCTGGCCAAAAATAGAAACATTGTCTTCTGTAGCTGATTATGTTGGAGAAGTTAATGAATCTAAGGAGTTAAATATTTGGAATCAATCCCTATGTACTTCATTCAGCCAAACTACTTTTGAAGAAATACCAACACCTATTTTTTTTTATTCTTGTTTGCAAGAAACAGTCTATAATCAGTCCCCTGCATTCATGAACTCAAATTGTTATTTTTATAGGTCAATCACTAAAAATTCCACAAGGTTTTTCAGGTATCCAAAACAGTCAATTCCATTGCAATGAAGGCTACTTTATAAACAAAGAATTACTGCATAAAGAGACTGGCATTGGAAAATGTATCCTAGCATTAGAAACGCTTTTAAAACTTATACTCTTGAAATTCAAAAGAAGTATTTTCTCTTAAAATATGAGATTCCTTTAAGTCAAAATAGTCATTGCTCAGTGTGTTCATTTTGCATTCTACCTAGCATTTAAGAGCAAGACCCACATAAAATTCTTAATTATGCCACTTATACTAACCAAGGTCTTGGAGAAACTGTCTACAAATTTTTACAGATTGAATATGATTTAGGGCTCTAGTGATAATTGAAAGGAAGAGATTAATTTTAATTTCTTTACTTATCCTTTTTTTCTTATAGATACTTAAGAAATTGAGATGTGTACAAACCAATACAGATGGATCCCACTGCTCTGATGACACTGAGAAGTGTGCCTTCAGCAATCTTACTAACTCTCAGCAAGCGAACGAGAGGAGCAATTCCATTCCCTTCACAGATCTGATTTTGATGCAGCCTGCTGTCCTTACTTAGAGCTATGACTGCTTCACCTCCTGGTACAGAAAGGTGAGAGAGAACTGTAGACCGCAGAGCTCTATAATGTGCAGATTTATGTATAGAAAATAACTTACCCACGTACTGCATTTTAGCTGATGGTGACAAAAGCATATGTATTATAAAGTTGTATCCGATCTGCTCTGCCATATACTTTTGTTGTTTCAGTGTTTGTCCTGCCAAGGCCCAAAGTGCTATGGCTCCTTGTTCCTTAACATCTATTTGAAATGCCTATTTAAAAAAAAAAAAGATTGCTTTCATTCAGTGAACATTTATTGTGCACATTAAGGATATATGTTTTATAAAAATGTTTACTCTAGGATTGGGTTTGGTTTTCTATTCATGATACAAAATTAAAATGGAGTAAGTCATTTAAGAGAAATGGCTAGTGATGATAAAATCCCTACCTTCAGGAGTTTTAGAAGATATTTCGTTAGTCTTCGTTCCAGAAATGCCTTCTGTATAAGAGGATTGTAACTCGCCAATGATTCCACAGCCGCTGCACCTTTCACTTGTACACTAAGTTGTCTCCCCTTAAAGAGAGCGACCAGGGGAGGGATCGCTCCCTCCATAGCGACAGCATCCTGAACTTCCTTATTGTCACGTGCAACCTCAGCAATTGTAGCAGAAGACACAGCCTTCAATACATCTTCAGATGAATTCAAGAACAAGTTACGTAAATCTTGCAAAAAAGTGTAAGTATCGTAGAAGGGCAACATACCTTCAGTTTCCCATATTGCAACATCAAATTGAAAAAAGGTCATAGAAAACTTAGAAAATAAAAATAAAGTAAGAAACAAAACTGCTCAGTCCACCAGCTAAGCATAATCACACTAGGTACTACTTATGAAGAGGGACAGGTAGATTTAGATAAGTACAGACATTCAGTATAGTCCTACCACAAAAGCAATAGCCTTCATTTTTACTTACCATGAAAGCATTTTCCAATTCTTTTATGAGTATCAGTGTTTTCTAAATATTCCATTGATGAGTGTATCACATTTCCTTAGCCATTCACATTTTGAAAATACATGTTGTTTAAAAATTTTCAGTTTTAAACAATTCCCAGAGAAATCTTAGCTCATAAGATATTTTCTTCCCATCTATGGTCCTGGGAGTTACTGGAATAACTTACTACATACATTTTAGTAAATTGCTTTCTAAAAACAGTAATAACAATTTATCTTTCCATAATCAGAATGTAATAGTATCAGTGTTACTGCTTCTTTGTGAGTATAAGCATTATCATTAAAAATAAAAATAAGTAAACTTTGCTAATTTAATAGACAAAAATGGTACACATTTTATTTTGTACCCTTGACTATTGCTGAGTCTAAATATCTTCCTGTATGCTTATTAAGTGGTTGCATTTTTTCTTACAACTCACAGAAAATTGTATGAGAAAGTCACAGAATCTCCTGTGCATCTTTACCTGCATTTATAAATTTATATTATTGCCATATTGATTTTTATCTATCTAGCTATACAATTTAGTTTTCTAAATTTAAGACTACATTGGATGCATACACCATGGTCCTTTACCACCTTCTTCTTCTTTTTTGATAGTGGTTCTAGATTTTGAACTCAGAGCCTCACACTTGCAAGGCAGGTTCTCTATCACTTGAGCCATGCCTCCAGGCCCCCCCTCCCCCGCCACCCCGCCACCACTTTCTTAACCTTAGTTGTATTTTGTGTAGGTTTTTGTCTCGGCCATCCTCAGGCTGCAATCCTACCCATGGCCTTTTGCATAGCCAGCTATGGAATCACCATGTACAGCTTACTGATTGCCCAGGTTGGCCTTGAACCACAATTCTCCCAATCTCTGCTTCCCAACTATCTGAGAATACAGACATGAGCCACCCACACAGCCCCTTTATTTTCTTCACATCCAGTGTATATTTTCTAAGAACAAGGATATCCTCTTTTGCAACTGCAGGACAGTTAGTAGACACAATAATGTCCTTCCTCACATTTTTTTTTCCTTCTAGTACAGGATCCAGACCAAAATGATCTAACGTGTCTCTTTAGTCTTCTATAATCTAAACTGGTAGTCATTGTCCTTGATGACTTAAACTTTGTAAATGAATATTGAGACATTTATTTTAAAGAATGTTCCTCAACTTGGTCTTATTTAATATTTACTCATGATTCAGGACATGCAACTCCATCCCAGGGTCTTTTAAAAATGAAATTATGTTCCTTAATGGATATCTCATGTAGAGTTATTTTGTCCATGTATCCCTCATTGGATGTTAATTGTAATCACCCGGTCTCTACCATATAGCTGATATTTTCCGTTACCATGTTTTAAAACATGAAAATATTCTGCCCCTTATCAAAATTTACCATCAAGACTGAGCAACTATTTGTAAGTTTTGGCTGAATCAATCTTTAATATGGTGTTCACCAAATATTAATTTCTCCAAATCTACTACTCCTTTCACATTTCTACTATGGTTTTCTACCATAAGGAAGAGAGTCCCTTATACTGCATTTATTTCCTTGTTTATCCAATTCTTATCAGGATGACATCATGGATTTTCATTTTAATCAGTGAGTTATAGCCAATTAATTTCTTTATTTAAATCGATGCTCAAATTGTCCAAAATTTGACCAGTGAGCCCCTTCAAGTGTTCCCTGTGTCCTTTAGCTATATGTCCATATTTTTGAAAATTGTTTTTTCTTACTTCCTGTCACAATATGACGATCTTGACTTACCATGTACCTTCTGTGCTCTTGCCCTGTAATGAACCATTCTCCAAGAATATGTGGTTCATTTTAATAAGGGATGATGTTTAGACACCAAGATTTACATGCTAGGTGTGTTCATTTCTATTAAGAGTGTCATTGCTTCTAGTCTCTGAATATACATGTACATTTCCAATTCCAGTCTAACTTCAGGGGGTTCATTATTGCTGTCCTTCATTCTACACATTTTTTTTCACAGTAAGAACTCTTATGTCAACACACTTCTCATTTTTTCAGTCCTACAATACTTTTAACATGAGTTCAGAATTGTTCCACCCATTTCAGTATAAAATACAAGCTTAGTAGGTATTAGTAGAATTAGCAGAATTTAAAATTCATGTACAATTTCACTTTTTTACTTCTAGAAAAGGATACATAGATGAAGCACTGTATTCAAAAGTTACTTGCATTCACTTTTTCTCTTTTCATATGGTTATGCAATTGAAGTACAATTGGTTTCTTTCAGTTTTAATTTGCCCCAGCATTGTGGATCTAATTCTTTTAAATATATAGAATATCAGTACATAGTACATGGTTTTCTTTCCCTTGGATTCAGAAAGATACCAGTATCTTCCAGACACTTTATAATTCAGCATTTAATCTTTCATATGCTTTCTACTAAAGTTAATTACCTTTCTATAGGACCTTAATGTGTATACCAATTTGTATACTCACTTTTTTTTTTCAGTGCTTGGGATTAAACCCAGAGGCTTGTGCATGTTAGGCAAACACTCTACAATTGAGTACACTGCTAGCCCTGTATACTCATTTTGTATCAATTTATACAAAATTTACTGAATAATTTTTATGTGGATGTTTTCTTCATTTAATCATTCACCATTTATTGAGTAGCTATTATGTACTAAAAACTGTCCTAGGTACTGGGGATATAGTAATGAACCAACAAAACCAGGTCCTCAACCTGTGGACCAAGATGAAAGGCCAGAGTATGAAATAACAATAAGTTCAGTATTACCTGAAAGTAACATGAGAGAGAGAAAGAGGGAAGGAGAGAGGGAGGGAGGGAGGGAGAGAGAGAAGAGAGAGAGAGAGAGAGAGAGAGAGAGAGAGAGAGAAAGGTCATTTCCTCTTGAAGTAAGAAAGTTACATGGGATTATAGGCCATGCTAGAAATATAGAGAATGATTTAAAGAAAGGGAAATAATGTAATAAATAATATACTTCCTCAACTACTTAAAGAAAGGTGAATGTTCAACTTTTCATTTTGGATAGATCATGCTAGTAACACTTGGAATGTTAAGATAAATATAGATTCATAAAATTAAGAGAGTGTGAACGAGGGGCCATTGGTTCACTCCTGTAATTCTAACTACTCAGAAGGCAGTGATCAGGAGAAGGCAGAGATCAGGAGGATGGCAGTTCAAAGCCAGCCAGGAAAAATGAAAGTGAGACCCTATATCAAAAATACCAACACAAAAAAGGACTGGAGGAGTGGATCAAGTGGTAGAGCACCTGCCTAACAAGCATGAGGCCCTGAGTTCAAACCATAGTAATGCCAAAAAAAGTGGGGGGTGAGGGGGGAACGGGCCTTCCTTTTCTTACCCAGTGTTCCTATATCAGTAAAAAAGTAGAATTTTTTCACTTTCAATTCAGAAATACTAAAAATAAAAATTTACCCCTTCCTTACCCCCCCATCAAGAAGAATAGCGAGTTATATTGGAAATACATGGCCTATGTTCTTTTTTAGCACTTTTTGCTGTTTTCTCAAAGAAAGCTTTCTAGCAATAAGGCTGAAGTTTTGATCTCTATTTGATTGCTGTGTCTATTTCCCAGTTGGTTTCAAATTCTAAAGGAAGAGGATAGTCTTTACTTAGTTCTTTGAGAAACCACAATAGCCCTAAAGTTCAGGGAAGAGGTCAGAGATGTTGGCAGAGAAGTGGGAAGAATTGACTATAATTCTAGTCTTTAGGAGAAAGAAAGAGTGTTTGAGAGTATGTTGTGTGAAGGAAGCAATAGAACAAGAATGGGTGGTTTGAGGAATACCAACTTTACAGGCTCAGTAGAAAAGCACTTAATGTTGAAGACAGCCTCTATCTAAGACTCATAATTTTAAAGTTTTCAGATTTTAGAAGACAATAAGCACATATCCTATACATTATGTAATATACCAGGGATAGGGGATATAGAAAAACATTCCTTCAGTGGAGTGTATGGATAATCATTCTAGCAATGGTAATGAGGTCATCTTTAAGTTTTTCTCAGAGTCTAGAGTTCAAAAAGCAAAAGCATTTTTGTATGCTTCTTTACATATTTTAATTACCAGGGTGATGTCCTATGAACTTTCGTTAATAACACAGAACAAGACAACCCTGTGCCATGTTAAGTCAGAGTATGGTAGAAATGAAATCATGCACAAATGCAAGTATGTATGTAACAGTGTAAATACTAAAAGCAAAATCCTGAAAAAAACCAAACCTCAGCAAGGATAGGCGTTAGGAGCTAGAGGTACTGACTAAAGAGATGTTAACAAGTCCATGGTCTCAAGAAAGTGCATATGAGTAGCTGGGCATGAGGCTGAGGCAAAGGATCACAAGTTCAAGGCCAGCCTGGGCTACATAGTAAGGCCCTGTCTCAAAAAAAAAAATGCATGTTACTTACTTTGGGGCCATTTTACCTTAATGCATGAAATTTTATAATGGTTCAGAATAGTTAAGAAAAATATCAGAATTGATAAAATTTATTTATAAATCCCTATAGCTTAGCAACCTAGCTATCATCCAACATTTGTTAAAATACCAAAGTTATATGTGAGACTTAGAAAAAAATTAAAATTTATTTCAAAACTAAGTTCTTAATATTCCTTGGAGTGAGGGGGTAATATAGATTATAGTGCAAGAGAAGTTACTTTTATTTAGGTTTTAGAGAAGGCAAGGTCTTAAAAAGAAATTATTTTAATAATTTTATTTTTCTATATCTTTTTTCAAGAACGCACCTGGCACATATTTATCCAAATTGTAACTATAATCAGTGCTCTATTCTAGCATGTGGAGAAGACAGAAATTAAAAAGAAAGGCCTAGTCCCTTCCTTTAAATTTTAATTAACAAGAAAACACAAGCCAAAAATAAGACAAGCTAAAAGTGATATGATTCATATGTGCATAAAAACTGACCTTCTGTAATGGTAGTCTTAAATGATAAAGTAGAGCATAGTTAGTGGTAGAAGGAAACTTGGAGCAGAATTTAAGCAATGGGAGAGAAGCTTCAAATAATTTCACTACATGATACAGATTCTTAGAAGATGACACTTGCTTAAATTTGAAGTTCTAAAGTAAAGGAAAGCTGGGCATGGTGGCTCATACCTGCAGTCCCAGCACTCAGGAGGCTGAGGCAGGAGGATCATGAGTACAAGGCCAGCCTGGGCTACAGGATGAGACCCTTTCTCAAAACTAAATAAATAAATGAATGGATGAATGCAGTAATGAATGAATTCCTCTGCAAGGTTTCCTTTATCCATAACTTTTACTTACATTTTAGCCAATGTATTTATCCTGTATTTACTATTGGTATTTAAAAAACTTTGCTTTTGAGAGTCAATTCCTTTTATAAACCCAGTAGTTTAAATTTAAGTGTTCCAGATATTTAGGACATAATATGTATCTTTAGGTCCATTTGAAGACAAACCCAGGACATCTGTTCATATGGGACAACTACAAATCCATGTTTGCTTCACTTAATAAATCAGGTCACTTTAAAAAAAAACAGAGTAGAGGCTCACCAGAATCAGAACTCAGAAATCTGATAAGGTACTGGATGCCCTTGTGGTCTTTCATTGCCTTTTGATTATTTTCATTCCTTATGCATAACACCCGTATACAGTTCATTACATTTACAAGTACATGTTCTATGTTTAACTTTAAGAGATTTATTAGAGCTGGAATTCCATCCTAAAAATAAACAAAAAAGTAATTACATTTGAATTTCTTTAATATAAATGCAATCTTTGTTTAAAAACACAAATTTATAATCTTTCTTGCTAGAAATGTCTGCTTATTTATGAGAGAACAATTGCCTATAAACAACTGTGCCTACTAATGTGTTACATTAATTGATGGTCAATACAACTGAGAAAAATCTTATGCTTTCACAGAATGCAAGAATTCAATAAATTTATTTAAAATAGCATCTAAAATAATTCATTGCAAGTTCATTGTAATATTTAAAAACTATCTAAAAAGTAAAGCAAAGCAACTGAATGAGATCAATTGAATACATTACCCCTAGTAGAAATGTTTGTCACTGTTGACACTACTCTAGCAACACCAAATAATTTTAATGTGAGTATAATTTCCTTTTTGTTAAAGTAAAGATAGCATTTCTCTCTACCAATAAAAATAATTCAAGAACATCAAGGAATATTAGAAATAGAAATTCAGTCCCATTTTCAATAAAGCTAGAAGACATCTTCAATGTCCAACCATAATAAATGTGTTCAAGCTGCCAGCAGGGATGAGAGAGATCTCCCATAGCCACTGACTATAGAAAATGCTGATGCAGCACGTTTTCCCATTTAAGTGACTTGCTCAAGGGGCAGACAAAGAAACACAATTTCCTATTTGAAATAATAGGATTAGGTAGTTGGGATGGCAACAGGCTCTCTTTCCTGGGCCAGTTTAGCATAAAGTTTCAAAAATCAGAGAAAGCAAGGATGAACAAAGTATTATGCTTACAAAATATGTTTGGAAGAAATAGTCTATTGGTAAGGTTAAAAAGGAAGAGAGGAATTTCACATTGTGGAGGAGATAGAAACTTCTTTATGGGGTACTATGCACCATCATCCTTTGTTGGGTAGATAAAAGTAAAGCTGAAAGAACTCATGCATACAACCCTGTGGCATAAGAAATAGTCTTCCAGGGACTATTGGCAGGGGGTGGGGGGAGCGCAAAAGAGGGTGATGGGGTGACTATGACTGAAGTACATGGTATGCAAATAGGAAAATGTCATAATGAAGCCTATCATTTTGTACAATTAATAATAAAAATCAAGGGGAAAAAAGAAATAGTCTTTCTATCCTAGAACATATGTTTAGGCCCTTTCCCACATATGCTTCCTGCAAATAGCTGAACCACAAAGAACCCACTTAATAGAAGATGAGTAATTATGAAAAAGGATTTGCACAGAATCAGTCCAAATACATTTTAAGAAAAATAGGAAAAGCTTACAACAGATGACGAAGGACTTTATGGCATGAATGTATGTGTTCCTCCAAAACCTCAATGTGACAGTAATAAGAGGAGGGACCTTTAGGAGGTGATTAAGCCATGAGGGCCAAGGCCACATGAATGGGAGTAGTGACCTTCTAGAAGGGTTGGAGAGAAGTAGCTTGGACTTCTCAGCCAAGATCTTGCCCTTATCAACCAGACAAAAATTTCTGTTGTTTATAAAGTAGTCAGTCTGTGGTATTTTTGTTGCAGCAGCAGGAAAAAAACTGAAACAAATGTTCATCAGAACATTGTTGCTAGAAAGTAGATGAAAATTGTAGCCAAATGGGGCACATTATTATCAGCAAAAAATTAATGAAGCAATCACTACTATACAACAAGAGTACATAGAAGACACACCAAAGCTCAGGGAAGATTTTTTTTGAGATGAGGGTGGAGTGATCAATGAATTTAGTGATTCAATGGTCAATTTTTCAATGGCCAATTCAATGATCAACATTGGATTCTCATGTTATAACATAATTTGACACTGTTATTCATTTTCTTCTCCTTAAAACACTCCTCATTTACTAATAGAACAAAAGATTCTTCAGGTTTCTTTCTATCTCATTTGCCATTTCTTCAAAGTCTTCTTTGTTGGTTCCTCTAGATCTTTCAACTTTTCCATAAGCCTTAGTAACTCAACTTTCAAAATATAATATAGAATATGATCACTTCTCACCATTTCCATTACTACCTATTACAACCCTGCTTCAATAAACCATTATATTTCATATGAATTATTGCAATAATTTCTTAGTTAGTCTTCCTGAATCCATAGTTGCCTACCTATTTCAATATGGAAGGTAGAGTGATAAAGCTTCCAAGAGACTTCCAGAGTTTACAAAGACTTCCTAAAATACTCAAACTAAAAGCCAACATGTCTAACAATTGCCTATCTTGCTATCCATGATATAGTGTGTTGTTACCCAGTTGAGTGTCTCCCTCTTCTCTCCCCATATCTGCCTTAACTTTCTTGCTATTCCTTGAACATGCCAAGAACACTCCCACTTCATATACTTTGCGCTTCTTTCCTCTACCTACAATGCCCTTACCAACACAAAAAACATGAAAAACTCTCCCTCATCTACTTCAGGACTGTTCTCAAATGCCACCTTCTCAGTTGTCCCACTGCATTCCTGGGTTCCACATTCATGGATTCAACCAACAACGAATCAAACTTATTTGAAAAAAATTGTGTTTTATATGAAACAGGCACTGATTTTTCTCCTGTCATTATTCCCTATATAATACAGCTTAAGAGCTATTTGTTAGGTTTTACACATAATCTGGAGATGACTTCAAGTGTGCAGGAGGATGTGCATAGGTTATATGTTATACTATGCCATTTTATATATGGAAATTGAGCATGTGCAGATTTTGATACCTGTGAGGGTCCTGAAACCAATTCCCCATCAATATAGAGGGATGTGTGTATTTTAACCAGGCTTCCTCACTCCCCCTTTGATGCTTTATTTTCTTCCTTAATACTTATTTTCATTTAACATACTATTTATTTGGGTTATTTGTTTTGTTTATTGTCTTGCTACCTCCAACTAGAATAAAAACTCCATAGAGACTAGGATCGTGTCTGATTTGTTCACTGCTATAACTTCAACATCTAAAATAGTATTTACTAGGGCTGACAGAGTGGATCAAGTGGTAAAGCTCCTGCCTAGCAAGCATGAGGCCCTACGTTCAAACCCCAGTACCACCCAAAAATAAATAAATAAATAAAATAGTATCTACTATATAATAATCTTTCAATAAATGTTTGTTGTATGAATGAACTGAAAGAATACTACAGAAAAATATTTAAAGATATGAATTCAAAAAACATTCCCCAAATAAAGTTATATATATGTTAAAAAGGTATGACCAAGTATCAGGAAAAATGGGTAACTAACATTGATGTGTAAGTCCTGGACTTCAGAGATAAAGACAGAAAGAAGACACTGATCATATAGTAGATGATTTAAAGAACAAATAAAAAACAGTATTACAGAACTAAGACAAACATTCATACCAATAAATATGAGTTAACTCAATAAAAAGTGAATGACAAAGCAAAACCTAAATATACTGCATGCAAGAGACAAATTTGTTTTAACTCTGGCTAACAGAATTGATTAATATTTTGAGTCTAAATAGGTATGAATAACTGAATAACTCTGGAGGTAGGCCTGGATGTGTCTACATTTCTAATATATTTTCCAAATGATTATGACAGACACAATTAAAATGACTCAGTAAAGTAGAAAAGGTTGAGCAAAGGCAAATGAAATATAAGAGCACAAAGAAAACAGAGTACACAAACATAATTTTGGACAAAGTGGGATTCAAGATAAAAGCATTAAGCTTGACAAAAAGTTTTGTTTTATGATGCAAAGTACACAACCCATAATGAAGATGTGGCTATATTAAAAATTGCATAGAGAGACTTTACTTGTCAATATCTATCAAAAGATCTTAAATAAAACATTAGCAGAGATAATAGGGTAGATTTTATTTAAGGAAATATAGCATGGCAAAGATTGGTGTTTGCCAAAAATGATTTTCTTTAAATTCATTTTAACATATGAAATATATTCCTTCTACTTCAGGGCTATATTCAAATGCTAACGTTATTTTTTTCAGTGCTGGGGATTGAGCACAGGCCTTGTACATACTAGGCAAACACTTTACCATTAAGCTACACCCTCTACCCCAAATGCCTGCTTCTTAGGGAAATATTTTTCACTGTGCTCCCTGTCTTCTTTTTCCTTGTTTATCCCTGAGAATTTTACAAATGTATAATAAATGAGTCTCCATCTTTCTGTCTTCTCTTTGAGGGAATTACTGTCAGTCACAAATAATATTCTATGAAAGAACTTACATATTTGGCAATGACATCCTTGTTTTCACACTGAGCAATATCATACAGAATGACAGCACAGCGAGAGTGCAGCTCGGGTTCCTCAGAAGCCAGAAGGTTGATCAAAGCTGGAATGCCTCCCGCTTCTACCAAAGCATGCACCACACTTACATGGGTTGAGATATTACTCAATAACCCAACAGTTTTGCACTGCAATTTTATTTTTGGACATTTTAATAGATTGATTAAGGCAGGAATTGTGCCTGTAACAAAAAAAGACAACAGAATGAGTTGCTTATGATCATTTGTAGTCAAATTATCATGACAAGATTTATAGAATGTTATGGGAATTACAATAAAATGATTAGCAAATAAGTCTATGAAATTTAAACAATCATGTGAAATTTTGTGAGTACACTTTCCTATCTCTTCAATGGTATAGACAGCACTCATTTTTCATACATTTGATTTTACATAGTACAATCATACACCTTACATTAAAACCCTAAACAATTGTTAAAACACTGAATTTTGGCTTAATTAATTGGTACATCAGTTCTTTTGCTTGTTTGAGGCAGTCTTGCTATGTACCCCAGCTGGCCTCAAACTCACGATCCTCCTATTTCAGCCTACCAAGTGCTAGGATATAGCCATGCACCATCATGCCAAGCTGATAAATAATTTGAGCTACCAAATTGCATCAGCTTTCTGTGGCAATTTTTGCAAAATTATTTGAATATTTTATTATATTTTATCCTTATACCAGCAAGTAAAAAACAGAAAGTGCTGGACCTAGTAAAATGCAACATTAACCTCAATAATTATAATTATTTCAAAGATGGAAATCATTGGGCATGGTGAAAATAGAAAATTTGGCTTTACTTTCCTGCTTATTATATCAGTTTTATTAAAACAAAAAGAGATTACACTATCAAACACAAACAAAGTGCTGGAAAATATAGTGAGTATAATCAGGGCTTCATTTATTTGTTTAGCTTCTGGAAATGGAACATCCTTAATGATGTAACTCTACAGTTCACTTTTTTTGACGTAGAGCATTCTGCACGTTTTTAGGAATACATTAGGGACTATCTATAATTAAATAAATTTCAATTCTTTCACTTGACAATATTTATGGAGTATCTTGTGTACATTAGGGTAGTGGCTACCATGCTGGACAGTTCAGAGAGAACATTTAAATAGTTTTAGAAAATTGTATTGGACAGTGCTGTTCTCAAAACACCATATGAGGTTGAACCATTTCACTAATGAGGAAATTAGATTAGAGAGGTTAAGCAATTCATTTAAGTTCCAAATGCAAAGCTAGTTACAAACCTGGTCTGACATTTACACTGCTATTTTACATTTAAAAATAAATTTCAGGGGCTGGCAGAGTGGCTCACATGGTAGAGTGCCTGCCTAGCAAGTGTGAGGCCCTGAGCTCAAGCCCCAGTACAGCCAAAAATAAATAAATAAACAAAAATGAAATGCAGAATAGGGCTATTCTAACTGAAACTAAATATAAGTAGTATGGTAATTTACTATCAGTTTTAAAGTTCACAAAATTTTAGAGAAATATAAAACTTATATAGTTTTTGCTCCTTGCAGCTTCCACATAGAAAAGAAAATACAAGGTTGATGGAAAAATAAAAAAAAAAGGAAATATAAGCTTAACATCAACTAAAAAGTTTCCTTTACAGTGAAAAACACATTTTAGAGCTGGAGATATAGTTAAGTGGTAGAGTGTGTGCTTTGTAGACCTAAGGCTCTGGGGAGGGAGAAGGAGAGAGAGAGAAAAAAAAAGGAGAGGAGAGAAGAAAGAGAGAGAGAGAGAAAGAAAGGGAGAGAGGGAGAGAGGGAGGGAGAGAGTGAGAGGGAGGGAGAGAGAGAAAGAAAGAAAGAACGAAAGAAAGAAAAGAAAGAAAGGAGGAAAGGGGGAAGGGAAGGAGAGAGGGAGGGAAGAAGAGAAGGAAAGGGAGGAAGGAAGGAAGGAAGGAAGGAAATTAAAGTGATTGACCTGAATATAATGTAGGTGGACCTGAAAAGGTCTACTTTAACATAAGAAAAAGATAGTTAATAGATTTTTTTATATCACCTGCATCCAAAATACATTTCCAGTATTGATCCTTTGCTAAGCAAATTACTTCTAGGGACATGACAGCCATCATCCTTCGTTTAAAGCTTTCACACTGCAACATTTCTGGTAGGTATTCAACAGAAAAATACAAGCTGTAATTGACATAAGAGGTAATGGAATGATGGATTTTATTTCCATATAGCAAACTGAACCCAAAGATTAAGATCACCATTATGACCAACTGTATGCACTGAATTTCCCTCTATGCAGGGCCCTCTGTGAAGTGCTGAACAGATTACATATGTGATTTAGTTGCATCTGGATGTCCCCAAAGGTCACATGCTGAAAGTTTAGTACTCACCTTAGCACTATTATATTGGGAGATGATGGAAACTTTAAGAAGGGGGGCCAAGTGGGGATAGTTTATGTTATTTGGGATGTGCCCTTGAAGGGGATTGTGGGACCCTGCCCCTTCTTCTCCCTGTTTCTCTCTCTCTCTGCTTTTTTTTTTTCTTTTTTAATTCTCACCACAGGCCTAAAAGCAATAAGGACCGCCAATCATGGATGGAAACCTCCAAAGCTGTGAGCTGCAAGAAAACCTTTCATAAATTTATTATCTCAGGTTTTTGTTACAGTAACAGGAGTCTACCAAATACTCCCATGTTCTTTGAGGTTCACAGTCTATATAATTAGTGAAAAAGAACTTGAGATTCTTTCTTTGGTCTGAATGGTTTAGGCTAGCTGGAAACCATTCAAATTCACTTGCAAAATAGTATATGTCAGTCTTATATGATCTTTTGGGAAAACAATCCAGCAAAATATAACAAACACTTTGCAAATACAGTATTGTTCCCAATATGCTAAAAGTTATAAAAATGCTCACAACCTCGTTAATCCCACATCAAGAATCAAACTTGAAGAAACACGTCTGTTTTGTATCAGCTCTCTCAGGTAACAGTCATGTTACCCAAAACAGATTTAATATGGTCATGATTTGATTAAAGTTACTGTATCAGGGATAGAAAATATATGACATTGTGAACATTTTCCCCAAAATTAAGTAAAGAAACATTCTAGAAAGCACCTATTAACCTAAATAAACTAGGCTCTTTGGCATTCAACCCTGATTGTCTCATTTTTCTGCAAATTACTGTTAACTATGAACTTCGGTGGTAGGTTTAACCAGAAGTTTTCTAAAACCTTGCTCTTGACAGTTTCAAATAAACACATACTAGTTGGAAGTCTAATGTCTTTATGTACTTGCATTCTTGTATGTTTTATAAGTTTTGGCAAAAAGTTTAAGTAACCAGGTAGTCTTAAAAAAATATTCTTGGTTCCTACCAGCACATTTTTCTAGATCTAGCCTTCCATTCACAAACTGAAAATGTAGAACAGACATAAGCTTGTCTTCTTCATCTTTCATTCATAAGCTATTGCATAACCAGTAGAAATTATTCTCTTAAAGAAATAGCATATCTCTCTTGTGCCTGAAATCAGTTTTGAATAAAAATTAGGTAGGGTTTTTAAGGATGGCAAAATAAACTGCATGACTATTAATAAAATTGTTGGTGTGAGGCTTGATACAAATTAGAAATAAGCTTTATACATTTCCTCACTATGAAGATATATTTTAAAAATCTAGGATAAATTTGTAGTTCAAATAGAAGATAAACAAATATGCATGCTTCTAAATAGTGTCTTTGAGGAAAAACCCATACCTGTTTCCATTCTTCATCTGTTTATCTAGCCATTCTATTACCAAATCTATCCTGATTCTACTTTGGCTACTTTATGACATTTCCTTTCTTTTTTCTTTTCTTTTTTTTTTGAAGTACTGGGGTTTGAACTCAGGGCCTACACCTTGAGCCACTCCACCAGCCCTTTTTTGTGATGGGTTTTTTTGAGATATTGTCTTGTGAACTATTTTGCCCTGGCTGGCTTTGAACCATGGTCTTACTGATCTCTTCTTCCTGAGTAGCTAGGATTGCAGGTGTGAGCCACTGGTGCCCCACTTACAGCACTTTATTTTAAAATTCGACATCCACTTCAAGGGTTAATCCTGGAGATTTCTAATAAACTGACAAATTCTTCTTTTACCCATGGTGGAAAGGGGCAAGCTGGGGACGGGAAGCTATTCCAGGGCTTAGGGCATAGCAGCAGGCTAGATGCTCACTATATTCACATCACAATCAAAACTTCCCAACAATGGCTGTAGGCAGTGGCCATTGCAAGGTTTTGGGGTTTTTTTGTTTTTTTAATTAAGAATAGTCTTATTAGTAGCCAGAAGGTGGGTATTTGCAGTGGCTTAGTCTATAAAAGTAACAGTAAGGTTTTCTCAGTTCCTTCTAAAAAGACTATACATATGATGATATATAGGCATACAAGTAAACATTGAAAACATTTTCCAGTATCTCATGAGTCTGATAAGTTTGGAACATGTTCCGAGAACTCAGCAAATTCTAAGATTGGCACAGAGCTGTATTTAACATCAAATATTCAGACTTCTTGAACTAGTAGAATGGGGTTAAAAATCTTAAATATTTTCTTATACCATCCCCAAATGAGTTGTTGCTAAAAACTTCTCATGCTCTAATTCTTTTCTTTTCTTTTTGCTTTAGGTTTTATTTCATGCTCATGATTTAGACTTAAATGTTACTAAAAGGCCTATAGTAAAATATTGTTGTATCTGACCCTACCCTCTCCACTAGTTTCTGGTTTCATTTCTCCCAATATAAGTACTTTGGCCTCTTTTCCCTATACCTTCCCCAATTTACCTATCTCCAAATTTCTGCATAAATACCTTTTGCTATATCAATTTCAGACACTGCTTATTGACTTGATGTTATGGAAAACAGGAAACAAGTTTTTTCAATACTATTTATTCTGTCCTTTCTCTTGCTTTCCATTTCTCATAATTTTTATTTAAATTCATATCAGCACTTACACTATGATGCCTGTACAAATATCATTAACAGCTGAGCCCTGTATGGTATCAGAGCATTGCATTTCTCACTTTTGTTTTAATTTCCTTTTAAAATTTCATCTACTTACTTTTCTTTGTATCTATTGACAGTTCCTCCTACCTTTTACCTGTAGGCTGGGCACACAGTTCCATTCTGGTATTTCTTTTGCTATCACTCTTGTAGTTCTGTTTGCTTTTCTCTCAGCTTCCTGGGTCCTTCTCCCTTCTATTTGTCAGGGAGAAGTCCATCCTCAGTATTTTTAGGTATTTCCTGGTTAGGTTCTGTGGAGACCACTACCATTTCTCAAGCTTTCTGAGAATTTTGTGGTGTGAGTTGGAGAGGTTCTCATTTTCCCCTTGATTGACTTGGAAAGATTTTCTCTGGCTGGCTTAGGACTTCCCTGTCTGACTCCATATTTTATTTCTTTTGTGCCCCTTCTTGTTTTCCCTTGAAGCCTTGTCTACTACTGCTGGCATTATTTTTGTTTAAACTTCATGTAATTTTAGTGGACTCTTGGGAAGAAGTAAAATTTATGTATACATTCAATTGGCCTATTAACCTTGCCCTTATAATTATATTTCTAGCTAGATTAAATACAAATTTGGAAAGAAATCTGAAGTAGGATTTTTTTCACAGATCACTTATCAAGTATGAAGAAATATTTTTCTACATTTGCTTCAAAATGAGGAGATAAGGAATAAATTGGAGGACATCTTTCCCACTTGAACTTTAATTTCCTTTTTTGGGGGGGCATCACTTTTTGATGAAGGAGAAAATGGTTTGACTTCTGAAAAACTTGGAAAATAAAAATAAATGCAGTTGTGCAAAATATGGTCTATTTGAATCACAGACCTTTGATTTTAACCTAGAAATAAAAGCCAGGTGCTGTGGTACATGTCTGTAATCCCAGTTACTCAGCGGTAGAGGCAGGAGGACCACGAGTTCGAGGCCAGTCCAAGCAAAAAGGCAGTGAGGTTCTGTCTCTACAACAAAATAAAAATAAAAGGCCTGAGGGTGTAGCTCAAGTGGTAGAGCATTTGCTTAAAATGCATGAAACCCCATGTTTAATTACTAGTACTGAGGAAAAAATAATGAAAGAAAGAAAACTATGTATGCACACAAAAATATAACTCTTTATCATCTATATTTTAATTTCTGATTTTGACTTATAAAATTTATTTCATAATTTTTTAATATTCAAAATATGCATTCATTTTATTTGCTATATTTAAATATCAATAATTAAACCAAATAATAATTATGTTTTTATTTACAGAGAAATCATGTATTCTATACTCACCTACCAAAGTTTTCCAAACTGGGAGTTCAGGAATATTTAACTCTATTATATGCTTGAGTACCTCTGTGTGAAAAGTTAGCACTGATAAATGAATTATATTATTTCCTTTGGTATCTGTTTTTCTCCAGTTAGCACCAAGAGAAAGCAGGTACTGAATAGTATCTAGTGCTCCTGAAGTCGCAGCAAGTAACAGTGGTGTACACTGATTCCTGAAAATCAAGAGACATGTTATAATAGGATTTAAATATTAAATACAGTATCAAATTTACCTTTCTTAAAACTATTGAAAGTACTGCTGGAGGAACTCTGATTTATACCATCACCTCTGTTCCATATGACTTCTCATCTTCTTTATTCCACTTGAAAACAGACTTCCCTCCCATGTCTACCTGTCCTTAGAACAGGTCCCTATCTTCTTTCTCATTTTAATTATCATGCCTTATAATTTGTTTGGAACTTGATATTGCACAAATTTCTTAGAAAACACTATCCTATCTAATCCTTATAATAGCTCTGTGAGTGAAGGAAAAGTCAAGGCAAGTATCATCAACCTGTTTTACAAATGATGACACTGAGGCTCAGGTAGTAGCAGTCAAACCCATTTCTTCATACTTTAAATGCAATTTTCAAATCCAGAGTCCTCATTGTGGCAGAAACCAATGGCTTGTCTGGAAAAATCCACTCTATGCTTTGTAGATAGTGAAGACCTTTTGGTAGTAGCTCTCCAACCCAATATCACATTTCCCATCTTTCCTTACAGATAAGGATGGTCCTACAACCATGTCTGGCCAATAGGATGTTAGCAGAAGTTGAATGAGCAACTCCCCAAAGAGAAAGGGCAGTGCCAAGGGATTTTCCTCTTTCTCTTTCTTCCCATGGCTACAATTCAGGTATGATAATGGAAGCAGGAGTTGCCATTTTGTACTATGACATGGAAGCCACATGTTAAGATGCAACAGGGGAAGCCAGTGTCCTTCGAATTGTCACCCATTATGCTAACTCTAGACCATCAAATAGTAATGAACAGGCTTGTTGATGACTTAGAAAAACCTGAATGAAACTATGCCTAAAACAGGTTCAGAGAGTCAAAATAATAACCTGGCCTTTAGATTTCTAAATAACAATGTATCTTTGGAAGACCGTTACCCTAATGGTGGGTCTTCAGCTAATTATGAAATAAAAGAATGCTTGAGATGTTTTTCTGTTTCAAAGTTTTCTCCTTTATACTGTATTTCTTCTCTAGACACCACTAGATACTTCTTCTGTGACACTGTTCTATCCACTTCTGTCTGGATCCTGAGGGCTGCCTCCTAGGAGATTAGAGTAAGTTTCTCCTCCATAGTCTTAGGCTTATTCTAGGGCACTAAGTAGTTAACCTAATAATCTAAGCTGTGAAACCATATTATTGAGACAAGGTTAATAAAAACTCCCTAGGACTCACTCCTTATTTTCTAGAAAACAGGCAGAGGTTGGCAGAAGCTGTTGTCTTATAAATTCTGAAGATAAAGGATAAGAAAAAAAGATAATAATCAGAAAGGACACCTGAGTAAGCCTTACATGCCTTTCAAACAACTCAGGCCAATCATGCTCTGGCAGTGTATGGACAAAGCCATGAAAACAGAAACTAATATGCTTTTTTTTTTGGCAGTACTAGAGTTTGAACTCAGGGCCTTGCACATGCTAGGCAAGCACTTGAGCCACACCTCCTGCTGTAGAAATTTTTATTCTTATAAATGCTTAATGACTTACTCAGTTGTTGCCTCAGCCTCTAGCAAACTTGGATCCTTTCTACAGAGAGCAATGATGATGCATATATTGTCATAAAAAGCTGCAAAGTGAATTGGCATCCAGCCTCTTTTTTCAGAAAGTGTGTGATCAGCTTTGAAACAGAGTAGACAGATGGTTGTTTCTAATGAGCAAGCCTGTGCAGCCAAGTGCAGAGGGGTTGGACCTGGAATAGACAGACAACTACTTAAGTGGCCAAAGAACTGGCATTTCTAAAAGAATTCCTTTTTGGTATCCAATCACACAAGCTTAATATTATATGATATATAATCTCCAAAATAAACACTAAAAAGATTTAGCAATCCTACATTTTTAAACTCAGGATGGGCTGACCATTAAAATATCATACTTCTTTATAAGTAAAGAAAAATAACATTGAAAATATTAAAAATTTGAGGCTTCCTGGTGCTTACCACAGGCTGTGTTCTTACATTGATTGTACAGAAAGAGGAGGGAAAGTAAACCCACCCCATATACATCTCAGTCCAGGCCCTGTACCTGGTCTGTATTTTGGATTGGAAGACATGGGGTGGGAAAAAAAAGAGGGAAAAAAGAAAATATTATGTATTTTAAAATTAAATCAATATCTAAAATAGTCTTGTGATAAAATAACCTATTTCTTGTTTAAATTATTTTTATTTTTTCAAATGTTTTATCATGGTATATAAGATTCTTTCAGCTTGGAAAAATATTTTCACAAAAGGCCTCTGTCACTAAATTCAGAGGGCATTTTATAATTCTCATTTTACTTACCAACATAATTTATTTTATACTGATGAGCACTTATTCCTATTTAAAAATAGTTACTTCCCTTGGATTTGTGATATCACATTACTTATTTTTCTCCTGCCTCATTGGCTACTTCTTGGTAGCATCCTTTGGGACTTTCTCATTGTCCTAATGGTCAAACGAGTCTTGAAGTTCTCTCTTAAGCCCTTTTCTCTTCTCAATGGCTTTATTTTCCATCTGTAAGTTGCTGACTCTCAGGATTGTGTTTGAGTTTTAGATCTATTTACCAGCATCTCACTAAGCATACCCACACATTCCCCTCAAACTTAACATATCACAATTAAACCATCTTTTCCTCAAAACCTTGTCCTCCTTCATTGCTCCCTAAATCCACAAGAGACATCATGCTCTAAACAGTTATATAAACCAGAAACTTGGACTATTCCTTGGCACTCCGTTCATTTCATCTCCATAATCAGTCTAAATATCTCAGGAACTTAGCTCTACCACCACCCATCACCACCACTGCCACTGTGATTGAAGCCATAATCATCTCCCAAACAGATATCTCTAAACTCCTAAGCAGATACCTTGTTCTTACATACCCTTATTCTACCCATTTTTCAAAAATAAATTTTATATTTTCATCTCCTTGCTTCCTCACTGGCTTCTCAAGACCATTGAAGTATGAGAAATAGTGACAGGATCCACTAGCTCCAACGTAAGTTTAACTAGTTCAACTCCTTTCTTTACCCCTCCTCCCCAAAACAAACACAATTTGTTCTTTTCATTCTGGATTTCTTGTAGCTCCCCAAAAGTAAGATGATCACATCTTGCAGGTTGCCAAGGAAAGCGTTTATCAGTGCCCATGAACCTAGCATAATTATCAGTAGTGTCCCTTTCACTTTCAAGTCTCCCTGATTTGGATGATGCTTTATCTGGTTGCTATGATCTATTCCTGCTCTCTGACAGATTCCTTTTCCTGACTAACTCTTTCCTTAAGAGGATCTAGCTAACTTCCACGCATACATCATCATAAATGGTATTTCCTCAGTAAAGTACTTTTTTTCATTAAATCTCTCAACCGAGAAACTTCAAATGGCCTCCTCCCTGCCTCATCAGTCTATTTTAGGTTATCAATTTATTTTTTCCTTTTTGGGGGGTACATTGTGGCATTTACAAAGTTTCTTATGATATAACAATTACAATAACATGGACTTAATACCTATAAAATATGACCCAAATCTATGTATTTGAGATGCTTTCTTAGTCTTCCCATATCTAGTCTAGCATGTAAGAAACTTAGAAGTCACTACTCTGTCCTAACAGCAAATAGAAAAGCTGAATTAACTTAAAAATCAACAACCATTCTTTACATTTATCAGAGAAGTCACAGGGCCATCTGATATCCCATCCTCAAAATTGGGGAGTCAGACAGGTGGATACAGAGAATCATAACTTACTATAGTGGAAATCCACAGGAAGCAGTACTGGGATAGGAAAACCTGAACTATAATTGATGAAATGCTAGAGGGTTGGTGTAGATGAGTATGAGAGTTAAATGCTCCAGAAAGACACATTATAGCGACTTCTTTTGTCAATATTTGCCAGTGGGGTATCCTGGCAGGAGACTGGAGAAGGAAGAGAATGAAGTCAAGTTCCCTCTCTGAGGTCATCTCAGGTTTGCTGTGTTGTTCCACCAATGTAAAGTGGTCAGTTCAAGAAACTATCCCCTCTCCTTGCCAATTCAGGCCTTTTAAAGTAGTTTCTTTATAAATAAATTCTCCTTGAATTATAAAAGCATAGTCTTTTAAATAGAGAAAGGTATGACTTTAAAATTTCCTGTTTTTCTCCATACCCACTGTCATCAAGTCTACTGCCTCAACTAAGAACGATCAGCCTTGGAACGTCATAGATTGTTACTGCCACTAGATGGCAGAGAATCTAAATTACATTAACTACTTCCCATTCCCCATTGCTAGGCAAGTACTCTACGGCTGAGCTACATCCCCAGCCCATCCTTACCCGGCTTTTTTTTTTAAAGATACAAAAATCACTTTGAGCCAAGAATTTATAAAAATAAATATAGGTGACAGCAAATTCCAGAGTTGAAAAAAAAAGGAAACAAACCCAATACTTAAGAATATTGGGTACAAAACCATGGGCACAAAAATTACAACTCAGAATGAACATGAAACATATTATGTGACATTCTCATGCAACAGAGCATTTGAAGATTATAAGACAAGTTTAATATATTCAATAACCTTTAAAAATACACCAAATATTTTACTTATGGCTTACCATTTCTCTCTTTTTTCATGTCCACTTTGGAAGACTCTGTTTTAAAAGGGAATGTACACAGAGGCATTATTACTAATATATATGTATATATATGCTTCCTAAAGACTCATATAAATAGGATAAAATGACTATGCATGGACTTATAGCAGGATTATAATACAGTACCGAGGGTAACTCCATGGGGCATAGTGTGCACACCTGACACCGCACATCGGGGCAGAGATGGAAACTCTGCCTGTCTAGTGGCTGCTCAACACAGTTGGGATAATTTTGTGTCAACTAGGGAATAAGAGTTATATATCTAGGAAAACAGAGTTACATATTTTCTATATTTCAAAATCTACCCAGTTATCAACAAACAGAAACCCAGGAAGTCAGACTATGAATGGGAGACTAATTTATCAAAGATTCTTTTCACTCTAAAACAGGCTTAAAGACAACACGTTTAAATAACAGTCTACCCATTGCATATAAGTTCTACCAAATTGTGCTTTATTTTAACTACGCTCATTCTGCATTGACTATTGTGAGCAAAATGAGACATATTAGTCAGACTTAAAGAGTTCAGAGTTTATTAGTAGTCAAGCATAACATCCTATTTTGGTATACATATGCAAAATTTTAATGCAGCTTCTTAAGATAGCTGACCTCATTAAAATATAAAATCACCATTCCTTTTTGTCAGTATTGTTACACTGACCATTCCTGACAATTTATCTCCATTTTTCTTTTCAGTTATGGAGGACACACCATTTTAATTTTCAACTTTATTGTTTTTTAGGCTAGTTGTATTTATTCTGGTGAATATAAAACATATCCATATTTAATAATCAGAAAATGACTTTTTTTGAGGCAGATTTCATTAGGTAGTTCATCCTGGCCTTGTTCTCACAATCCTCCCACCTCAGCTTCCCAAGTGATGAGATTACAGGCTTGGGCCACCATGCCCAGCTGGGAAAAAAAAATGGCTCTTTAAAGTTTAAAGTAAGTTAGGCTTGTAGGGGCTATTAATCTTAAAAACTATAGAAGAACAATTTTCTTATTAAACATAATTTAAATGTAGTAGTATGAAGAAACTGTTCTCTAGATGAAACCCGGCAATGATAAGAATGTCCTAGTAGGATCTGAGGTTCATATTTATCTCTTCTTCCTGAATTTCTACAATGCCTTAGTATTAATTATTCCAGTGCTTATCAAATGCTATCCTGCATCCATCCACCCATTCATTCAACAAATATTTCCTGAGCAACTACTAATGCCACACTTTCTTCTAGACCCTAGGGTACCAAGGCAAACAAAGTAAACTAAGTCTTTGCTCTTTATAGAGCTTATATTCAAGTGAGGGAGACACAGCAAACAAACATAATAACACCGAGGCTAGTAACAAGTGATACTTTAAAAAACTAAAAGGAATCTTTTTTAAATCAATGAAGAAAACCCATCAACTATGCTGGAGATACACCAGATTTTAGCCTGGCTATAAAATCAGCATCATTTTTAATGCCTAATAAAAAGTAAAGAAAAGAAAAACATTTATGTTAAAAAATTTATTTTTATTTATTTATGTAAGCCTACATACTCAGGAGGCAGAGATCAGAAGGGTCACAGTTCAAAGCCAGCCTGGGCAAATAGTTTGTGAGGCCCTATCTCGAAAATATGCAACACAGAAATAGGGCTTGTGGAGTGACTCAAGTGGTACAGTGCCTGCCTAGCAAGCATGAAGCCCTGAGTTCAAACACCACTTACCGCCAAAAAAAAAAAAAAAAAAAGCAACTTTATGGTACCTTGGCTGAACATAATGAAGCGCCTCTGGTTGACATTGAAGTTAGCATTGCACAGTTGACATATAATAGAAACTCTATTGTGTAGAGCAGCATGGTGGAAAATAGTATAACCTGCTTCATCGGAGACATTGATTGTTGAGCTCGAGGTTTTACGGCTAAACGTATGGAACACAGCAGATAAGCCTCTTTCAACAGCAGACTTCATACCAAAGGGGATACTCTAAAATTATTAAGAAGGCCAGAATTCATTTTAAAAATAGTTTTATAAAATATAACTAAAGTTTGCTTTAAGGGAAAAAAGAACATGAAGTGTGTTAACAGAATTACATGACTGCTGCTCAATTACTATAAAATTTTCACAAAATCCAGGTAGAAGTTTTCTCACTGGGCATTGCTTAAAATTGTTAGGGCTGAGAATATTAAAACTATATTTGGGAAGTTTTGGGGTTTCTTTCTTTTTTTTTTTTTTTGCATTTTCTTAGGGTAAGTTGTAGATCCTTCTTTGCAGAAAATTGAAACACAGCAGACAAAAATGTTTCTGAAATACTTTAAAAGCAAATGATGATCATTGGGTTCCTTTTCTAATTAGTGTACCCTAATTGAGATGTCTAGAAACGTGACATGTATAGCTATAGAAATACAGGCTGCCTTGATTGTTCTGGGTCTCAAAATAGAGAGGTAAAATATCATACTCTTCTTTTAAACATTCTGACTACTAGATATTTAAAATTTAAACCAACATATAAAAAGTTTTAAAACTATGGTTATTAAAACAAACAGGAAACAAGTGCCAGTCCAACCTCAGAAGTTGGTGAGCTTAATCTATCAGTTCCAGGAGCTGCTAAGTGAAGGTTTGTTAAAAAGATGTAGAGATTCCATTCAGGATGCCAGGTCTGTTCTCAGGTTTTACTCAGAGCCCTGCAGCCAGTGCAGCGCTTACTAACTGTGAGATTCAGGAAAGAGCCTTACCTTTCTACACCTCAGACTTCTCATTTGTATAATAGGAATAGTAATAACAGAACTAGTACCTTAAGAAATTAAGCTATCTTTTGATTTATAATAGTGCCTGGCATGCAACATAAGAAATCAATAAACATTAGCCCTCATTAAGACTAATCAAAATCCAGTTCACTAACAGTTTGTACTCTGCCAAAAATTTATAACCCAGAATTGTATAACCTTTTGGCTACTAAAATGTGGAAGCTTTACTTCATATTGAGGGCTTTATCTAACCTATTAATTTATTCCTGAAATAAAAATTTGGGACATATACTTATGGATAATATATAACTTCTTACACTAAATTATGTGGTAGTCACTGAAATACCTTGCATTTCATAGCTTTTTTGAAACCAAATTTTTTCTTAAATTGTTCATGTAATTGAGCTTCTGTCAGTGGAAGTCTTTTCAGTCTCAGATTGTTCACTATTTCATTTATGGTTCCCCACCATTGTGTTTTATATAGTTGTTGATAGAAAGCTTCAAGTTCAAAATAGATCACATAGTAGCTATAAAAAATAAAGAAAAAAGACTTTTTCTAATGTTTTGCTACTTTTTTTCTATGCTGGCAAAACATGATTTTTCCATAAAAAATAAATACAGAACTATAATTTAAATTATACTTGATTGTAAATATATTAATAGCATAGTTATCAACTGCTATTAAGCAAGTCTTTATAAAAAGTATCTTCTCTTTATTGACCATTTGAGTTGATTCTATCCTTCCTATGCCAGAGATTGCAGTACTGCTTAAAAGTTACTAGAAGATCTTATTCTGGGGGAAGGAGTCCCAGGTTTATCTTCTAACCATTTGCTTCCCGTCCATTTACCCTTTTAATCTAATTATGTCAATATTCACTTTCTCGGGGGTAGTTTACCTTGAGTCTGGAATGATGCTTTGGGTAATGGCTCCTTGGCTCTTACTCACTGAAGCAATGGACTAGAGAAGCCTCCAACCACGATATCCCTGGGATATGGGGGGAGGGGCTTGCAACAGCCCTGGGCCCCTATTACTCTGAATGCAGGTAATGAAACTGAGTTACTCTGTTTCCTGGGCTATCATCACAGGCAAAGAAAGCGGAGGAAAGTGGCCTTCCTCCACTTTCCCTAGTGAGGTACCTTTCCCCATGCCCAGATTAACACAGTGAGTACTTCAGCTACTGATGCTGTCCATGGAAGCCTTTTCATGTTTCCTAGACTTCTCCTCTAACTGCAACGAGTTCTTGCTGTAAATGTGGTATTCTTGACAGTGGTTGCCTTTACCTGTGGCTCTTCACTCTGCTGCTGGGTACTATCAGTTTTCCTAGGAGGGCTTAGAAATTTGTTCCATTGCTCTAATTTCTGGGGAAGAGACTTAGCATCTCTCTATGTGAAGGAAATTCCTTGCCCACTGGCTGAAAGAGATAACTAGGTCCTATGAGTCAGTTATAGGAAAATATAGGGAAATACTCTGTTATAAATTGTTTAGAGGCTAAAACTATCTCTTCCTTAATCTCAATTGACTCTAATTTTCTGAATATAACAGACTTCAGTGTGTGGATGGAGTTACATTTGAGAACCTGTTCATTTTTATTTGAAGGTGTCATTCTTCCTATCTACCACTCCTCCCCACAAAAGGAAAATCAGACCACAACAATGTAAACTAAAGGCTGTCTTCATCCACACCTCACAGGAATAGTGCCAGACCAGACCAGATGGTGGGGCTTGTGACATGTCCCTAGGTCCTGAGTTGTGAAGGTGCTACCTTCATCAAATGGGGACTTGCCTACTTTAGAAAACAGCTCACCTTCCCTTGGTATTGTATACACTGATAAGACATCAAAAAACCTAACAATGGATAGCTTAATTAAAAAAAATGCCTCCACTACTTAAAAAGTAAACATTGATCTACCATTTGATCCAGCAATATCACTCTTGGGGATATACCCAAAAGACTGTTACTCCAGAGGCACCTGCACACCCATGTTTATTGCAGCGCTATTCACAATAGCCAAATTATGGAAACAGCCAAGATGCCCCATCACTGATGAATGGATTAAGAAAATGTGGTATCTATACACAATGGAATTCTATGCAGCCATGAAGAAGAACGAAATGTTATCATTCGCCGGTAAATGGATGGAATTGGAGAACATCATTCTGAGTGAGGTTAGCCTGGCCCAAAAGACCAAAAATCATATGTTCTCCCTCATATGCGGACATTAGATCAAGGGCAAAAACAACAAGGGGATTGGACTTTGAGCACATGATAAAAGTGAGAGCACACAAGGGAGGGGTGAGGATAGGTAAGACACCAAAAAAATTAGCTAGCATTTGTTGCCCTTAACGCAGAGAAACTAAAGCAGATACCTTAAAAGCAACTGAGACCAATAGGAAAAGGGGACCAGGTTAGATCAAAAAGAATTAACCTAGAAGTTAACACACACGCATAGGAAATTAATGTGAGTCAACTCCCTGTATAGCTATCCTTATCTCAACCAGCAAAAACCCTTGTTCCTTCCTATTATGCTTTTCTCTTCAACAAAATTAGAGATAAGGGCAAAATAGTTTCTGCCGGGTATTGAGGGGGTGAGGGGGAGAGGGAGGGGGCACAGTGGGTAGTAAGGGAGGGGGTGGGGGCAGGGGGGAGAAATGACCCAAGACTTGTATGCACATATGAATAATAAAACAGTTAAAAAAATGCCTCCATAAAGCTAGTATTCTTTGGGGAAAATATTGAGAATGTCCTTTGACTTTGATTGGACCAACTCTACATAATCCAGCTCCTGGAGAATCTCAGTACCACCGACTGCTGTCTTTTCATCTACTGCTCCAGGCAGCTAACTCTGGCTGTAATTGTTATGAGAACAAGCAGCTGCTGAGCACTTTTGGGACCTTTATAATCAGTGAGATACTCTTAGACCACTGTTAAAGCAAAGAAACACCAAAGAAAAATGGGCTGTTTCCTTCCAGAAATTCAGTGGTGTAATCTAATACAAACTAAACATTCAGAAGGTGCAGGGATCTCTCCTACCCTAGAAAGTGGAAAGAAATAGGTGATAAAGATCACTGTACCCTGAGAGAGTTTCAGACTAGAGAACTGTGAGACTCCCAGGATTGAATGTGTAACCCTGCATAGTAGGCTAATTATGACCACAGAAGGATGGCATGGAAGGCCAACAATGACCATGAGAAGTATAGAATGCCCAGTGGTCAATGCTATAAGGTTAGTGGCTGAGTATTCTATCTAGGTAACCCTCATTCAAGAATTGTTTGGCTTCCATGCTGTCATACTTTCTGGGCCCTCCTCTGTGTGTATTATTCCCTCTCAGTCTCCATTGCTCTCTTTCCCTTACCTCTCCCTACTGCCTTTAAAGTTTCTATTCTTTAGTTCCAGACTTGGCCCTGTCTTCTCAGCTATCTCCATGCCTTCAAAACAAACAAACAAAATCTTCCTATATGCTTTTAACCTCTACTTCTAATCTAAGTATTTACTCTGAATTCTAAACCTCACATTTCCAAAATTCAGCATCCAAGGTGAAAACCCAAGAACACAACATATAAAAGACCCTAGAAATACTGGGAGAAGCATACCACTTCAAGAGTGGACAGGCATAATAACATTTGGCAGAAGAGGATTTTAAGTGATACTCCTTATGGAAATGAAATGGTGTATGCTGGGTTTGTTGTTTTTAGCTGCTCCATGGAATTAGATCCCCAGCTCCATCTCTATTTAGCTTCTCTGTTAATTACAAGAGCTAGTTACAAGCTCCAAGAATTGTTATGCAGAATATACCAAAGGGTGTGAAGTAATAACTATAGCACTTAATAGTTTTTTTGAGTCAATATGTAAATCATAGGTCATTACTGTTCTCGGATCTCTATTCTAAGGTTTTAAGTTAGCTTTTGCATTTTGAAATTTTTGCATTTCCTTGTTTTCTACTAATATTTGTCAAGTTATGATTAGTGTGAATAATTACTTAAGGTTCCTTACCTTTTTCCATGAAATTCCATGACTGGTATTGAGTAATATTCTTTGTATCCTGAATCGTCTGAAAATGTATTAGTAGCACAATGTCGTATTTTTTCTATATTGTTCTAAAACATGAATTGTTATTAAAACATATCTTTAAAAATCTAAACAGTTATAAGACTTCTTTTATATGAAATTTTATACACATAAATATCAAAATTTTAATATAATATTCCAGAAAACTCTACTTTCAGAATGGATGGAAAAACCAGAAGAAAAAATATATAATACAGACAAGATAAAAAAAAAAAAGACAGCTGAAATGTGTGATGTTTATACAAATCACAGGTGACTTCTCTTCCCAAACCCTAGAGAAGCTCTTTTCTAATACTAATCTTTGAGGAAAATGGAAGGATTATAGTGATTATACAGGGATTTCTCTCTCTCCTCCCTTCCCCCACTTTCCTTCCTTCCTTCCTTTTTTAAATGGAGGAACGTATCTCACTATATTGCTGAGGCTCGCCTTGAACTCATGATCTCTTTGTCTCAACTGGGATTTCAGGCAAGCACCACCATGACCAGCCCTGTGTCCAGGGATTTCTATTGCACTCTTTGGCTAACTGTTCTAGGACAAATATGGTCAATTGGAAATCTGCAAAATACCATAATGAAGATAGCCGTAACTAGCTTATTTGTCACTTCATCCCTGGCATCTAACACAGTTCCTTAGGTACAATTGCACTTAAATTGTGTATGCTAAAATAATGCATGAAAAACTAGTGAGTTATGAGAATAATTGTCTAAAGAGCCGCATAGTGCCTGTACCAACAGAAGCTCTTTTTGGTTGAAAAACAGGATAAACAGAGTTGTGAAAAACAAACCATCTCAAGAATGATAATGATTTAAACCTTAAAATCTTCCAAAGCATTCTCAATTGGAGGTGTGCTGATATCAAATTCAATTCCTCCATGAACATGAAAATATTGATTCTCTTTGTAGTGAAAATTCTGGCATTTAAAGTCTCGTCCATAAATAAATGGAGGGAGTTCTCGCTCTGTCTTGACCTTGTCATCTCCAAAAATTAAAACAAATTTTTATTTAGAAAGTGGACAGCACATACACAATCATATTTTGAAGAATCTAAATTCTCATTCATGTAAACGAACTGAAAAATTCAACTTGAAATCTAATTCTGTCTATAAAATTAGTTATGCTCTTACTGAATATATATTTGAACATTAAAACATACCTAAATATATTTCTATCATACATTTTGAGCATTTCTGTATTTTTTCAACAGACATTTCAAAAGCATATTCAAAGCATTATTCCATTTATTAATTTCTATGAGTGAACTCAAGACTAATATCTTACCCCCAATTATCAGAAAAGAGTTGAAATTCTGTGCTTTAGACAATCTTTGGTTAAAAAAGACACTCTAAGCAAAAAGAGACGCTACAAAGAAATAGTGGGTATTTTTCATTTGATTAAAATAACTAGGCCATATGTCTGGAAAGTGAAGAAACCACACATACAACTATTCTTAAAAATAATTTTTTAAAATCCCAGCAAGGATGAGGTTTGCTCAATACTTTGAATTGTTAGTAGATGAATTCACCAATGTAAGGTACATACAAGTACAACATCCTTATCTTACCTCTTAGACTAACTATTAACATTTAGTTCCAATAGTTTACAAATAGTTAATGTCCTTTTGACACAAGGCTCTCTCAACTTTGTACATTCCCGCCATCCTAGAACAAGCACTGTCCATTTCTAAATACTTCACAGATACAGATATTCTTTAACATCTGAATTCTTGTGACACAGTTTTGCACTAAATGAGTTACAAAATTTCTACCAAAAATTTACTGTCTTATTATAAAGCTCATTATAATAAATTACATGCATACTTGGACAACAACGAAAATATATAACTTGGGAGCTAACTGAGTAGCATGAAGAATTTGAGTGAAGTACTGTCAAATTCTATATAAGCAAAGCCCTATTTCATTGCTCTTACATTGTATGTTAATTTCCATTACATTGCTCTATTTGTTTATTACTGTGCTGAAATAATTTATTGCTTTAGTAACTAATCACTTTAATTTTAATTAATTTACTAATTAAAAATCATTTAATTACTTTAGTTTTAATTTCTTTCTTTTTTGGTGGCATTAGAATTTGAACTCAGAGCATCATACTTGCTAGGCAGGTGCTCTTACAGGTTGAGCCACTCCTCCAGGTGTACTTTAGTTTTAATAGGTTTCAATATGTTTTTCAGAATTGTAAAACCATTCCATTTGTAAACATTAAGGAAAAACATGATATGGATTTTTTAATTGAAGTGCATTGAATTTATAGAGTAATTTAGATGAAATACAATCAGTGTTATCCCATCATGAACGTGGCAAATTTTCTATTTACTTAGAACTTGCTTTAAGTCTCAGTAGCTGTTATAGTTAGTATAAATATATACAAAGCACTATGTACATACATCTCAAAGATTTTTAATTTCATTGGAAACATTAACTTTTGTTTTCTTATTTTAATGGATATAGATAGGGTCACTTACCTAGACACACATAGTAGAAAAAATGAATTTACATACTTATTATGTAATTAGATAGTATATTTGTTTCTTGATGATATTTTTACCTGAAAAGGGCTGAAGTAGACTATTTAACAATGGAACCTTCATCTTCCTTTTTAAACTCAGCAAAAATGGAATCAGAAAACATATTAACTTTAGATAGCCAATCCCTCTTCTGATTATTTTTTTTTTCTCAAAGTGTTTTTGAATAATCTTCTTTTGAAGATACAATCTTTGCTGCAGTCTCTGGTAGGTACAAATATCAAGATAATCCTGAGCATACTTTATAGCATTAGTTAACCAGTAGGCTGTTTCAAATATGAAGACATTTTCACACTGTTGAACTTGCGTGGTACTGAACGTCAACTTTAGCAAAATGTTTTCAGCATATTTCATAAACACAGCTTTTTCTTCAGGGCTATTAGGATCATAAGTTGGATCTTCATTCATGTCTTCATCATAAATTCCACTAAAGTCTGGATCCTTTGTAATATCAACTAAACCTTCACAGTAAAAGAAAAACTGTAGATAGTGAAAACTTCATTCTTGGCTTCTGGATAAAGATAGCAGATTAAACACAGGGTTTCATTTTGAAATCCTACTAGAAGAACAATGAGATGCCAATAAGTTGTGTAAGATGAAAAGCAGATGGAAGAGGGATGGAAACTTGTGGGTAAAAAAAATAGATTTCCTTTATTAATTTTTGTAATAATTGCTCTCTTTGGAGAAAAGAAAAATCATACCATGGAAACACAATAACCAATGTCTTATCTTTAATCAAGAAAAATAATGGGAGAACAAAAAGAAAATTCTCTCTTTAAGTAAGAAATTAGATTCTTGCTTGGGCTAAAAGTATAATTTGTTTTTTCAGGTCCAATATTATAATTTTTTTTTTTTTTGCTAAAAAGGGAAGCTAGACATATAATGACCAAAAAATCTTCTTGCTAAACTAATCGTGATGAAACACGATTTTACTCCGTAAAAACAACAAATTTCCTATGGTACATTTATTTCTCCTTTTTTATAATGAACTTAGGGACTTTCTTGTCAAATTTTCTTTTTGAAAGTTTTTACATGTACAATCTTTCCTTTAATGTAAGCTTGAAAAAAATTTTAGCTTGAGAAAATTTCTCTGAGTCATAAAATATGACGTTGAAAATGTGGAGTTTGTGTGTGCTCTAAAGCGTAAATGCTACATCAATTGTTTCTCTCTTAGAAAAAGCCAGAATACTCTTGGGCTTCTAAATAACACTGTATCTCATTTTCCTTTTTCAGAAGAGTTAGTGAGATAAATTATAAGGAAATTACTGAAAAATTAAAAGGTTCTGATAACTAAAAATCTAATTATAAGACAACTACAGCATTGCAGCTTGCAGTGGGTGGGAACCAGCACTCAGCAAATCAGCTACCACAGAACCACAAAGAGGTTTAGAAATTGGTAGCATCGTGTGGCGCCCAGGAAGGACAAGTATGAGATGAGTAACTAGGATGTGGGGCATGCCTATAACCCAGCACTCAAGAGGCAGAGGCAACCCTGGGCTATGTAGGGAGACCTGTCTCAAAAAACAAAACCCAAAATAAAAGACTAATGACAATTTTTTAAAGGATTGGTTCAAAGTATAATTAAGGTGCAAACAGACCCCTAAATTGTCTCCCCCAGATAAAACAGTCCCTCCCCTCCCTCTTTGCCCAGGTATGTGGCACCTACCCAGATGGCATTAGTGCCTCGTCCACCAACATTTACTTAGTAATTCTCCCAGACAAGGAAGAATTTCTGCCTTAGAACCACCATTATTAGTACCTGCTCTCAACAAAAGTTGTCTAACCTGCATGGCAAGGAGAGCTATTGGCTATCGAAGCTGTCTTTAAGACAGGAAAGTACTATATCCACAAGTCTAAACCACTTGCAGGTACATTAAGACTACAGAGCCTGAAACAACACATCTGGAAAGCGAGCCAGCTGGTGAGTTAGGGTGCTTAACTGTCATCAAACAAATCTTACTCTTAAGGCATTAGAACTTCACAGGAGTACAGGCATAGACACAGGTACAGTTAATAGCATAGAAAGCAAATGAACACCTCTGTGTTTCAAGTCCCAACTGAGATTCAGAAGCGCTCAATGGTGTTTATGCTACAGGATGTAATTATAGTGCTTGTACCTAAACATCATCCTGACTGGATACTTGGGGATGTTCAAAACTTTGAGTATGATCTACAGGAAAGTTTAGTTGGCCCGCATTTGTTGTGGTACTCTCTAATATAAAAGTGCCTGTGGTATTCTTTCTGAGGCACTGCTTCCTGACTTAACAATTATTAAATCCTTCTGGGTCACTCATGCTAGATTTAATCCCCAACTTGATCCATTGGTAACAGCAGAAATCCTCTAAACATGTGCAATGCTTCTTATGCATATCATTATTCATTGATTTAGCTCAGTTCATTTAATGCAACTTATTATTAATGCAACTTGACACTGTTATATATACGTTGACACTGTTATGTGTCAAGTACTATTTTAAGCACTAAATTTATAGGGATAAACAAGGCAAGTAAGTGTCCTGTTTTCATGGAGCTTATAGTCAGGTTTATGCTTTATTTGTTTTGACTGTTGGACTTATTTTCGAGTCTTAAAAAGAAATAAAATTCCAACAAATATTTTTAAATAAATAAATCAAATGAGAGTGCTTTATAAATGTGTGTATATATAATATTTAATTTTGCTACCAATGTCAGAAAACAAAAAAAAGGAAATAAGTAACTCCTTAGCTTACAATACTAATTGTATTAAATGTTGTAATGATACAATTATTCCATGTCTTATTAAGAAGTTAAGAAACAACTAATTTGCTTTTCAAGGTATTTCTCTAGTAACCATATCTGTATGGATAAACTAAAGGGCTTCTTTTTCCAGTAATTGTATTTGTCCAAATCAGATAAAAGTAGCTTATTTCCACTGGATTTCCATTAAAAGTTTCATTTATCAGCTCTATTTAGCCAAGAAAAACCTGGCTGAGTAGGACAGAACATTAATCTCTTCCTGCCACAGTAAGTTTGTACAAAAACCAAATAAGGTTATGTTTAAAACTGAACTGAATAAAGATTAAAATATACTTTTGAATATCAAACACATAATGTATAGCTAATTTATATGCGTCACACAAATCAATAGATTTTTTTTTTTTCCAGAATGGACAAGAAAGGAACCATCTGAGTGACATTTTATGCCTGAAGAATGGGCTGTCGTTCTTTTTACTTTCAGATATCATAAAATCTATTGCTATACTCTCTCCTCCAGTCAAATGAAATTTAATATAGATACAAAAAATTGAGATTTATTTTTTAAGCTTATGCCCCAAACTCTAGAAATCAATTTAGAGTGTTATGGTTATATTTGATTAATGAAAGCAGTCAGAAGCCGTGTCTAGGGCACACACGTCCTATTTCCCTCCTCATTCTCTACTTGGCCTGCTGCAAAGGTAGCATGGGAAAAAATTTTTGAGGCTTTGATAAAAATTTATATAAACTGAAGTGGCTGCACCAGGCTTTAGTGGTATGTATTGTTTATAGTCAAGCTATGGAAAAGTATAACCTTGATGAGGGAGCAATTTCAAAATTAGGTGAACTAAGAAAAACTACTCATGAAATTATTATTAATACAAATACTAATTGCTAAAGCATGTTGCAATTTTAACTTGTTTCTTATATCAATATTTTTTGAGTTTATAAAAATGTTACATGGAAAGTTAACCAGTTGCTCATGGTGGGCAATCATTTCAAGTTTGGAGGCTTAATCATGCCCTCATTCTAGCCTTTCTTGGGTTATTAACTGATTTTTCCTATGCTCTTATAAGATAAAAAGTATAAACGTGAAAACTAATCAGTTCAAGAATCTGATCTGTTTTCTGCATAAATTGAGTTAACATAAAAGAGCAAGATGCTTGGCTTAAAATAAAAATTTTTGTTCCTCAACTTATAAAAGCTATATATGAACAAACCTACAGCCAGATTATACTTAACGGAGAAAAATAAACCAATTCCTCTAAAATCAGGAACCAACAAGGATGCCCACTATCTCATCCTATTCAACATAGTACTGGAATTCCTAGCCAGAGCATTAGGAAGAAAAGGAATAAAAGGAATACAAATAGGTAAAGAAACTGTCAAAATATCCCTATTTGCAGACGAATGATCCTATACTTAAAGACCAAAACTCTACTCAGAAGCTTCTAGACATCATCAATAGCTATAGCAAGGTAGCAGGATATAAAATCAACATAGAAAAATCATTAGCATTTCTATACACTAACAATGAAGCAAACGAAAAAGAATGTATGAAAACAATTCCATTTACAATAGCCTCAAAAAAATCAAATACCTAGGTGTAAAACCTAACAAAAGATGTGAAGACTCTACAAGGAAAACTATACACTTCTGAAGAAAGAGATTGAGGAAGCTATAGAAAGGGAGAGATCTCCCATGCTCATGGATTGGTAGAATCAAATAGTAAAAAATGTCGATACTCCCAAAAGTAATTCTACATGTTTAATGCAATTCCATCAAATTCAATGACATTCATTAAAGAGATTGAAAAATCTACTGTAAATTTATATGGAAACAAAGAGCACGAATAGCAAGGCAATACTCAGTCAAAAGAACAATGCAGGAGGTATACATACTGACTTCAAACTATATTACAAAGCAATAACAATAAAACAGCATGGACTGGCACAAAAACAGACATGAAGACCAGTGACAGAATAGAGGACCCAGATATGAAGCCACACAACTATAACACTTGTCTTTGACAAAGGGACTAAAAATATACGATGGAGAAATAGCAGCCTCTTCAACAAAAACTGCTGGGAAAACTGGTTAGCAGTCTGCAAAAAACTGAAACTAGATCCATGTTATACCTATAACAAGATTAACTCAAAATGGATCAAGGATCTTAATATCAGACCCCAAATCTTAAGTTTGATACAGAAAGAGTAGGAATACTCTGAGTTAGTAGGTATGGTAAGAACTTTCTCAATGAAACCCACAGCAGCAGCAACTAAGAGATAGCATAGATAAATGGGACCTCATAAAACTAAAAAGCTTCTGTTCATCAAAGAAAATGGTCTCTAAACTGAAGAGAACACCCACAGAGTGGGAGAAAATTTTGCCAACTAACATCAGACAAAGGACTGATAACCAGAATATATAGGGACTTAAAAACTAAATTCTCCCAAAATAATGAACAATAAAGAAATGGGCAAGTGAACTAAACAGAACTTTCTCAAAGAAGAAATTCAAATGGCCAGAAAACACATGAAAAAATGCTCACCATCTCTAGCAATAAAGGAAATGCAAATTAAAACCACACTAAGATTCACCTCACTCGCTGTTAGAATAGGCCATTATCAGCACCACAACAAAGGGTTTTGGGGAATGCGGGGAAAAGGAACCCTTTTAAACTGGTTGGGGAATTGTGATAGTACACATCTGGACAAATTTGGAGGTACTTTAAAAGCTGGACTGATCTACCATTTTGATCAGCAATCACCTCACCCTGTTAGAATAGCCATCATCAGCAACACCACCAACAACAGGTGTTGGCGAGGATGCGGGGAAAAAGGAACCCTCTTACACTGTTGGTGGGAATGTAACTAGTACAACCACTCTGGAAAAAAATTTGGAGGCTACTTAAAAAGCTGACATCGATCTACCATTTGATCCAGCAATACCACTCTTGGGGATATACCCAAAAGACTGTGTTACTCCAGAGGCACCTGCACACCATGTTTATTGCGGCACTATTCACAATAGCCAAGTTATGGAAACAGCCAAGATGCCCCACACTGACGAATGGATTAAGAAAATGTGGTATCTATACACAATGGAATTTTATGCAGCCATGAAGAAGAACGAAATGTTATCATTCGCTGGTAAATGGATGGAATTGGAGAACATCATTCTGAGTGAGGTTAGCCTGGCCCAAAAGACCAAAAATCGTATGTTCTCCCTCATATGTGGACATTAGATCAAGGGCAAACACAACAAGGGATTGGACTATGAGCACATGATAAAAGCGAGAGCACACAAGGGAGGGGTGAGGATAGGTAAGACACCTAAAAAACTAGCTAGCATTTGTTGCCCTTAAGCAGAGAAACTAAAGCAGATACCTTAAAGCAACTGAGGCCAATAGGAAAAGGGGACCAGGAACTAGAGAAAAGGTTAGATTAAAAAGAATTAACCTAGAAGGTAACACCCACGCACAGGAAATCAATGTGAGTCAATGCCCTGTATAGCTATCCTTATCTCAACCAGCAAAACCCTTGTTCCTTCCTATTTGCCTTTTTTTTTTTTCGGCTTTTTGTTTTTTGTTTTTTTTTTTTTCATTTTCTTTTATTATCATATGTGCATACAGGCTTGGTTTTATTTCCTCCCCCCTGACCCCCCCTCCTTACACCCATCCACCCCTCCCGCTCCCCCCTCAATTACCGCAGCAGAAACTATTTTGCCCAGTTAAATTTAAAAATTACTTATAATAAAAAATTAAGAAATGTTAAGTTCTCTTACCTGCTGAACTAAACTCTGCAAAAATATCTTTACTTGTTTGAGGCTTCCCATCTGGATCGATGTCCATGATGGTGCGCCAGAGTTCAGAGAATCTGGCTCGTTTCTCTTTGGGCATGTATATTCCATGCCATAGTGCTTTCAACATGTAGTCAATGTTGATTAGAATTTGCCCAATTCTGGTATCGTAATAAGCTGGAGGTAGTTGGCAGGAAGAGCTCTGATCATAATTAGCTTCTAAACTAATTGAAGGGATTTGGTTTAAGCAATAAATTCCGACAGCCAATTCCCTGATGATCTGATGGACTTCTCTGTAATCTAAGAGGGCAGAAGGGTCTACAGGAGTCAGTAGAATCGCAGTGGAGAAGCCTACATTATTCATTTGACTCATAAGTCCACATGGAATGTCTGGCTGAGAGCGAATGTCTTCCTTGGAAGATAACCAGCTAACTACTGCTGTAGTTAGTAATTCTTGCACTTCACTCCGATCATATTTTTCAAAAAAAGCAGAAGCATTTCTCTGTATTGCTAAATTTTCCAGGTAGGTTTCTTCATCTTGAACTTGATCAAATCTAGGTATTCCTTTTTTGGGCAATCTTAACATTTCTAACTGAATCTAGTATGTCCTTTTTGAAGTTTCTGCAAAAAACCCCAGAGAAGACAAATGATTAATTTACCATGGTAATGAAGCTGGATTTCTCTAGAAATAGATTTGTGTCTTTCATCTTTCTAAGGTTAATATTTTCATGGTCAACCTTACCTTTTTTCAATCTTAGATTTATTGCAGCATAAGAAAACTGAAATTTGAATTAAAATAACTAAATTTGTAAAGCCTTTAATTTTAATCATGTTTGCTTCTCAAAGAGTCAAAAGATAATGAGAATAGTCATACGTTGCATAACAATATTTCTGTCAAAAACAGACCACACATATAATGGTGGCCCCATAAGATTATATTGTCTAGTGATATGGTAGACATTTTAATTTGTGTAAGTACACCTTATGATGCTTGCACAACAGTGAAATAGTCTGACACACTTCTCAGACTGTGTACCCGTTGTTAAGTGATCCATGACTGTGTATCAAAAAAAGTTAACTCTGTATATGGGAAGTACTGCCATATGCCTATTCCTTTTGTTGTAGGATTTTTTGTTCTGTTTTGCATGTATCTTCAGGGGTTTTTTGTTTGTTTGTTTGTTTGTTTGTTTGTTTTGGATTATTTTTTGGGTTAGATCAGGGGTTGAACTCAGGGCTTTTCTCTTGCAAAGCAGACACCCTACTGTTTGAGCCACACCTCCAGTCCATTTTTTTGCTCTGATTATTTTGGAGATGGGGGTCTCACAAACTATTTGCCCAGGCTAGCCTCAAACCTCGATCCTCCCATCTCAGTCTCCCAAGTAGTTAGGATTACAAGTGTGAGACACCAGTTCCTGGAATGTCTTCACTTTTTTAAGTTAAGAAAACAAGAACTTGCTAAAAGGTAAATGAAAGATGAGAAATGTATACTTTCAGTTTCTTTGTTTTCTTTTTTTGTTGTTTTTGTTTTGTTTGTGGGATTGGGGTTTTCTTTTTATTTTCCTTGTTCTTCCTCTCTCCCCTTGTTGGCATACCAACCTAGGGCCTCATGTATGGTAGGCAAGCACTCTACTACTTAGCTGTATTTCCAACTTCAGTTTCTGTGGAACTAAATGACTGTTTCCAGAATAATAACTATAACTACTGTTTGATCATCTACTATGATCCAGGCTCTTTATACATACTGTTTTAACTTATTTAATTGGCCTCAAATATACAGTGGTTCTCAAAATGTAGTCTGTATCAAAAATCATCTGGGCCTTGTAAAAACACACATTACTTCTGATTCAGTCAACTGGGTTGGGGCCAGAGAATTTGCATATCCATAAAGTCAAAGGTAATGCAGATGCTGCTAATTTGGGCCTTGGGTACTTGGAGAATCCATCTCAGGAATTGTTCTCCCCCTTTTTTAGACACATTTGTGGAGACTAAGATTTCAGGACAGGGCTGAGGTTTCATGCCTTTCAGAATCAGAACCCCACTAGCTTCTGTCTGCACAGATACGAACAGGACAAGGAAGACGAAAGGCCTACTTTGAAATGATTGCTTTCTTGTCTGGGAGAAGGAAGTTGCATCCTCAATGGCCCCGGGAGCCCTGGATGAACTTTTCCTGGAATGGCTTCTTTCTGGGCCTGAATCTCTGCAGAATTAGTGGCTTCTTTCTGGGCCTGAATCTCTGCAGAATTAGTTGGGGAAGAATCCGAGAGGTCTTTCCTGGGACCAGGCTGGGAGGCCAGCTCCACACCCCGTGGCTGGTTGCCCACCCCCCCGGAGTACGGGTTGAGTCCCTGGTTCTCCTTTGGGCCTTGGGGCTGGTGGCGACTCAGGAAGGCCCTGCAGGAGGGCTGGGGTGTGGGGGACTCCTATACATCCCACCCCACTGCCCTCAGTGGCCTCTGGGTAACTCACCACTGCTCAGATGGCTCCCAAAAACCTCTCTCTAGGACTCAGTCCAGCTTCAAGCTGCGGACACCGAGCTAGGCTATTAGTTTCTGTTAAAACAAACACAAAAAAGAATGACAGCAGAGAATTCTAAGTTGGAATGCCATCTTCACCATCATTCATTCATTCATTCAATAAACATGTATGGAACACCAATTATGAGCCAAGCACTGTGCTAGAGGCTGGAGACCCTAGAAAACAAGGAAAAAACAAAAACCCTAAGGAACTCGTGGTTAAACAGATAACCATACAGGAATATTTGCCAATGTGATAAATGTAAGATGGAAAGACAGAACCAGAAAGAAAGTTCAACCTAGATCAGGGATTCAAAAATACAGCCCCAGGCAGTGACTTTTAAACTGAGTCTGGCCAAGAAAACAAATGGAGGAGTAGCTTTTGAGGAACAGCATGTTAGGAAGGATTGAAGCCAGAGAAAAGTTGAACAAAACACTCCATAGGAAACAAGAGATGTGGGCACAAAATGAGGCTGTGGTGGGGTAAATGAGGGACAGATCACGATTTTTGAACTTATCCTAAAAGACCGGGCTAAGGTAGTCGCAGTGAAGGCCAGGCTCACGTTAGGGTGGTGGTGTGGAGACTGGTAGGGGTGTTGTGGATGGATTTCAGATATAATGGGGCAGCCTATAGGGAACAGATTAAATGGGAAGGTCTTCAAGAAGAAGCCAGTGTTAAGGTGACCCTTAAACTTCTTGTCAGGAGCTACAGGGTGTCAGAATGATTCTGAGTTCAGTTGTAGACACAATTCACCTTGAAGTACTTGGAGAGAAACAAATAGAGATATTCAGGTGTGGGCTAAGACTGGCAGCTGGAATGAGATGTATAAATATGGGCTGCCTTACAATGTTGAAGCTAGGACAGTGGTTGAATCACCAGAGGAAGGCATGCAGTTGAGAACCCAGAATGGAGACCTGTGCAATTTAACATTTAAAGATCAGGGGGAGTGGGCATACTCATCAAGGAAGACAATGAAAGAATAGCCAGGGAGGCAAGAGGGAAACTCAAACTGGTCACAGAAGGGGAGATCAGAACTGCTTCAAGAAAGGGAATGGCCAACTTCATTGGATGCTGCTTCCACGTCAGAGGAGACAAGAAATTAAAACTGAATTTAGCAGCATGAAGGTCCTTGGTGACTGCTTGAGGGCAGTTTCTCTTACCATGTCATTTTATCTATTATGGAAATGTTAATAAATTTATGATAGTTATTCCACAGCAAGGGATGTCAAAACATCACTTCTTTTAAGAGATGTGCATGTTTGCACTTATGAACTCTGAATCATACATGTAAATTCTTATTAAAGGTTTTTTATTCAGGTAGCCAAATGGTTTGTTCTGTGTCTCTAGGCTTGAGAAAGAGTTGTTCCTTTGTTTAAAGATTAACATAGAAACTTCATCCCTAAGCTCATGGGAGTAAGTAGCAAGAAGGTTGTAAATAACCAGATCTTCATACACACACACACACACACACACACACACGAGTAACCTGCTAGAGCAGATGACCTGGAAATTCCTTATATTAAAGTTCAGCTGATTAACTTACTATATATAACATAATACATATAAACATAGAATAGTAATACCACAATGCAGTACATAGTGACAGCTGTTTGTAGTACTGAACTATAGTTGTTACAATTATATTCAACTCTAGGCTGTGGGACAAGCCTCATTCCTGACATAAGAATGCCAATTTAGTACTCAGAACCACATAAACACTTGCAGTTATCTGCCATCAGATAGAGGGATGAAATCTATGCCGGCAATATCTAAAACTGGCATGAACATTTCATTTACCAGGGAATAAATTCAGGATTCGGGACATGTGAAAGCCTTTCACTTTAACCTTAAACAATTTTTTTTTCTATTAAGATTAAAAGAAAATGTAGCCAGATCCAAAGTATCAGCCCTAACTGATGATAGATCTCAAATAGTGATGGTTAGTATGGTGGTTAATAGTTATGTGCTGGATGTCAGGTTGGAGTGAATAGACTAAAAATGTAAGACAGTGAGTATGGAGTTGAGAGATGTGAAGTAGAAGATGCAGTACCAGTGATATTGATTTTAAATTGGCATATACTACATTAAAATAATGATGGGATAGCCAGACACTGGTGGCTCATGCCTGTAATCCTAGCATGGGACCAGGTGGATGGTCGTTGGAGGCCAGCCCAGGGAAATAGTTCAAGAGACCCCATCTCCAACATAACCAGAGCAAAAATGGATTGGAGGTGTGGTTCAAGTGGTAAAGCATCTACTTTGCAAGTACGAAGGCCTGAGTTCAAACCCTCAATCCCACCAAAAAAATAAAGATGGGATCTGTCAGAGGAAGAAGCTCAAGATACTGAACAGAGGAGTATAAAGCTCGTGAAAGGCAAAATGGGTGGTATATAGCTTTCTGTTGCCGTGACAAAATATGAGATAACTGAAAAGGACAAGATTGACTTAGGCTGAGGGTTTCAGGGCTTTCAGTTGAATGACTTGGCCCTATTGCCTTTAGGCTTGTGGCACAGCAGTACATCATGGTGGGGAATGTGTGGAGAGGAAATCTGTTCAACTCATGGTGGTCATGTAGGAGGAAAAGAGGAAGAAGCTGAGGTCCCATTATCCCCTTCATGGCATTTCCGAAGTGACCTAACTTCCTTCCACTAGCTACCACCTTCAAAGAGTTCCAACCACATCAACTAGGGACCAGACCTTCAACAGATGAGCCTTTGGGAGACATTTAATATCTGAAACATAATAGGTAATGATACAGAGAACAGTCTTTCAATGTGGGGACTCTTTCCTCTGTAATGGCCAGAAAGAATGGGTAAATTGGGATATGTGCACACATCATCTAAATGCTCTGGTGTTAGAAAGAGGCAGTTCTTGGCCTGATAACTTTGATCTCTGTGGAAAGCCCAGGTCTTGAGCTAAGAATGGACAGAGTCCCGTTCTTGGAGGTTTGTGCGACAGGACAATGTAGACAACAGTTCTTAAAAGTTCCTGAAGTAGGGCTGGAGGTGTGGCTCAAGTGGTAGAGTGCTTGCCTGAGTTCAAACCGCAGTACCATAAAAAAAAAAAAAAAAACCCCAAAACCAAAAAACTAAATGTTAACTTTTTTCTTACTTAAGAAAGGTAGGAAAATGGGTTATTTTATGAGATATAAGTATTACTCGGGAGTAGGAACCTCAAGCAAGCTGTTTAGCATTTCCAAATCTTAGTTCTTTCATTCTGTCAAACCAAGGTACCTGATAACAATAGTAAACTCAGTTTCTGATGTAGGTACAAGAGTTGGTCTGAGAAAACCTGTTTCTCTACAATCTCCTATATCTCTGATGCCAGATGTGTGGATTTTATCCACACCCCACCAATCAACTCTCCACCACTCTGAACATCACTTGGGTATTATACAATTTTATTCAGTTATAACTTACTCCATCTACCTGGAGTTAGGGCAGATCCCTACAAGTTAAGGACTCAGTTCTACAAGACTGCCCCTACTTCAGATGGCAATTCCAAGTTGGGTCTCTGACACATCAGCTATAAATGGGGTTTCCACAACCCCCTCCTCAGTTTTGGTGATTTGCTAGAACAGCTTACCAAACTCAGGGTAATTTACTTGCTGGCTTATTCTGAAGGATACAACTCAGGATCCACAAAGGGAAAAGGATGCACAGGGGAAGGTATTTGAGGATGTGAGAGCACAAGACAGCTTCTATGCCCTCTAAGGGCATGTCATCTTCCAGGTATCTCCATGCAGGCAACAAACTGGAAACTCATCCAATTTTTTTCAAGAGTTTTTACAAGGCTTAATTGAGCTTACTCTTCAGCCCACTCCATTCAGCTTCAGCTTCCTAGAAGTTGGTGGGTGGGGCTGAAAGTTCTAATCTTCCTAATACTTGGTCTTTCATCCCAAGGCTATCTAGGAAATCCCACTACAAGTGGCCTCATGTTTGATCAAAATGCTAACTGTAAGACACTGCTATCACTTAAGAAATTCTAATGTTTTAGAATTTTAAGGTTTTAAATTAGGAGTTTGATAGAAAAGTAAAAACTCCGACAATGAACATTAAAACTACTACATTATACAATAATAAACCAACAAAGTATTTTATTTTTATATAACTGATATTCAGTAAATATTGTCATATTGTAAAATTATATTGATTTAATCTGCTCTTCAAAATAAAAGTTTTTTAAGGTGCAATTTGGAGTCTTCCACATTTATCAGATGCCTTTTCATTATTTTTTTCCAGTTTTGCAATTCTGGATCCAAACTGCATGGCCCGTTTTGGCAGAACAGCAGAGGCTGTAAGACCAAGTTCCACAGCTGCAAGACGTAAGAGTAGTTTTTCACCAACTCCACGGGGTAAAGTCAAATTTGCCTTTTCCCAAATTGGTAGGGAATTTAGGAAGGAGACAACATTTTCATCTAGGAAAGGAAACCTAAAATAAACAGATAAGGCAATTACCATATAAAAATAAAATCTTTAATGATTATTTACAATATTATGGCTACAATTTAACCACAATAAAAAAGTGCTTCATAATGTGAAAAATTTAATACATGATGTAAAATAATTTAAGTTTCGATAAATTAAGGGCCTATGGTGTCAAGAAATAATTTCAAATTATTTCACAAGGCATCTCAGGATGCCCAGAAAACAGAATAATATTAGCTATTCAAATATAATCTGTGTCTCATCTTTACCATGTCTAAAGAAACTGAACCTCAGGGACATGAAACCAGTATAGAATGGCATTTGAAATTGTTTAATTACATCTAAACTGTTCAAACAGCAGCAAGCTGGTATGATAGAATTAAATACTAGATTTTTAAAAAGTGACTTTCTTTCCTTTTCACTTCTTTAATTTCCCACAAAATTCTGGGCCTTCTTTTGATTTTTTGTTCAAAATAGTTTAACATCCCACTCTCACCCCCACCAATTCTTCAACATGCAATACAGCTACACCACTGTTTCAATTTCACTACATTATATTCTAGCTTAAGTAAAAAGATTGGCAAGGGGACAGAATATTTTATAAAAATGAATTTTTATAAATATAGAAAAAGTAAATATAGAAACTGATCAAATAAATTCCTGTTACTATGTGTGCCAAGATACACAATAAATTACTTAGATCTAACAACTATAATGGTATTTGTTATCACCATTCTGTATTAGCTGTTTACACATTTTTATCTGAGTGTAAGACACTATCTTCATATAGGGCCTTTAGAATTAACTGCTTTTACAAGGTAAAATTAATTTCCTTCTCTCTGACTGGTTGAAATAATGAACTAAATTTCTTTCATTTTGTTTCCTCACCTCCTCTCCACTCTTACATTCTTCAAAGGGAAAATAATATATGGACTTTTGTGGAATTAGTTTCTATTATAATTAAATCTTGAGAAGTATGACAGAGTGGCCAGCTATTATGGAGCATGCCTGTAACCCCAGCTACTCAGGAGGCAGAGGCAGGAGGATCTCCAGCCTGAACAAAGTTTTCCAGCCTCTATCTCAAAAACAAAAGGCGCTGGGAGCATGGCCCAAGTAATAATCACGTTTACCAAGCAGGCACAAGGCCCTGGGTTCAATCTCCAGTACCATAAAAAGAAAGTCAGAATAATGACAACAGTAAAAATTTTCCATGCATTAAGACTGGCAATATGGGAACAACAACTGTGTAAAAGCAACCACGATTTAGTGAAATAAGTAAAAGACTAAACTACTGACAAACTACTCTCAGAGAAAGGTAAGTTAAGGGTGTTCTGATGTTCGAATTCCTATGAAACTCCTTGTTCTTTCACATTGTACTCTTCGTAAAATAACTACTCAGAGTTCTTACTCTTTATAACTAAACACCATATCTTCTTTTATCCTTAGTTTTATTCAAGTATTTGCTTACTACCATCAGAAATATTTTGTGGGTAAAAATAAACCCCAGAAATTAAAGAATATATACATGAAAGTGCCTTGATCTCCGTGAAGGTTTTACGCTGGCTGCAGCGTAAGACTAAATTTTGTTTAAAAAACCCGTATGATAGATGGACATCCAGGATTGGGACTACCATTCAAGTCAATATAGATCTCTATAGGCACACATGTCTACAGACACAAAGCCAGGTTCTATAATATTAGAGCAGAAAGCTGGAGATAGGACTTATACTCTTATTGGGAGGAAATCAAAGATTTACAGTAAAGCAAAATCATGTAAATACCTTCTCTTGGAATTGCAGTATTTCAGTGTTACTTTAGCAGGGTTTTTTTTTTTTAGTGTAATCTTAAAAATAACCATGCCATTGTTATCACCTTGAAAAATGACTGAAAAGACATTTCTTGGGGGAATGGTTCTGGAAAATAAACTGCTCCACTGGTTCTTCTCAACTTTGCTTCTGACAGTGTTTGTAGAGGCAAGATATTGTTGCTTTTCCTGCTATTCGTGTGAACAGCCTCCAAAACAAATAAAACAAAAAAATCCTTAAAAAGCTTCCTTTTATAGTCTTCTGGGTTTTCTTTCTGGAAGTGGGGGGTTAAGACATCCTGATCTTGTTTTATAGTCCAGGCTGGCCTCAAACTCTCAATCTGCTGCTTCAGCCTCCCTAATAGTAGGACTGTTACCTGCCTGTCAGGTAATCTTCTGTATTTGTTTGTTTGTTTTATGGTACTGGGGTTTGAACTCAGGGCCTACACCTTGAGCCACTCCACTAGCCCTTTTTTGTGAAGGGTTTTTTTTTTTTGAGATAGGGTCTCGAAAACTATTTGCCCAGGCTGGCTTCAAACTGCAATCCTCCAGATCTCTACCTCCTGGGTAGCTAGGATTATAGGCATGAGCCACCAATGCCTGGCTAGTCTTCTGTTTTTTATCAAAACAACAACACTCAAGTAATTAGAATGACCTTGCTTCTTTTCCATGATCACCAATAACTCTATCATCACGACCAAGATTTCTAGTAGAAATTCGGCCCAGTTCCATTGCTATTTCCTTATTCAATCCTTCCAGTCCAAGTGTCTGAAAGCGGACACGGTGACGAGAATAACCTGCAAGTTGCTCATCTGCACCAATTCCAGTGAGAATTACCTACAAAAGTTTAAAGAAACCCACATAAAAAATTATTATGCAATAAGAAATTATGACAAAAGCTTGAAGTTTATAACCCTGAACATTTGAGAAAACCCACAAGATCAAATATAGTAAAACATGCCTAGTTTTTAAGAATATATACTGTACTACAGCTAATATGCAAATAAAATACTCTACGTTCTTGCACCTTTAAATACTAAAGAGAGTCAAATTAGGCCTCAAAAATTCTTGAGCAGAAAAACTGGGCCATACCTTTGCAATGCTCTGGTATGATTTCACTTCATCCTGGGTCACTAGACAACCAATTCCTCTAGAAGCAAACCAGACTGCACAGCCAATACTATCATCCAATACTGTATCCAAAGGCTGAACTAAGTGACATATTTGAGTTCTTCTTAGTTTTTGCAATTCTTCCAGAGAAACATTAATTTCAACAAAATTCCAAATTCGAGAAGGGTTAATAGCTTGCAGTTCCTTTAGTCCAGTTCTTCCTGAGATTCTGTCTGGTACATTAGCATCAGAACTATCATCAGCAGCATCAGTCTTAGAGAATTCTTCAGAAGGCATTTCACAATGACTTTTTTTACTCTTTTTATTAAAACTAGTTGGTTTGGTCTTTTTTTTAGTCAGGAAAGCCACATTCAGAAGATCAATTGGTTCATCTAAAGGAATATGGCGATCAGCAAGGGTTGCAATTACCATAGAATCAATGCCTCCAGAAAACAGGATTGCAACATTTGCTTTCCTATTACAAGTTTTCAGAACTTCATTTGGTGCCATATTTTTGTCCTTAGCTAAATACAAGACACGTCTCTTGACTGCAACACTCAAGACATGAATGAACTGTTGAACGACTTTTTTCATGTGTCCATCTGTAAGAAAGATCTGAAGTATCTCTCTTGTAGATGAAATGCTGGAACTGTTTCTGTAGTGTGTTTCCTCTATAGATGGAGGCAACACCATATTTAAGGGAACAACAGGTTTTTGAAGATAAAGTTTGGCTTCATTTGCTACCACCAATACAAATGTTGGTAAGACTGCTGAAATTTGAGTCAAGCTATTAACACATTCTTCAATAACATTTTCCTTAGAAATACATTTCCAAGGATATAATTTTAAAACCACACATCTGGAAATGGCAGCAGATTTCAGATCAATTCTGAAAATTCCAGATGCTGGAACTTCTTGCCACTGATTTGCCACTGCAGATGTTTGGGTACCAACTGAAGAGAGGCAAAAACTCTTGCCCAAATTACTAAATTGCCAAAGTAAGCTACGGCGACCAAAAAAATCCCTACCGAACCACAGGTAATGACTTGAGGCTTGATAATATATGAAAGACCAAGGTCCTTGGACTTTTGAAAAGAGTGACAAAATATCAGATTCATTCTTACAAGTGGTGAGATTATTAAACATAATTTGGGTATCATTCTCTTCAGCTTCAACCTTTATTCCACTAAAGACTTCTCCATTCCAAAGGAACACGTTGCCTCTTTCATCTTCCAGTGGTTGGGCAGTCAAAACACCTCTTAAGTGAAGGACATGACCAGAGAATAAACACTGGTAGTTAACATCAGATTTTAACAACTGTTTACCACTATTGGGTCCCCGTCGTTTAAGATTATACAATAAATCTTCTTTTAAATCTTTACTGAAATGCTCAACAGAAAAGCTTACAGAACAACAAATACCACACATTGTTATATGAAATCAGGGTAACTATTTCTTGATTTTGGTCTTCTCGAAATTTTCTATTTCTTGGTATTCTTTTTTTAGTTCATCCAAGGTATCTGTGGAAATGAGAAAATAATAAATAAAAAGTTTGTGATGATTCCAAGATGGCAACTAGAGGGAAGAAGCAGAAAGCATGCTTCCCAAAGCAAAATCTTGGAGAGACACTGGAGATACACCTTGCAGGAAAAACCACCAAGAAGAGGCAAAGCTCCAACCTCCACACCCCCAGCCTGCCCATAGCATCCTCATGCCACATTAAACAGAGAAACTAGGAGGGCTCCCGTGCCACCAGATGCCAGCTCCTACCAGCTCAAGAGAAGCAGACCACCAGGTGAGCTAAGAGGCATGTGGTACTCCCACAAACAACCCTGGGCCAGGTCAGCATAGCCCCCTGGACAGACTGACTCCCAGGGAAAAAAGAGAAAAAAAACTGAATAAACAACAACAACAAAAGACAAAAGAAAAGAGGGCGGGGTGCCCTGAGCACTGAAGATGGGGGGAGAGGCACTCCTTCACAGAACTGTAAATAAACAAGCCGGCTGGAGAAGGCAGGAGTGGTGGACTCTGCCCAGCAACCTTGGAGCAGGAAAGCTTGTAAAAGAGGCTGTTGTGAGGAAAACTCCAGTGGAGAGGGGGAAGGGACACTCCCAAATGAACTGTAAATAAACAAGCCCCCTGGAGAAGGCAGGTGTAGCACCACCTCCCCCATGTGCTTGGAGAGGGGAAAGCTTTTAACAGTGGCTGTGGTGCCCAGGAGAACTCTAAATAAACAAAGCCTGCAGGGCTAGGTGAGTGTTAAGCTCATTCCTGAGATCTGCAATCAATAAAGCCTCCAGCAAGAGCAGGCTGACAGTAGCAGGCAGGTGAGGCAGAGCCTCAGACAGACATTCACAGAACTGTCTCCAGACCCGTTTTTTTCTTTTTCTCTTCCTTTGATGAGACAACAACTGAACAAGAACTGCATGCTGAAGGACTAACTGAAACTGTATTGCATTTGAACTTGGGATATTTTGTTTTGTTTTTTGTTTTTTTCCCCTTTGATGAGACAATGACATTGATGTCCTGGAGAAATCATCTCCAGGACTGGAGGCTGAGGGACTAACACCAAAATTATTAAGACTGAAACTTTACTGCATTTGAACTTGGAGATTTTTGTTGTTGTTGTTTTATCCTCTCTCTGTCTCTCTAATGCCTGTTTAGCTTACTGTTGATTAGTACACTGTCTCTCTTGGCACTGTTTTTTTTTGTTGTTTGTTTTGTTTTTTTAGTTGTTTGTTGTTCCCTTTTTCTTTACCATCTTTGCTTTCCCTCTCCTCTCACCCTCCCATTTTAGATATCACCATTGTTATTATTACAAGCTAGAAAATACTTAATTATACAGAGTACAGGGACAATAACAATAGCAAGGGCAATGATGGGAAGATGGACAAAAGAGGGAAACCAGTTTCCCCCTAGTAACAAATTAGTACAGGAACCAGAGGGAAATGAAGAAAACAAATACTCAGATCCAGACTCCAACAAAATGAAGATAAATTATGCCATGGAACCCAATGAAGCCAACAAGAGCATCATAAAAGAAATACTACAGGTAATCAATGAGAATTTTACAGAGATGATACTGGATATGGTCAACCAAATTACAGGAGACACTCAGAAATTCCTAGACAACAAAAAATAGAGAATTTGAGAAAGCAAAAGAACAAATAAAAGAAACTATAGAAGCACTGTTTAAACACCAAAGTGAAACAAAGAACATGATAAATAAAGAGATAAATGAACTCAGGACAAAAATAGACAATGTTACAGAGGAAGGGATTCAGAATATGGAAAACCTCAGAAAAAAGAACGAAACAGAAATGCAAAACAAAATGGAAGGCCAATCCAGCAGAATAGAACAAGCAGAACACAGAATCTCAGAACTCAAAGGAAAATTAAAGGAAAAACTGAAGAACTATTAGTTCAACAACTCAAGACCCGTGAAAAGAAAATGCAAGAACTCACTGACACCATCAAAAGACCAAACTTGAGAATCATGGGCATTGAAAAAGGAGAAGAGGTGCAAGCAAAGGGAATGTGTAATACATTCAACAAAATAATTACAGAAAATTTCCCAAATCTAGAGAAATCTATGCCCATACAGGTGCAAGAGGCCTCCAGAACACCAAACAGACCAGACCAAACTAGAACTACCCCACGGCATATTATCATTAAAACAACAAGTACAGAGACTTGAGAAAGAATATTGAAGGCTGTAAGACAGAAAAAACAATTAACATACATAGGTAAACCCATCAAAATCAAAGCGGACTTCTCAACAGAAACATTAAAGCAAGAAGAGCCTGGGGTGAGGTCTTCTGGGCAGTGAATGAAAATAACTTCAATCCTAGGATACTCTACCCAGCAAAACTATCATTCAAAATAGACGAAGCAATAAAAGTCTTCCGTGATAAGCAGAAACTAAAACAATATATGACCACAAAGCCACCACTACAAAAGATTCTTCAAGGGATTCTGCACACAAAAAGTGAAACTCAACGTAACTGTGAAAGCGCTGGCAGTACCAAACTGGAGTAAAAGAAAAAGCAAGAAAGTAGAGAGTAACATTGATTTAGGTACACACAAACCTTCAAACAACTAAGACAACTAAATGACAGGAATCACCACATACCTATCAGTACTAACACTTACATTAATGGACTTAATTCCCCCACCAAAAGGCACCGTTTGATGAGCTGGATTAAAAAGGAAGACCCAACAATTTGTTGCTTACAGGAGACCCATCTCACTGACAGAAATAAGCACAGGCTTAGGATGAAAGTCTGGAAGAAGATTTGCCAAGCCAATGGCCCCCGAAAACAGGCAGGAGCAGTAAATCTTATCTCTGACAAAGTAGACTTCAAACCTACATTGATCAAACGAGGTAAAGAAGGACATTTCCATAGTAATAAAAGGGGAAATAGACCAAAAGGAAATAACAATTATCAACATATATGCACCCAATGTCAACGCACCCAATTTTATCAAACATACCCTGAAGGACCTAAAAGCATATATTAACTTCAACACAGTGGTCGTAGTAGACTTTAACACCCCATTATCTTCAATAGATAGGTCATCCAAACAAAAAATCAATAAAGAAATCCTAGATCTAAAATACACCACAGACCAAATGGACCTAGTTGATACCTACAGAACATTTCATCCAACTTCTACACAACATACATTCTTCTAAGCAGCCATGGAACCTTCTCCAAAATACATCATATCCTAGGGCACAAAGCAAGCCTCAGCAAACATAAGAAAACAGAAATTATACCATGCATTCTTTCTGATCACAATGCAATAAAACTAGAACTTAACAACATAAATAAAGACAAAAAACATGCAAACAGCTGGAAACGAATAACTCATTGCTTAATGAACAATGGGTCATTGATGAAATAAAGAGGAAATTAAAAGTTCCTGGAAGTCAATGAAAAAAAACACAACCTACCGGAACCTATGGACACAGCAAGGCAGTCCTGAGAGAAAGTTTATAGCCATGAGTGTGTATATTAAAAAGACTGAAAGATCCAAATCAATGACCTAATGATACATCTCAAACTCCTAGAAAAACAAGAACAAGCAAATCCCAAAACAAATAGAAGGAGAGAAATAATAAAATAAGAGCTGAAATCAATGAAATAGAAACCAAAAAAACCATACAAAGAATTAATGAAACAAAAAGTTGGTTCTTTTGAAAAAATAAACAAGATCGATAGACCCCTGGCAAACCTGACTAAAATGAGAGAGAAAAAACCCAAATTAGTAGAATCAGGAATGCAAAAGGGGAGATAACAACAAACACCATGGAAGTCCAGGAAATCATCAGAGACTACTTTGAGAACTATATTCAAATAAATTGAAAAATCTTAAAGAAATGGACAGATTTCTAGATACATATGATCATCCAAAACTGAACCAAGAGGAATTAATCACCTGAATAGATCTATAACACAAAATGAAATTGAAGCAGCAATCAAGAGTCTCCCAAAAAGAAAAGTCCAGGACCTGATGGATTCTCTGCTGAATTCTATCAGACCTTTAAAGAAGAACTGATACCAACCCTACTTAAACTGTTCCACAAATAGAAAGGGAAGGAAAACTGCCAACACATTTTTGAAGCCAGTATTACACTTATCCCAAAACCAGGTAAAGACACCTCCAAAAAGGAGAACTATAGGCCAATCTCCTTAATGAACATTGATGCAAAAATCCTCAATAAAATAATGGCAAACCGAATTCAACAACACATCAAAAAGATCATTCACCACGACCAAGTAGGCTTCATACCAGGGATGCAGGGGTGGTTCAACATATGAAAATCAATAAACGTAATAAGCCACATTAACAGAAGCAAAGACAAAAACCACTTGATCATCTCAGTAGATGCAAAAAAAGCCTTTGGTAAGATCCAACATCATTTCATGATAAAAGCTCTAAGAAAACTAGGAATAGAAGGAAAGTACCTCAACATTATAAAAACTATATATGACAAACCTACAGCCAGCATTATACTTAATGGTGAAAAACTGAAACCATTCCCTCTAAAATCAGGAATGAGACAAGGATGCCCACTATCTCTACTCCTATTCAACATAGTACTGGAATTCCTAGCCAGAGCAATTAGGCAAGAAGAAGGAATAAAAGGAATACAAATAGGTAAAGAAACTGTCAAAATATCCCTATTTGCAGATGACATGATCCTATACCTTAAAGACCCAAAAAACTCTACTCAAAAACTCCTAGACACCATCAATAGCTATAGCAAGGTAGCAGGATATAAAATCAACATAGAAAAATCATTAGCATTTCTATACACTAACAATGAACAAACTGAGAACGAATGTATGAAACAATTCCATTCACAATAGCCTCAAAAAAAAAAAAAAAAAACCAAATACCTAGGTATAAACTTAACAAAGGATGTGAATGACCTCTACAAGGAAAACTATAAACTTCTGAAGAGATTGAGGAAGACTATACAAAGTGGAGAGATCATCCATGCTCATGGATTGGTAGAATCAACATAGTAAACATGTCTATACTCCCAAAAGTAATCTACATGTTTAATGCAATTCCCATCAAAATCCCAATGACATTCATCAGAGATTGAAAAATCTACTGTTAAATTTATATGGAAACACAAGAGGCCACGAATAGCCAAGGCAATACTCAGTCAAAAGAACAACACTGGAGGTATCACAATACACAACTTCAAACTATATTACAAAGCAATAACAATAAAAACAGCATGGTACTGGCACAAAAACAGACATGAAGACCAGTGGAACAGAATAGAGGACCCAGATATGAAGCCACACAACTATAACCAACTTGTCTTTGACAAAGGAGCTAAAAAATATACAATGGAGAAAAGAGAGCCTCTTCAACAAAAACTGCTGGGAAAACTGGTTAGCAGTCTGCAAAAAACTGAAACTAGATCCATGTATATCACCCTGTACCTATATTAACTCAAACTGGATCAAGGATCTTAATATCAGACCCCAAACTCTAAAGTTGGTACAGGAAAGAGTAGGAAATACTTTGGAACTAATAGGTATAGGCAAGAACTTTCTCAATGGAACCCCAGCAGCTCAGCAACTAAGAGATAGCATAGATAAATGGGACTTCATAAAACTAAAAAGCTTCTGCTCAACAAAAGAAATGGTCTCTAAACTGAAGAGACCACCTAGAGTGGGAGAAAATATTTGCCAGCTCACATCAAAGGACTGATAACCAGAATATATAGGGAACTAAATTCTCCCAAAATTAATGAGCCAATAAAGAAATGGGCAAGTGAACTAAACAGAACTTTCTCAAAAGAAGAAATTCAAATGGCCAAAAAACACATGAAAAAATTCTCACCATCTCTAGCAATAAAGGAAATGCAAATTAAAACCATACTAAGATTCCACCTCACCCTGTTAGAATAGCCATCATCAAAAACACCACCAACATAGGTAAGGGTAAGGAAGGGGGCAGGGGAAGGGGGGAGAAATTACCCAAACACTGTATGCACATATGAATAAAATAAAAAATATAAAAAAAAATTTGTGAACTCTAACCTATTAAATCATAGGACAGGTCAGGCTATTTACCAAGATCAAACTACCTAAGTACATGTACTGTGCTAGTACGAACAATAATCTACAATGGGCTGCATGTTAATTAGGCAATTTTTTTTCTGTGGTAATGGGGCTGGAACGCAAGGCTTTGTGTTCACTAGGTAGATGATCCACCACTTGGGCCAAGCCTCCAGCCCAAAGAATTTTAATTCTTTAGAAATAGTTTCTGTTCAGAGTGCTTATTTTGGCACTTGGCGAAGCACTTTATACAGCATCTTTAGGAGGCTCAAGATATTTTACCCAAAGTCACAAAGGTAGAAAATGGAATTATAATTTTTCATACTTCTGTCAAACTCTTAATGACTTGTTACTATTATTTTCTTTCTTCTAGTTATTTAACTATAGATTCATCTTTGGAAGGCTAACTTGAAATAAGCCACTGTACTAATCTTTAGACATATATTTAACCATTCAGATATACTTTCATTGAAGTACTACTGTGATTCTCCACAGAAAGCTTTCAAAAGATTTTCTGTGCCTCTCGATATAAAATACTAAGAATTAAAAAGAAAGAAAGAAAACCAACAACTTACTTTTGCTTTCAGAAAGCATTTCTGTTCGGTCTGCAAGAAAGAATATGTTGCTGTTTGGTTGTTGCCTATATACATTCTGCAAAACATAATTTAGGCTATTATCAAGATTTGATCTAAAAAGTAACAAATATCAAAACTATGAATCCTATTATCACTTATTCTTCAACTGCAGATATATGTATTTGAACAATAGTTTAGCAAACACATAGAAACAGAAAGAAAAAAGGTCACCTATCATCTACCACTGAGAAACTGCTACTATTTTCACTGATGTGAAACCTGTTTCTTTTTCCCCTGTATATACCATAATGCTATTTTTCTTTTCACAAGAGCAACAAAAAAAGGCTCCTACCACACCTACAAGTTTATAAATGAACAATATGTTGAGGGCACTTTTCTTACTAAACAAGATTCTTTTACAACTATACTATATGGGTACAACATACTGTAATTTATTTGCTCAGTCCTCAAACTTTAAAATTGATGTTGTTATGAATATCTTTGTAAGTAAATTTTTGTGCATTCCATGATTATTTAGCATCAGGTACTATAAACAGTATTGCTGGCCAAAATATTATACAGCTTTGATACATTCTGCCAATTTTTCCTTCAGAAATACAAGTGACACTATTAGAAATGTTTAAACTGTCAAGTTATCAAATAATCTTTAAAATGTTTTAAAGAGCTCATAAAAATCATTTCTTTTCGAATGTTAAAATGTAGTTTTTCACAGTAAAACTACACATGACGCAGTAGCTTGCTTATTTATGAATACAATGGTAGAAATGGCATTAGGTAGACCATGCTAAGCATTTACAAGATTTGCCTAAATTTGAGGGGGGAAGAAGAGTAAGTGGAAGCAACTTAGCCTCTTTTGTTCAACTACATCTACATTAACTTACAGTAGTCTTCTCTCAACATATTTAAAGTCTATTTCAATTCAAGTATTAAATAATATCTAGTGATTACAGCTAAAAGATACCAAAGTACAACTAGCACCATGTTTCAAATATGTATGGTATATGATACAGAATATATCTTTTCAAATATGAGATCTATATATGTATTAAAAAAACCAAACTAGGCATTTCATTTTTGTAATTTAACTGAAAAGATCCTCAAATCTTGTAAATTTTAATATAAATTATACAGTCCTTATACATATAATTTCTATAAACTTAAACATATAGTAGCCAAGCCTCATCCATACTATTTAGAATTCCTAATAACTCACCCTGTTTTTCTTCAGGTTAGAAAGTTCATCCACAATAATTTTTTGTTCTTTAATCTATTGAAATAAAGAAAAAAATTAATCAGAGGTTTTCAAAGTATGCTCAATGAGGACCCTTTATGGGATGATTTTAAAATCAAGAGATGGAGACTGGAGGTTTGGCTCAAGCAGTACAGTGCCTGCTTTGCAAGCCTGAAGCCCTGAGTTCAAACCCCAGTCCCGCCAAAAAAAAAAAAAAGTGCTTTTTCAAAATCAAGAGGTGGGATAAGGACCTATCATATATTGTCTAAATGGTTAAGTCTGTAAATATGCATATTCTTTTCATTAGTGGTCTGTGTGGAGTACAAATGAGGAAATGCTGGAGAAAGTGATTAGATTTGCCAAGTATTAGACAAGTCATTGAGTCCAGACAGGGGATTGGTATTGGTAACCAACATTCATAACAGGGGCCACACTTACTAAACACGGTTTATACCTTTTATTAAAAATAATACTCACCAAAAGTAATACTAGTCTTTCAATGTTTAATGCTGTGATTTAGCTTTTAAAAACGCAAATGGGATGAGGTGGATGCTTTTTAAAATTGTAAGTGTCTTTCATGATTGATGCACTAGATACAGCAAGACATGAGGGTCAAGCAAATGGTACTCCCTAACTGGGGCAGAAGACCTATCATTTTCCACCTTTGTATATTAAAGACTAAGCATGGTGCTGGCACTGTTGAACTAGGCTTCATTTTTTATCAAGAGGATAAAGCCTGACTAAATGAAAAGTAAATTTCTTTTTAACTACTCACACACCTCAGAGACTTGCCTTCATCAGCATCAGGTGGCTTGCTATGACAGTCATCAGAGTGGATATGTGTATTTTGAAAACTCATCCCCACCCCATGAGGATGAACCTTCATGTCTGCAGTTGACAGAGGTGTAGCAATGGCCTAGGTTAGCTTGAATTACCCAGACACGTTTAAAAGCTTTGTCTGTTTATTGCCCTCTCCTTCCCCTTTTCAGCACGGGAGTGTCAATCAGGCTAGCAGTGGAAGCCATGATTAAAAGAGGTAACAAAAGGCGGTGGAGACCGGCTGTGAAGCCTGGCGAGGGCTCGGGTCAGCTGACGGTGGCTGCTTTGGGGTGATCCGTGGATAACGGGCAAGTCTCAAGTGAGTTTCAGGGGTGGCAAGCACAGACCTTCCTGGTGGCTCGTTTAACAGCGCAGGACAAATTGGGGGCGGGCGGTTTAAAACAATAAAGAATGAAGTCCAACTAAAATCTCTGCCCCAATACAGCCCAAGTTTGCGGCAAGTTTCTGGGCCTCCCTTGTCGCAACTATTTTCGGGAAAAGTTAAGGATTAACTGTAACTGTTAAGAACGTAAAAAGGAAACAGTAGGGCTAAGTTGACGCCCGCAGCCCCACGCTGCCGGCGGCGGTGCAGCTCTGGTGTTCGGCGACGCCGGGTACCCCGCCCAGGAGCCTTCTTGCTGCGTCCCACACTCACCTTGCTGCTTAGACTCTCCTTATGTGCAGTCGACGTGTCGGTGGAGACCAGCACAGTGCTGTCCTCCGGGCGCGTCCCACCGCTGGGCATCTCCACGCCGCGCAGAACACACAAAAATGCGCCACCAGGATGGAACCCCGGCAGCCGTGAGCCGCGTGCACCCCCAGTAGCTCCGCCCCTCCTGAACCCTTCCCATGAGTCTGCGCGCTCATTAGCACGCCTGCGCAGAGCGGGCCTGGCGCGAGAGTTGTGTTATGTACGTGTCCTGCTGGTTAGGGCGCGAAGCGCAGAGCCGGGTTTTGAAGCTGAGAGGTTGCACCAGTCCGCCCCTAGCGGCTGGGAAGTGGAAACGCTGCTGTGATCTCTTCACGCCCTTTCTTCTAAATAAACCACTACGTTATATGCGCCTCCCAGTGGTAAATGTAAAGAACAGTAGCGCAGTACAAATACCATAAATTAATTTTTTTCAGCAAACATAGAGGCTGAGGCACTGATTTCAGACATACAGTGCTGGCAAGAGGACTGCACAGACCTGATGATTTTTTTCAACTTGTACTTAGGGTTTCCAGATAAAATAGAGTTTTATGCTAATTTAAATGCGAATTTCACATAAATAAATCGTTTTTCTTAAAGTATATGTCCCACTCAATATTTGCAATAACTCATTCTATGGAAAATCACTGAAATTTGTAAATAGGAAGAGGAGATTACTGGATGTTCATGTTCGTTCAGTTCTGTTCTGGCTTGGATTTTCTATTGGTCCTGCAGTCCTATGACCCAATGCAGGCAGGGGTCACTGGAGAGAAAGAGGGCAGAGGCAGAGATTAACTTGTAGGTATTTGTCTGGAAGAGATGCAAATAATTTCTATTTGGTAGACCATGTGCTTTCACAGGTTGTGATTTATGATTCTGTAAGGCATTGATCCTCCGTGTATCAGCTGACACATTTCTTTATTCAGATACTCTTCATCTTGAATGAGCTTTGAATTGCTCTTAGCATTTTACTGGTTCTTCTATTAATGAGTTGAATAAAACTTTCACACATGCTTGCTTCATAATTTGCATGGGAGACACGATTTTTGAGAATTGTACTCTAATACTAGAAGACCCAAGTTTCCATGGGTCTTCTAAGTGAACTCCTGTGATGAAGCCTAAGTGTATGGCTAAAGAAATGGACTTCATGGATTAAGCCCAGACATGTCTTTTATTGGCTTTTAGAGTAAATCCAAAGTGGCTATTGAACTAAGCTTACTTTTTCCTTTTTCCCTTTTCATTGATTTAAAAAATTTTGCTTTTGTTTCTGATTTATACATTCCTGATAAACTGGTTAACATTGGCAGCAGAAATAACTGGAAGTTTGGTTTTCTGATCTAATCATTTGCTATCTGTTGGATGACAGACATTGAGTCTCTTTTAGAAGAAATGACAGAGAATCCAGTTTGTTAGTGCTTTTGTCTTTTGTAAACTCAAATTTTAATTTTGTGCCCACTAGGAAGGAGAATAGCTATTTGAGATCTGGGCTGGTGCTTTTTTATATTTATGTGTTTACTTTCAACATGAGTTTGAGGTTGTAAAACTGAAACAACAAGCTCCCTATGCGTCTACATGTCTATACATACATTTAGAACAGGCTCTATAGCTTACTGTGTGAATGTAAAATATTTTTCTACTTCTGGATGGTTTAATGAATTCCATTATAATGTCTCTTGAACTAAAGCGCCTCTCTTCTGACTGGCTTACAGAGGTAAAATAAGCACTTGTCTAAATACACAAAAATTTAAAAGCCCAGAATTTTAAAATACTCTAAATGTGCTAGACTTTTAGGGGAAAGTTCCTTATTACAAAACAGCTAGCTTGGGGGGGGATGGGAGGACGGGAAGGTGGTCCAAACAATGTATACACATGTAAGTAAATGTAAAAATGATAAAGTAAAATAAAAAAAAACAGCTTGTTCAGAAACATGACACAAATCCAAGTTATGTAGTTAAGGTAAACCTTTGGCAGAATGATCCTGGAATAATAATTTTGCTTTAATAAAGACAAGACAATTATATATCTGTTCTCTGATTTATCTAAATATAGTATGTTTATATTTTATAACACTAGGACTTGTTTTCTCAAATTGTGTAAATTGTGTGGTTCTTATTAACTCTGGGAGCCATTTTTAAGGGGACAGACTGAACTTCTTTTTAAAAAGATAAACTAGGGGCTGGTGGAGTGGCTTAAGTGGTAAAAGCATCTGCTAAACCAGTGTGAGGCCCTGAGTTCAAAATAAATAAATAAATAAAACTCAGCAGGTGGACAGACACTGCTGGGAAGTGAGTGGGGAGGGAGTAAGGTGGACCCTAGGACTAGGGGGTAAAATAGGGGAGGTAATAGCATGATCTACGGAATTCCAGGTAGTGGACTGCTGTTTACCAGGAGGGATTAAGGATCCGGGAAAGGGACTATCAGGTCCTTATCACAAAGGCATTGCTGGAGGAGTCTTTCACTAAATATTTACAACTAATTGCTGTGCCTTAAAGTAATTTCAAATGGTTTCCGTTGATGGATTTTAAAGTACTGCATGATAAAATTTAAAATTTTGTTTTATACTTACGTAAAATATTTGTGTGGTTCCAAAGAAAGTTCCAAAGTTAGTACACAAAACAGGTACATTTTAAAAAAATTTTATTTCATTCATATGTGCATACAATGTTTGGGTCATTTCTCCCTCCTTCCCCCTGCCCCCTCTCTTCCCTCCCCCCCACTCCCTCCCTTACCCCCTCTTACCCCTCGCTACCTGGCAGAAACTATTCTGCCCTTATCTCTAATTTTGTTGAAGAGAGAGTATAAGCAATAATAGGAAGGAACAAGGGTTTTTGCTAGTTGAGATAAGCATAGCTATACAGGGAGTTGACATGCATGATTTCCTGTACATGTGTGTTACCTTCTAAGTTAATTCTTCTTGAACTAACTTTTTCTCTAGTTCCTGGTCCCTTTCTCCTATTGGCCTCAGTTGCTGTAAAGTATCTGTTTTAGTTTCTCTGCATTGAGGGCAACAAATGCTATCTAGTTTTTTGGTTGTCTTCCCTATCCTAATACCTTCCTTGTGTGCTCCCACTTTATCATGTGATCAAAGTTCAATCCCCTTGTTGTGTTGGCCCTTGATCTAATGTCTGCATATGAGGGAGAACATAGATTTTTGGTCTTTTGGGCCAGGCTAACCTCACTCAGAATAATGTTCTCCAATTCCATCCATTTACCTGCGAATGAAAACATTTCATTCTTCTTCATGGCTGCATAAAATTCCATTGTGTATAAATACCACATTTTCTTAATCCATTCGTCAGTGGTGGGGCATCTTGGCTGATTCCATAACTTGGCTATTGTGAATAGTGCTGCAATAAACATGGGTGTGTAGGTGCCTCTGGAGTAACCTGTGTCACAGTCTTTTGGGTATATCCCCAAGAGTGGTATTGCTGGATCAAATGGTGGATCAATGTTTAGCTTTTTAAGTAGCCTCCAAATTTTTTTCCAGAGTGGTTGTACTAGTTTACATTCCCACCAGCAGTGTAAGAGGGTTCCTTTTTCCCCGCATCCTCGCCAACACCTGTTGTTAGTGGTATTGCTAATGATGGCTATTCTAACAGGGGGGAGGTGGAATCTTAGTGTGGTTTTAATTTGCATTTCCTTTATTGCTAGAGATGGTGAGCATTTTTTCATGTATTTTTTGACCATTTGAATTTCTTCTTTTGAGAAAGTTCTGTTTAGTTCACTTGCCCATTTCTTTATTGGTTCATTAGTTTTGGAAGAATTTAGTTTTTTAAGTTCCCTATATATTCTGGTTATCAGTCCTTTGTCTGATGTGTAGCTGGCAAATATTTTCTCCCACTCTGTGGGTGTTCTCTTCAGTTTAGAGACCATTTCTTTTGTTGAGCAGAAGCTTTTTAGTTTTATGAAGTCCCATTTATTTATCTATGCTATCTCTTAGTTGCTGAGCTGCTGGGATTCCATTCAGAAAGTTCTTGCCTATATCTATTAGTTCCAAAGTATTTCCTACTCTTTCCTGTACCAACTTTAGAGTTTGGGGTCTGATATTAAGATCCTGGATCCAGTTTGAGTTAATATTGGTATAGGGTGATATACATGGATCTAGTTTCAGTTTTTTGCAGACGGCTAACCAGTTTTCCCAGCAGTTTTTGTTGAAGAGGCCGCTATTTCTCCATCGTATATTTTTAGCTCCTTTGTCAAAGACAAGTTGGTTATAGTTGTGTGGCTTCATATCTGGGTCCTCTATTCTGTTCCACTGGTCTTCATGTCTGTTTTTGTGCCAGTACCATGCTGTTTTTATTGTTATTGCTTTGTAATATAGTTTGAAGTCAGGTATTGTGATACCTCCTGCATTGCTCTTTTTGCTGAGTATTGCCTTGGCTATTTGTGGCCTCTTGTGTTTCCATATAAATTTCACGGTAGATTTTTCAATCTCTTTAATGAATGTCATTGAATTTTTATGGGAATTGCATTAAATATTTAGATTACTTTTGGGAGTATCGACATTTTTACTATGTTGATTCTACCAATCCATGAGCATGGGAGATCTCTCCACTTTCTATAGTCTTCCTCAATCTCTTTCTTCAGAAGTGTATAGTTTTCCTTGTAGAGGTCTTTCACATCTTTTGTTAGGTTTACACCTAGGTATTTGATTTTTTTTGAGGCTATTGTAAATGGAATTGTTTTCATACATTCTTATTCAGTCTGCTCATTGTTAGTGTATAGAAACGCCAGTGATTTTTCTATGTTGATTTTATATCCTGCTACCTTGCTGTAGCTATTGATGATGTCTAGAAGCTTCTGAGTAGAGTTTTTTTGGGTCTTTAAGGTATAGGATCATGTCATCTGCAAATAGAGATATTTTGACAGTTTCTTTACGTAACAAAACAGGTACATTGAAACAAGTTTTGATTCTATTCCTGTGTCTTCCACCCAATCCCCTTACCCCATTTGTATAGATAGTTGTTAATTTTTGCATTAACAATAAAGTACTATTTGCTTATAGTAACATTGAATACTCATTCCTGTGAGTTTTCATGAATACATAGTTGTATAGTCACTTCAATCATGATACACAATAGGTCTTCTACACTAGTAAATTCACTATGCTTACCTGTAGTTTCTGGCA